AGAATTTGAACCCAGCTTTGCAAAATGGAAAGTCCATCTTCCCTTTTTTACTTTTTCGTTTCTATCTTCTTTCGACATGCTGGAGCCCGAGTTGTTTGATCTCGCGGTCTTATCAACCTTTATTGCGTCATATTGCATAAATCGGTATTGAGGTGTTGGGTTTCTTTCAGGCAAGGGATATCAGGAGTTGTTCGAACTTGTTTCATTATACAATCAACGAAATCATGTCATCACAAAGCATATATATAAAGCGCTCATCAAAGATATAATTCAAAGTATGATGGTAGCTTTGAGCATAACACGGGCTCTGTGTCCTTCACTATTGTTGGCAGAATTCACCAAAGAGAAAAGTAATCTCAAAGTATAAATCTATCTTGTCACACTAGGTAAACTAAATCTACCTCTCTTCTTCCCCAACAATGGTACAGAGTGCTGGAATCAAAGTATACAGATGACGTGATTTGCTCCTAAGGAGACCCACCGCCTCCCAATCAGGCTAGCGTCGGAGCCCACTTATTCCGCCGTGACCCATACCTTGGCGCCTCAGGCTCACCGTACTCCGGTCAGCTCGAACCCCGGAGTGGCATATCACGAACTGCCACTTCATCGCCATCGCACCCACTTGCTGCAAGTGATTTGACATCCAGACGCACATACAGGATCCCCAAGAAACCATTTCACTCGCTGTCCCAGGCATGACCCTCTCCCTGCGAAGATGACCAGGCTCCGCGGAGCTTCCGTGAGCTCCTACGAAGCTACTCGTGGTAGCGGCGGCGTCGACAGACCCCAGTTCCACCGCTCCAAGCTGCCCCCAAATGCCCCGGAGATCATTGCCCAGAACACAGTCGACGTATCCGACCCGGCGCAGGTCCTCCTCTGGTGTCGGGACGAACGTCGTCGCCAGTTTAACCTGCTGGTCCGCAGGTGAGCATAGCACTTCGGCCCACTGGATCTATATACGCTCGGCGGAGTAGGCTGACGTATCCTCCCCGCTCGCTTTAGATACAAAAGTCAAATCCTCTTCGGCTGCCAGAACCCCGGGTGTTCGACTCCCACCTGCGCCAGCTACCGGAAGAGGGTCACCGAGGGCCCCTATCGCCGTTACACCGAGCTGAGCGCCCGCACCTTGGCCTGCTACCTCGCGAGCGTCGACAACGCGGAAAGCGGCCTCTGTCGCAATGCACCCCGTGTGATATCCGAACTAGCCCCGCAAGAGAGCCAGCGACGACCGAAGCGACGGCCCCGCTCTCATCCTGCGTACGAGTCGAAGGAGCCTGGCCGCGGTGCCGGTGAAGGTGGGACCGAGGCACAGGCGGTCCAGGACCCGAATTCCGAATTGGTGCAATTTGAGGGCCATACTGGGGAGTGTCAGTCTGCGGAGTCTGCACTCGATAAAAGCGGCCATGGTGTGCCGGAGGATGATGGCCGGCCGGCGCAGCGGCTGAAGGATCCTAAGTCTTTTACGCAAAATCTGTTCGATACGTTGTCGTTGAGGATGATTGAGTGGTTACCACTGCGGCGGTCGCCAACTACGCTCGACGAAGATCCCATGTTGGCGAAGATTCCGTACAGTAATCGACCACAGGCGCAGGGAGAGAAAGCCCGCGGCCACTACCCCGATCATCGGCCCGACACACGGTCCAAGCCAGACCGGGTCGTTCCAAACCGCCCCCCTGGGAGCAACCCCCATACGCCGTCATCGCGCCACGGGGGCCAAACGGCTGCCGTGGAGCTCAAGCTGCCGAACCAGCAGATCAAGCGACTGTCGGTCACGGAGGTGGACCAATGGCGCCAGACGCCACGGTCCAATATGGAGGAGAAATCCAACGCGGAGCTCAAGCCAGCCCGGAAACTGTCCGTCAACACACGTACCAACGACGACCTGGTTAAAATATCATCGCCACCAGCTCTGAAGCATCGACCCCAGAAGCATCGCGGGAGGGCCGGTGACGTGAACGCCACCCCCGTGCCAGACCAGCGGAAGAAAGAGAGACGCGTGTCATGGGACGGGGCTAAGTTTCTGAATGAGGTCCCGGTACCCGATACCGAGGCAACCCCATCAGGGAGGGGTGAGCAGATGACGGATCTCAAATCGCCCAAGGAACGAAAGCCCAAACGGAAGGGCTCGCGCCGGCGGCGGAATGACGCTGGCATTCAATCGGTCACACACCTTACCGCGGACATTGTCGACGGACTCGCCGCGATGATGATTTTATCGGAAGAAGAGGCACAGAGCTGGAAAGAAGAGCTGGCGTACCTCGAGTCGACGGGCGGGTTTGAGGACTCGGAATGGCGATTTGCAACCCCACGTCAACGCCAGGTGTTCACCTTTGTCGGCCAAAGTGTGTTTTATGCCCTGGGCAGCACTAAGCAAATCCTTCGCTCGTTTCGCGAAAACGCATCGGGCGGTGCCACGTCGACATTGAATCTCCCCCATATCCAGCCGTCACTGCGGAAGCTCTTCACCCTGTGCCCAAAGGACCTCATCTTCCATAGCCTGTGGAGTGCAGTGGAAGCCCTGTTCGTCCCACCCAAAGAGCTGTCGACGCCAAGCAAATCTTCGCGCCGATCGTCGTGCAACTCGTCTTCAGGAGCTCCTCCGGCTCCTATCCTCCGTCGCGCGTCCGACTCGGGTGGAAACGCGTATGTCTCCGACGACCGGGCCGCAGACGTCGCGACGGTGGCCCTGTTGGCGTTGGCGGGCGCCTTGCCAGAGGTCGACGCACCGACGTGGCGTGGAATTTTGCAAATGCGGGCGACTGGCGCCGTGGCGTCCCAGGCGGAGATGCAGAAACTCCCGCTTCACAACAAGCGATTGATAGTGGACACCACGGACATGCTCGAACACGAACTTGCTCTGCGGCTGGTGAATCGGCTGGTCCGTGCACTGACCGCGCGGTCCGCGTTCCACGAGATATTCAAGGCCCGTCAGGCATACTCTCACCACGTACCCCACCCGCGCAAGAACGGCGTGTTGGATCGCCTGGTAGACAACCTCAGTGTGCATCGCGATCTTCCACACGCCGGGATACCCGCCCACGACTCCGAACCCAAGCCCCCCGGTGCGCCCGCCGTCATCGCCGAGTGGCTACGGACTCTCCTTCTCCGGGAATGGGACGGGAACCCAGAGATGTCGAAAGGGAGTGCCGCGGGAGGCGCGGTGCAGATTTTGTCCGTCCTATACAAAGAACGACACCGCCTCGGGCTTATCCCCGAGGACTTCCACACGCCGTTCCTCTCCGAGAGGCTGGAACCCCTCGAGATGCCGGTAGACTGGATGGGCAGTCTGTCCGACAACCGGAAGATGCACCTGTTGTCGTATTCCTTTCTCTTCCCACCGTCCGCGCTGGTCATCTACTTCCGCGCGCTAAACTACGCCGCCATGTCGCGGTACTACGAGGCGGCGATGACCACGACGCGACACGTCACTCAAACCGCCTTCGGGGCGATCCGGATCCAGGACGACGTGAATCTCCTAGCGCACATGCGAACGTCCATGACGACGTACCTGGTTCTCGCCGTGCGGCGCGACAACGTGCTCACTGACGCGCTGAACCAAGTCTGGCGGCGCGAGCGGCGCGAGCTAATGCGGCCGCTGAAAGTGCAGATGGGAATGGAAGAGGGTGAAGAAGGGCTCGACCATGGCGGTGTGCAGCAGGAGTTCTTCCGGGTTCTGATGGCAGAAGCACTAGACCCAGCCTACGGGATGTTCACACTGGACAGCCGCACGCGGGTGTCGTGGATCCAGCCGGGGTCGCTAGAGCCGCTATTCAAATTCGAGCTGCTGGGACTGCTGATGTCGCTGGCGGTGTACAACGGGCTGACGCTGCCGGTGAACTTCCCGACGGCGTTCTACCGCAAGCTGCTCGGCCGCAAAGTGAAGCAGCTGGATCAGATCCGCGACGGCTGGCCTGAGCTCACTAAGGGCCTGGAAGGGCTACTCAGTTGGGAGGACGGCGATGTGGGGGACGTGTTCATGCGGACCTACGAGTTTAGTTTCGAGGCGTTTGGCAGTATCCAGACGATCGACATGCATCGAGTCGACCGTGACGCGCCGTGGCCGGTTCACCCATCGCCGTTGGACGTGCGGCGATCTTCAACCTCAACCACCGCCGACGCATCAGACTCCCAAGTCGACATCGCCAAGTCGCTCGACGGCTCCGTCCCAGTCCAATCCTCGACCCCACCCTCGGAAGAAGCCCCCCTAGTAACAAACGCCAACCGCAACCAATTCGTCCAAGACTACATCTTCTGGCTAACAGACAAATCCATCCGGGGCCAGTTTGAAGCCTTCGCGCAGGGGTTTTACACATGTCTTGACCGGACGGCGCTATCGATATTCACACCTGAGGCACTCAAGACCGTCGTCGAGGGCATCCAGGAGATCGACATCGGCGAGCTAGAGCGACACGCGCGGTACGAAGGCGGGTTCGGGCCGCACCACCGGGTGGTGCGCGACTTCTGGGCCGTCGCGCGACGGTTTACCCCAGCGAAGAAGGCGCAGTTGCTTGAGTTTGTGACGGCTAGTGACCGGGTGCCGGTTAATGGGATCGCGAGCATTATGTTTGTGATTCAGAAGAATGGAGTTGGAGATGCTGTATGTTCCCTTTCATGACCCCCATTTATCAATGATCATGAATGAAACTGACCAAATAGCGCCTCCCCACGAGTTTAACCTGTTTTGGCCGGCTTCTCCTGCCGGAGTATTCGTCGAGGAGCGTATTGGAGGAGAAGTTGAATAAGGCGTTGGAAAATGCACGGGGATTCGGCGTGGCTTGATTATACCCTGTATATTACAACTATTACATTTACATATTTCTCTATTATAGTTGCAGACTATTATACATTCTGTGCATCCCTCTAAATATATATAAATCGATACTGTATAGATGGTTCGCCACTGCCGGACGTTCCTCGGCGCCACCAAACATTTAAAGTTTGCACGTTTTCCTTTTTCCTTCCATTCGTTTTCTTTTCTCCTTCTTTTCTTCTTTTTCATACTTATCCATAAATATAACTCATAATCATATCAACAATACACCCCTTGCTCTCCTCAACCCTAAAGACTCAATAGAACCCAAGTAAGTCACCGGTGTCAACCCATTGGGTCCGGTGCAGCGCCCTAGGCGTTAGCCCGGCCGGACTGCATCGTCAATCCTTATTGGCTTCGTCCCCTGAATGTTTTTGCCCCGCGACCCCCACGTCTCTTTCTTCCTTCTTCTCATTGCGTTGCACTCCCTTCTCTCCAGATCTAACCTGTTCACAGAACATATTAGATACAGAAAGACAAAGAATAATATAAAATGGCTCCTATCGTTCACTGCGTCCGCCACGCCCAGGTTCGTCTCCCACCGCAATCCCCAAGCCAAAATCCGAAGCCACGGACCCAAATCCAAAGACACGAAACCAAAACCAATCACCAAAAGAAAGCGCGAAGAACCTAACAAATCAACCAGGGCGTCCACAACCTCTCCCCAGAAAACCACGTCATCCCGGACCCCCCCCTCACCGACCTCGGCGTCTCCCAATGCCGCACCCTCCGCGACTCCTTCCCCGCACACGACAAGGTCGACCTCGTCACAGCCTCGCCGCTCCGTCGCACGATATACACCGCGCTAGAGAGCTTCGAGCCCATATTCCACGCGCGACCCGACACGCGCCTGATCCTCATCCCCGACGCACAGGAGACGAGCGACGTCCCGTGCGACACCGGGAGCAGTCCGGCGGAATTGCAGCGCGAGGTGGAGGAGAAGGGGTTGCCTGTTGATGTGGGGTTGGTTGAGGAGGGGTGGAATGTTAAGGTATCTTTCTTTTCTCCCCCCCAAGTCTACGGAGGACTTCTGCTCCGATTGGTCGTGGTTTGTGTAAGTGTGTGGCTGGCTAATGTGGTAACAGGCTGGTCGGTATGCGCCCACCAGTGACGCGATCCAAGAGCGCGCTCGCGCCGCCCGCCGCTGGCTCAAAGCGCGCCCGGAGAAGGAGATCGTTATCGTGACGCACGGGACCTTCCTGCACTACTTCACTGAGGATTGGGAGGACTGTTCGAAGGGCTACGGTTCGTACATATCTTATTTGCTCGAGCGCGCATTATGCTCTTCGGTGAAAGACGAACCGAATACTAATAATCACAGGCACCGCATGGGTCAACACCGAATACCGCACCTACACCTTCAGCTCCAACGAAGACACCGAGGATCTGGAAGGCCGGGCAATCGACGGCGACAACGCGACGATGGTCGAGACGAGCGAGTCGCGCCAGCGCCGCGGAAAGGAGGACCCCATGCCGGGACGGGAGGAGCAGAAGAAGCTGTTCCTGCAGGGTAAGCAGCGGTGGGACGAGCAGGGACTGCAGCTTAGCACGGCGGAGCGGGAGGCGGCCAAGGCTAAGTCTGAGAAGGAGGTATAGACTAGACCTTGATTCGTTTTGGATAGACGGGTATAGATCTGGAAGGACAATAAACAAATAAAGGGTGGGTGGATGTTTTCTGTTTGCGCAGGGAATGACATTATGAGACAGTCAATGGATTGTTAGAATTGTATCTATTGTTGTATCGAAGAAAGAATTGAACAAGCATCTTTGCTTGGAGAGCAATGTACAAAGTAGTCTTTGAGTCCATCATTCTCATCTGATCCTCATCCCATGAAGTATGTATGTACTACGAGATAACCGATAATAGGCTGGGCATGGATAGGTACGTCTCGACTCTTACTGACACATCGCAGGGAGGATTCATTAGTATAGGATGATCCAGCCTAGTATGGCTATTATGAAATTTGAGTACGACATCAGGGTCTACTTTGCCGAGACTGCACTCGCCTTACTCTCGTCTTCTATATAGTCATAACCAGGCTGTCTGTTGTGTCTCCATTATCTGGGCAATGCCAGTATCATGTAGTGTAGATTATATGACTCTATTTGCCCTCATTAAGACGATGAATACTTCCATGTCACTGCCGGTGTTTTCAATAGACCATCTATACACTATCTCGCTATCTAACGGATATAGAGGTAGCAAACAAGTGAATTTACTATCCTAGTTAATCTCAGCCATGCAGCAGAAACCGAAGTGATTTTCGGTCAGACTTGATATGGCCGAGACCTAACACTATGCAACAGTACCGCGCTCGAGTAGCCCGTGCACCGCAGACTTCTATCACTCACTTGTAAATTACTGGAAGCTGAGTGACAATGTCGTTTTTTTAGCTTGCAACATATAAAATATTATGTCCAGGGGCAGTGGCAAAGTATAGTCAGTCTCGTATGCCTCTTCCAGACAGTCGAGCCAGGCTCAGCTGGTTAGGAGTGATGACGGCGACCTCCACAAGACAAGAAGTGCTTCACCTTGGGGATTAACTATTTGAAGCTCGAGGCTGATTTGCTCACGAATTACTACTCCACCGATAGTGTTGACAGGCTTTGCCAAAGTTGTCAAGATATGTCAATAGGTCATGGTGTAACTGCGCCAGATGGGTATGTCCCTGCTCTTTGTCTGTCGACCGTGCATTCTGCTAAACAGCCAAGATTAGAGCCTATACTGCTCGTGAATATTGGTGTTGATGTCAACAATGTTGGTCCCGTCATTCTGCGTTGCTTCTTCCCAGTCCACGACAGCTGCAGGCACTCTCGTAAATGGTCTGTATGTCGCTGCCGCCATTGACAGTACGCCCGGAGAGGAAGGTGTGGGATGTCTCCATAAGCAATACTGAATATTGTAAAAATCTACATCGCATCAGTAAAGGCAGTGTAGTGGAGACTGTTAAACATGTCCGTAACATACCTCATGCATGGACCTCCCAGCAATGCAACAAAAGTACCACTGTCATTGAGACGGTACATACTAAACGAAGGCCGTCTTTAGCAATGATACTATCCAGCTACTGCACCAAGGCACCGAATAAGTATTTTTGATAATCTTGATATGATCGATATTTCAACAAAACATATCACTATTTGGAAGTAGTTGCCTGGGATAACCCTGTTGCATCATCTGCATGCCAAGTCTCTGAAGGACAGGTAAGAGGTCGTCTTGAGCATAACGTATATTGAGAGATGGAGACCAACCTCGGCCCACACGACAGACTCCCTGGGAGGAAGATTCTCACTGCTCAGCTTCCCTTCCCAGATCTCCCCGTCGCAGATGTAGATCGTAGGACCGACTGCAAGGGTCCCGAGTTCCCTAGTCTCGTCCATTCGGATGAGTGCTAGAATATTGATTCTCTGGCACTCATATTTGGGGTCATCCGGGCATCCCTTCAGCTGTTCAATACGTTCATGAGGCTGATGACCAAGGGATCCGGACAGGCCGGGAGAAGCTCCTCCTGGTGGGCCATTATGAAGACTAGTGTAGCAGAGGAACTCAATAAATTAATATGACTCGGGGATCCCCCCAGATCAAGCAGCAAAGCCAATGACCCTCTCTATGAGGACGTAAAATCAAATGGAGGTTATCGAAGGTGTACTCCAAAACGCGACATGAGGCGTGGGGGAGATGGGAAGTGGGTCCAGAAAGGAGGAGATCAATAACGGGTGGTCAAGGCTGACGCTGGTCATTTAGCTGTGATAGCCTCAGGCAGTGAGTGATTCACGAGTGAATAGGGCTTGGGGGTCAGGTGACAGGACAGAGTGGCGGTTTGGACCTCTGCTGCTTCATTCTCATATTTTCTCACCCTATATCAATAATCGGCATGGTGTTGCGCCTTGAAAAGTCCATGTCTATTCCCCGCAGTTAGGCGGGCAGTTCGATACTTCCTGGGTTAGCAGCGCAGCGCATGGACCTACTACAGAAGACATGATGCCACCTTTGGGATTTATAATCCCCTCTATCATTATAACAGATCTTTTCTTTTGCTTACTCCCGTCACGAGTTGATCCTGGTCAATATTTGCTATGATGGGCTGGGGAGAATTGAACCTACCCTAGATTTATTAAGGCATCCAGTCTTGTGTCAAGTGAGGTGCAAATCCCGAGTTTGATGAAGAGAGAGTTCCATCAAGTTCTATAATCACGCGAGCAGCATTATTCAGCATCTGGAATATGGTATGATCATTATATAAATCGCTTTCTGTATGACAGTCATGGCTATCTACTTGTCGTACCCTACATACACTATTCAATTCGACCGAGGATCAGTACTCTTTGACTCACCATGTCTGTATACGTAATCACCGGAGTTTCCAGGGGAATAGGAGTGAGTCTGCCCCTTTCTAAAGTCCGCACCGTCTGTACCTAATCTAGCACAGTTCGAATTCCTCCGGCAGATCTCGGAAGACCCGAGTAGCCTGGTCATCGGTCTGGTGCGCGACAAGCCTGCGACTGAGAAGAAGATAGTAGCTGAACTGGGCGGCCGCCCCAACATCCATATTCTCTATGGAGACCTCAGCAATTACGCCAGCCTGAAGCAAGCCGCAGCCGACACGGCCGAGATTGTGGGCGAGCGTGGCGTTGACTACTTGGTCGCCAACGGAGCTCTGTTGCCCAGCCTAGACGCCTATAAACCCATTGGCGCACTGTAGGTCTTTTCTCTTCTCTTTGGCTCGTGTCTAGGGGATTCGGTGGTTAAAGACAAGGGTCAATATAGGAGCAACAAACCCGAAGAGATTGACTCGGTCTCAGCACAGCTCTCGCAGACCAACATTGCCGGGAACATCCACCTCTTCCACCTCTTCCTCCCTCTAGTCCTGAAAGGCACGGTCAAAAAAGTCATCACCATTTCGACTGGGCTAGCCGACCTTGACTTGACCAACGAATATGAGATGGACGTGGGTGCTCTGTATGCGGCCTTCAAAGCAGCCCTGAACATCATCGTGGCCAAGTTCAACGCGCAGTACAAGAAAGACGGGGTGCTCTTCTTGAGTATCAGCCCCGGGGTGGTGGATGTGGGCCACAGCGCAAACGGTTCGTCTCATTTCCTGCCTGAACTTTGCTCAAGATGGATGTTTACTCACGGTGGATATCCAACTGATGCTTACCAATGCACAGCTACTCCCGAAGAGATGAAGAGCATGATGGGACTCATGGGCAAGATTGTCGCCTACGCGCCTCACTTCAAAGGCCCAATCACGCCCGAAGAATCTGTCCGACATGTCCGCTCGACGTGGGAAAAGGCTAGCATCGAGGGTGGGTACGGCGGGGCGTTTGTCTCGCATTTTGGAGATAAGCAATGGGTATAATCTCGGGACTCGTTCTATCAGACAGTGTTGTACTCAGTGTAGGGTGTGTTTTGAATATTGAAAGTGTCATGATCAGTTGGGTGTATCAGTCAGAATAAACCCTATACCAGACGTTGGTCAACATTTGGGCGTTGTAAGATACACCTGAGATGATCCATGCCTGGTCCAAAAGCATACTTCATTCCTTGATTCTAAGGCAGACACGGGTTCTTTCTAGCATTCTTCCTGTAGATCGGGCCCTACTCCTTTTTAGAATAATTGAGCTGATTCTCTTCGGACCAGACGAGCTGATGATCGATCATCAGCCTCTTCGAAAGAAATTTCCCCGCAGCGGGCAAGTCGGGCAATGTACATAAACCGAGGAGAATCACTAGCAGAGCAGACCATCATCGACGAATGTTCCCAGCTGCGACTTATAATTTATATCAAGCAAGCACTTTCCATCCCATGACAGATCTTTCCTATATTCATTCATACACACAATCTCTTCCCAACGACTGAAACCTTAGTAGCCAGCCATTGAATATTGAATGTAAAATTTACTACTGTCGTCTTTCTTGCGCTGAGTACCCTCGCCGTAGCCACGCCTATTGATCAACTTCTTGAAAAGCGTCGCCTCTGTAAGGGCAACGTCGGTGACCCATGTGTTGGTAACTCCATCAGATTCAGTTACATGTGCTGTGATGACTTGATCTGCTTCCCTACTGGTGATGGCAAGGGCCAGGTGAGTAGTTTCGGTATTTGGACTCATGGGTTTACCTATCTGATATGCTGATGATTCCTAGTGTAAATACAAAAGCCAATGACTGGGAGTGGCGTGTTTTGTGATTTACCTGAGTGGGTAGATCTTGATCAAGGGCTGATTTGGGACAAGGGGATTGTTAACTTCCGTACGGGATGTCCAGTCACATATGGACAGGAATTGCTGAAAGAAGATCGCGATTAGGGTTGGGGTTGGATAATCCAATCATCTTGGCATATAATCACTCAAATTCAGTCGGGCGTTCAGCCCGCTGACATGCATCATCTCACCTCAGCGGCATCATTCCACAGAGACCATCATGAGATGGATGGGAACATGTAGGAGAGGGATTCAGCTGAGCGGGAGGCGGCGTTGCACCCATAGTACGCGCTATTCTTAGCAGGCGTGGAGTTCTTTTCCGAGTCGAAAAAAAGTGAAGGCGCGTCATATACCCTCGATAGATGAGATCGGAAACAAAATACCACCAAGATCGAGAGAAATACCGAGCATGGTCCAAGTCTACATCGGAGGTCAACAGACAACGAATCAAGCGGGTGAGCACCGCTGCGACAAGGATCGCACCAGCAAGATCTGCAGCAATCCTAGTTCCCAATTCAGCCGACAAACGACAGATGCAGCCGCTCCAGCCCTCTGTGATACCTTCAACCTCCCGAGACTTCTCAGCTTCCCCGCTCGACAGTTTTAAAACCCGTCGCTTTGGATAAGTCCAGATGGGAAGGTTTGTCTGAGGCCCACCGTCCCCATTTTGCTCCGACACTTCGTTCAGTCAAATAGAAAGTGCAGCCCCCGGGCCATGTAGCGGCATGGTGGAGCCGCCCAATACAGCGTATGGGAATAAAGGCTCAATGGTCCTTGGGATCAGCTGGGCGGAGACCGCCTTGGCTCTGGTACTGGTGGCGCTGCGGGCGAAGACCGCCGCGTTTTGTCTACCAGGGCATCCGCGGGCGGGGATCCTCGGTCTGCGCTGGGATTTCATCTGGGTGATCATTGCGCTGGTGGGTCTGACTCTACAGACTATGCAAGATATACGTATATACTGACGTCCATAATCACGCACCAAGGGGCTCGCCCTGTGCAGTCAGAGCCTGATGACTGCGAGCGTCCACTACGACCTTATCAACCACAGCGAGCCACCCGTGCATGGATACCTCGTGCAATCTAAGTTATGGTCGTGGATGGGTCAGATCACCTCTCTGCTGGCCATGGCAGTGGCGCGGATCGCGGTTGTCGCACTGCTGCTGACGCTGCAGTCCGGGACGGCATGTCGCGGCAGGACAGCCCTCTACCTCATGGCCGCATTCCAGTTGATCATCAGTTTGGTTTTGGTGGTCCTGATGTTGGCACAATGCCAGCCGATGGCGAAGCTCTGGGACAACGATCTCGACGGTGCCTGTCCTTTGATCGTCATGTGCTCGCGATTTGGCTATTTCCATGGCGGTATTCTCTCTTTCTCTTTCTCTCTCATCCGACACACTGCTAATTAAAACCGGGGTGGGTGTTCAGCAGTCACGGTGCTCCTGGATTTGATCCTCGCCTTTTACCCGCTGTACATCATCGGACGTCTGCAGCAGATGAAGCGGTCGACCAAAGTTAGCCTCTGTCTGATCATGTGCGGAGGACTGATGTACGTCGGCGACTCCTATTCTACCCCCGACATCATCAATCGATAACACCTAACGCCGACAGATCTGGGATCGCCGGACTCAACAAGACGGTTTCCATTACCCAAAACACCGAGCTGATCGGCACCGGTACCACCAGCAAGGTCAACGTCTGGGCCCTGACCGAGATGTGGTTCATCATCATCTTCGGGTCGATTCCCGTCCTTCGGGCGTGCTTCGTTCGTTTCACGCAGGATATCAAGAAGACAGCCGCACGGTCCAGCGGGGCGTCCTCCGACCCGTCCGACCCGGACGGCTCCTGGGTTGAACTCCACAATCGGTCACAGAGCGTCTGGGTCACGCGGGGACCTACTCACGCCACCGAGGGGTGTCCGGTGCGGCAGATCCTGGTAACGACCAACACGAGTGTGGTGCGAGAAGGGAAGTAGATGTCCTTCTGCTCTTCGTCCCCGTTTTACAGAGAGATTGATCATGGACGTGGTTGGTTACACGAGTGATGACGGTGTGATATATGTATATATATATGGATAGTCTGCTGTAAGACAGAACTCAATCTGACATGCGGTGAAAGGCAGAAGAGTTGTATATGCGTTAACCTAGTCCATGGTGCCCCTACATTGCCACAGGTTGGACGGCATTCACCATCCAGTCATTAGACTTAACATAGCCAAGCCCCATCCCCTGAAGATCTGGCCAACGGATGAACTGCCGTTGTGTGAGTCAATTGGTATCCATTCAGAGACCAATCAGGCAGACTCCAATCTAGCTCGATCCCACAGCGGCGGTGCAAAAGGCAGCCTGGCGATCGGCATCATGGCCCGTAGGCGGAAGCATTCTGCTCGCAGATCGCATCAATCAGGTCCGCTAGAATGGGGATGCCTATCGTGGAAGGTCAATGTTATGTGAGCCAGCGCAGGGAATCCCTTGAACGGAAATGTGTAACAAAACGAGGAGAAGAAAGCCCTCGTTGGTGACGAGAGATAAATAGGTATGATGGGAAGTTCTCATCAACAAATCCGACGAGTCGAATAAGCGTTCATTAGGTGGTTGTGCACTAGCTATGTTTGGCTGACTAAGTGGGTCTGGCACAACTATTTTTAGCCGTGGCGGAGTTCCAACCTGAGGCACCACCCACTCCGCTTCCCGGTTGCGTCTCGATTCAGCAACAACACTGGGGCTCATCGTTGGATTGCTGCCTCCACCTCATTGTCGTGCTTATAATAATTCAATGGCATCCTGCCAAGTCGAGTTCTTGGTTTTACAGTTGACTTTGGTGCTGCCCAGTGGTCTCCGTATTGCGTAAATCCCTGCAGGAACCCACCATGCTGGACGAAAACCTCCCTAGTCTGTTGTCCCCTCAATGACCTCATTTTACGTCCCAAACAGTCCAGGAACGCTAACAACTCATCTAGCCTTCTATGTCAAGCCTGGCAAGAAAGAATCCCATGCTTCGACGGTCTACTTCTGTCAACATGGCAACGAGCCGAACCCCGTCTACACCCTACGGTACCCCGACCCGGCCTCCCCCACCTCTTCCAACCGATACGCCATAGCCTTGGTCGACCCCTACGTTCCTGATGTCGTCTACGGCGAAGTTCTCCTCGCGCCTGAATTCACTCAACCCAGTCTGTCCGCCGATAGCATCCGACAGAATGGCGGAGTGGCCCCGCCCCCAGAACTCATCATCCCCACCAGCTTCACCGTCCGCCTCTACAACCCGGACCAGCAAATCACGGTGCAGTTCAAGCCGAAGTCGTGGAACAGCCCGGCGACTTGGACTTTCGAGATGCCACAGCAGACCTTCCGGCAGCCATCGAGCTCGACGCTCGATCAATCCCGCATCGACCCCGCCACGGCCGACACAACCCCAAAACTGCGGTTTAGCTGGCGCCGGGACAGCAAGCTGTCCAAGGACCTGACGTGTCTGCTATCGGGGAAGACGGCAACAATCCCGGAGACGAAGACAAAGAGCAAGGAGCCGGACATCACCGTGTCGATCTTCCGCAGCCTGCGCGAGCTGACCCTCTACGAGCCCAACCTGTACCGTGTCGAGATGGAGGACTTCAAGGGACTAGAGGTCGTACTCCTGTTGGGCGCCGTGACCATCCGGGACGTGTTCTTCGAAACTATGAAGGACGCCTTCCATTTGTCCAGCCCTAAGCCCACCAATGCCGCGTCCGCAAACAAACCGCTCCCCAACCCCAAGGGGAAACAACCGCAACAACAACCACAGCCTGTGCCCGCAGTATCCGGCGGACTCAACGGGAAAGCCCCAATGGGCACCACAACCTCCAACCAACCCCCACCACAAATGAGACAACCACAACCCAACCGCGAAGAAGAGAGACGGCGACGAAAGATGAAAGATGAGCAAGAGCAAGCACGTCGCCGGCGCCAAGAAGAGGTTGACAAGGAGACGCAGCGACTACAGCAGATATACGGACGGGAGGAACAGCAGGCACGGGCGCAGGTGCGCACACCAGGACTACCACCGCGGCCGGCCGCACCACCAGTTCAAGCCAGCGCCCGACCCCACCCGCAATCCGCCGTTCCACCCCGCGGGGCGCCCGCGCAGCGGTTCTACCACCACCATCACCACTCACCGTCGGTGCCGCATATCGTGCCGGTATCGGGCAGGCCACAGAACGCGGCAGCACAGCCACGGCCGACGGTGCAGCCGAAAAAAAGCAGTTTCTTTGGATTCCGCCGCCCGCCTTCCGACGAGGGGAAATTGTCAAAGAAGCGGAGCTCGATGTTTTGAACAATAGCAAACCAAAATTGTCAATAGATAGGATGATACCCAGTTGTATATAAATTTTATGAAAGGAAAATGATTGCACTTGCATTGTACTTGTGGGAAGGTCGTAGTTGGCCCAGGCCTGGTCGTGCCGTTCGTCGTGTCTTAGTGCTTATGGTGGTGTATACTAGTATGATCACGGCGTCAGCCAACCAGAGTACGGAGTATGTACTCCGGGCATTCTGTAGATCAAATTTCCACATATAGGGAGAATAGAGGGGCCAGGTCGCCAGGTCGACCTGGCGAGCCCTCTAATCGGGAGAGTAATCTACAATACATCACTGACTCAATGCCGCGACTACCGGTCTAGCCATTAACAGTGGCCAGGTCCTATAACATGGAGTGCTATCCAGCCATATACAGTATAAATACCAGACAAGATATGAAAAGTTTCAAGTGTGTAGTTCCTGGCAAATCGACCAGCCACTAGCAATGAAAACCCGAGCCCAGGTTTGAGAAAACCACGAGTCTAGTCTAGAATAATTCCCCATGAAACTCATGTACACGCTAAGTCCTACAGCCCCCCGGCACACCACCCTAAGCAGGCAGCGTAAGCCCAGTAACATCCTGACAAGCCTTAACGACAAGCTCCTGCAAATTTTCATCCGCCGTCACCGGAAGAGGCTCCCCGATCTTCCTCTTCGGGTCAAAATACACCCCGGTGAGACTCTGGTCGTAGTCCCCCTCCGCCAACATGACATAGGTCTCGACCCCATCCTCCAGCTTATCAGTAGCGCTCTGGCCCCCAAGCTTAGTAACCACCCAACCCGGATGCACAGCGGTGACAGAAGTGCCCTTGAACCGGCGCGCGACGGCATTCGCTAGCATCATAACATGAAGCTTCGAATCGCAATACGCCGGGAAATCACGGAACTGCTCCTCCCCGCGCTGGAACCAGAAAATATCCTTCACATCGGTATTAGCCTCGCGGTGAAGAGTCGACGCAATGAACACAAGCCGCTTCGGCCGCGTCAGCAGACAAGCAAGGATATAAGGCGCGATGACGTTCACGAAGACCATAGCCGGGACGCCGGTGTCGGGCGTCTTGCGGAAGGGCCCGTAGAGCATGCCTGCGTTGAGGATGACGGCGTCGAAGGCTCCTATCGCGTTGGCCTGCTCGGCGAGGTTGCGCGTTTCGGCCACGCTGGTCAAATCGGCGATCAGCACGCCGGCTGCGCCGGGGCATTTGGCTTGGGCGGCGGCTGCGCGTTCTTGGTTGCGTGCGTGGAGGTAGACGGTGTGGTTGCGTTGGACTAGTTGGCGGGCGGCTTCGAGGCCGAGGCCGTCTGTTGAGCCAGTTATTAGGATGCGGGCCATGTTGTTGAAGATAGTGGATGGGTTGTATTATCAACGAAGACGCAGGGCTAGCCGGGTTTGAACAATGACTTTGAGCGCTATAAGAAGGGAGCAAGCAAGCACGGTGTTAAGTCAGGAGAATATTGCACAGATAAAGCTATTTAAGTCTGACGTGATAGCTCGGCGGCAGACGTGTGTAGACTTCGGGGTTGCCGAATTTATAAGCTTATAGAACGTGGGGGAAGCCATCCGATGCAATTCCGTATACTGTCGGTCCGACGCGCCGAAATCCAATAGATCTTTCTCCACCATAGAAATCCATGGATAGCGTGATGGCGCACGGAGCACTCTGTGCCTGTTTCCGAGATACCCGGTCACAAGGTGCCAAGATTCCGAAGCCTTTCAATGTCCCAACAAAGACGGGACTAGGCCGTATAGATATCTCACACCGTGATCCCGGGAAATCATTACGGGGGATACAATTGAGAATCGGCAAGGGTTAGACAAAGATTCACCAAATTGGCTACATATGCTATCAACCACTATAAATGCTGCCCAGCTTTTTGGGGGGGCTTGACCTTGATATTCCCAACATAGCACATCCTGCCAAGATGTTAGCGTGTTGACGGACAATTGAAAGACGTTGGTCAACTGAGACACTTTCGGTCAACCCGTTGAGGGTTGGATGCCACACTTAAATACCTGCCCAGAATTGCTATCTCCGTGATCACCGCGCCTTACAACTGCAAATTAGTACCTTTAGATCAGCAACCCATTGATTCCTTTCCTCTAACTGTGCTTCAGTGTGTGGGATAGCATAGTCCACTGTTAATCACAATCCGAATAGTTTGTCAATTGGATAGTGATCTTCGAAGCTGTCTTCATCCTTGTTATACTGGCCAGTCTTGAGCTCCACTAGTTCGTCCATTTATTGCTTTTGCTCTGGGTTCAAAAGCTGTATATTGTCGTCAAGAGAGTTAAAGGGCCCATAATATCGCCTGTCAATGAAGGTCCAGTAGATCTCATCAAACATGGAGCTGTATCGTGCGGCCAAGCAAACCCAAAGTAGTCCAGATCCAATGGAGTCCTCCATAGGTGGAGACAGGCGCTGTGACTCAGAGAGGAGTTGTCGCTCTATCAGCTTGCTTTCATGGTCACTTAGAACTTCCAAGAAGAGACGGAGCCTGGGAACATAGCGACTCAGAAACAGATCCAGGTCGCCCTCCCAGTCCTTCGGACTCTGCAGTAAAAGCCACCAAGGAGCAACCCATGTAAACTCAGCAGGGGCAGCATATGTAAACTCCCAGTTAATAACGCCCGAGATGCGGAAAGGGTCGAGATTTAATAGGACATTCGAAGGTCGGAAGTCGTCACAATATAGCTGAAATGGCTCTTGAAGATGCTCCGCGCAGAGTATCCTTGTGATGTCTAAGAATAAACAACGAGCGGTGAATTTCTTTCGACAGTCCTCCTCGCTGCTAACAGCGTCTTGTTGCTGTAATCGAAGATGATAAGGCTGCTGCAAAGCAAGCGCTTCAAAGTAGCCCGTGTATAAACTTGAAGGTGTGCGAGGGGAAAACTTCTTCGGGTAAGCTTGCAGACGCCATGAACTCGTTCATGTTGAAGGTGAGAGGTCACCTGGTGATAAAGAAACCCTTCTCATTGCCCTCAAGCGCACCAATTGAATCAAATTCGTGTCCAGACAACTCGACAATAATCACGGCCATTTCGCGATACGCCCGCGTCAGGCTCCGATCGCCTGTCTGCGGATTTAGTACTGACCTTCCCTTTGAAGAAGGGTCTTTGAGAAGCATTGATAACGGCACTCCTCCAAGAAACGACATAACAATATAAGGACCAGCCCAGCAGATACCGTGGCCAAACACTTCAGGAACAGGTATTGACGTATTCTTGCGTAGGTATCTCATTGTCGCTACTTCAACTTTCTCCCTGCGGAGAATAGCCCTTCCAAGGGCAGCGAAACGAACAATGAAATCTGGCCCTTCATAATATCTCACCCGGTAGCTTATGCTAAAGGCACCACTCCCCCACGACACGCCGATACAGTTTTGCCAGGCTGGTGCTGTTTCGCAAGCTGCATGGACAGGATCTCTGGGTTCCGGCTTGACCATAGCTTTGACCAGGCAGTAGTCTTCTGTTCTTGTTTCTTGTCAGCGAGATGATAATAATTCATATTGAACTAATTGCTATAATGACAAGCTGAGGATGAGACCAGAGGGTGATAGTAAGAGGATGGGTTTAGCTGTTGTAAAGCAGAACAAAGGATAGACCCCTTTTGTGTTTCAGCCACAGATGACCTGTCGCTACCAGAACCAACTCTATTTGCTCTGTTTATATCAACCAGTTTAGGTTTAAAACAAAAACAAGTAAGACAGCAGACAGTCAAATCTCGAGAGCCCATTGCCTTGATCAGGAAAATTTAACCCTTCATGAAAAATTTGTGGCTCCGGGAGTGAATATATATGTGCGCAATCACTTCCCACTTACAAAATGGCAGCTGACCGATATTACACAACTTGCATGATAGAAAGAACCCAGATCTTTCTTTGAATGGACTTGTTAAAGGCTGAAGGAATTTTGTTTATCTTGTTCTCGACAATATTGACATGTAAAAGCTATCACTTGGTGTATCTCTCCACAGTCACTTTGACAAGCCCTAACATTTTAGTAAACTAACTCTAGAAGCTCTCCTTCCCCTCCCCTTTCTTTTTTAATTACATTACTGGGGTATAATGTCACAGCCTACAATTACTGCATGAAGAAAAGATTAATATTCATAAAGGGAAATATTGACCCAGTTCCCAGAAGGCTAGGGACATTGTACTACTTCCCAAGTTATGATTACCCTTTCATATATAGCTATCCACGCACGGTATCTGGAATGCAAAGGCCCACAATCATCGAAATAGATAGCGAGCATAACCCGGTCCCTTCCCTCACCCCCATGTCCCAGAAATCCCATCCAAAATGGGGTTGAAGATCACAACAGCCTCCCCTCCACCCCCTCAGCCGTGATCTTTACAGGGAGGATGTTCCCCTCCTCATCGAACTCCATCCGGTCTATGCAAGTCACGCGATGATCGCGCTCGGTGTCGCCCACCGGCCGGCGGTGATACACAATATAGTATGTTTCACCACCGTCGGGGGTGAAAACACTATTATGACCGGTGCTGTCGCCGACGACGCCGTCGCCTTGGAGTATCTTCCGCGGGGTAGTGCTGAAGGGGCCTGTGGGAGATGGTCCGGTGACGTAGCTGACGCCGTAGGAGGAGTCGCCCCATCTGGATTCTTTAGCGTAAGTGTGGATATGATCATAGAAGGGAGGTTACGAAGAAAGAGAGACCAACCCGCCTACAGAATACATAAAGTAGTATACCCCTTTCCGCTTCAACACCCACGGACCCTCGACGTAGTCCTTTGGTGTGATTTCCTTATAGTCACCAGCTAGGGCAACCATATCCGACGCGAGCGGCACAACCACAGCGTGACTCCAGCCGCCAAAATACAACCAGACGGAGGCATCATCGTCGATGAAAACCTGCGCGTCGATGGGCTGCGCACCGTGGATAGTCTCCGGGACGAGAGGTTTGCCGATGGCGTCTTCGAAAGGTCCGTCTGGGCGGCCGGAGACAGAGCGGGCAACGCCTATGCCTGCGCCGTCGCCAGCGGAGAAGTACATGTAGTAAGTGTTGTGGGCGGCGACCACGGAGGGGGCCCAGGCGGCGCGGTTAGTGGACCAAGGGATGCGGGTGATGTTGAGGACGTGAGGGTGACGGGTCCAGGTGAGGAGGTCGGGCGAGGAGAAGGCGTCCAGGGTGGTTTGGGCTTCGTAGACCGTGGATGTCGTGGGGTAGATCCAGTAGGTGGTGTCGAAGATGCGGGCTTCGGGGTCGGCGTACCAGCCTGGGAAGACAGGGTTACCGGATGTGGGGTTGACGTTGACGTTGGAAGTGGGATTCATGTTGTGGTAGTTGATGGTGCCGGGGTTAAAGTTGCGATAGGGTTGGGAGGCGAGGATGGGAGAGGAGTAGACGGGGGAGAGAACGGAGACTACGGTGATAAAGGCGCGAATGTACATATTTTCCGACTTCGTTCGACCTTGGTTCCTGACACAGTGAGAGAAGCGATGTCATGGTGGTTGAGACTATTGTCGCGGAGCAAAAGAGGGGAAGAGAGCAGGGATTACGGTCTGGACGGACAGGGATGTTAGGAATCTCGCATATCTTCAGACCTCGGATGGAATGCGAGATGGAATGCGATATAGGGCAAGACGTCTCAGCCCTAAACGACGACCGACATGGATGACCACATCGAGCCAAACAAACCCCATCATCAAGCAAATGGTATGACATAAAAAGAGCCAAACAAATCGCAGGATCAAACAGATATGATATAAAAAGAATCAAAGAGACCCCAAGCGACCCACTCACGGCTCGAACACGAGCCGATCGCCCTAATTCTCCCACTCCCCAAATATCATTCGTATTCCGCATTCCACTCCCGGCACGAATCCCAGGGGATCCCAGCCTTAACAGGGCCATTTACGACAACTTACATAATCGTCAACAGAGCATCTTGGCGATCGCCGGACCCTGCAGACTCGGAGATGAAAATAGAAGCAGCCGCACTAGCGCTGACTAGCCCTGTCGGACAATCGATCGTCTCTCCACCACCGCTACTCGACGCCGTGAGATTGGCGATACGAGTACCCCAGAGCTCTCGTATACGCTTCAGCTGGAGCAAATATTCGTCTGCGAGGGCTGGATCACGGCGACGAGCAGCCGTCGCGGTCTGCAGTCAGCGACCAGAACGCAGGGCATCGCATCCCAGATGACGTTCCGATTCGTGGGAGAGGAGGGTAGGACTATGTATAGCGACATCTTCCACTGGATGGAGAGGTCAATATGCCACTGGTAAAGATAGATACTATCTCGGATCCTGTCGTCTCCGGATAAGGTAGTCATAGCGAAGGGCCGGTAGTGGGGCGAGTAATAATAGCGAACACGATCAGTCCAGCGTGTAGAAGCTAGTCTCGGACGACGTATTGAGCAGCATCACGATGAACAGATCACCATCGTATTGCACGGGGCCTCTGGATTGAGAACTTCACGAGTGTATAGAGCAGTGGGTAGATAAAGGCCGCTTGTCTTGGGCTTTTCGAGCCTCATCAGTCTATCCATCATTCTCTTCACCACCATCATCATTGCCAGTTGTTGCCAGTGCTGGACACACTCCTTTGTCAAAAACACACTTCCGTTCTCCTTCTCCTTAACTTATTGCTTCTTCTCTCTCTCTACTCTATCTTATCCACTACGACCACTCTACTAGCCCTACAATCAAGCAACTCACCATGGTCGGCGTCCCCCACAGCACAGGCTGCGCCTTATGCCGAGAACGCCGCATCAAGGTACCATTCTCCCTTCAAACCGATTCTACATCTTCATGAAAGAAATATACTCACCAAACAGTGTGACCAAGCAATCCCAGACTGCACCCAATGCCGACGCTACGGCCGGCCCTGCCCAGGGTACCGCAAAACCTACCGATTCCAAGACGAGCGCCCCGGCCTCGAACGCAAGCACCGGTCATCATCGACGACGACCTCCTCCCCACGCGACCTTAGCACCGCGTCTCCCCCAACCATCAACACAACGCCTCCAATGCAGCGGAACCCCGCCGAGTTCGGCGACGACACCGACGACGACAGCACCAACCAGCGACGACTCTTCGTGGAGTTCCTAGCGAATGCATTCCCCACAGGATGGGCGCACGTCGGAACCCGGTTAATGGCCAACGAAGGCGAAGACGCGTCCCGACTGCAAGCGCAGACGGCGCGACTGTGCGGGGGCCGCGGGTTCCAAGCTACAGCGACGGCGTGCGTGACGGGGATATACGTGGCGCACGCGCGGGGCAGCGCGGGGATGGAGGGGACGAGTCGGCGACTTTATGCGCGGGCGTTGCGCGAGGTCGAGCGCGGGCTGGACTGCGCGGAGACGGCCATCTCCGGGGTGATGGTCGGGGCGGTGATGATGTTGGCTGTTTATGAGATGTATGCGCGGACGAGCGCGGATGCGTTTGTCGTGCATGTTGAGGGGGTGGAGAGGGTTATGAGTGAGCGAGGCGCGCGGGCGCATGAAAGGGGCCTGGCGCGGAGCTGTTACCTTGCTTTTCGGGGGTTGCTGGTTGCGACGGCTGCTTTTGAGGGGAGAGGGTGTTTTCTTGAGGGGGAGGAGTGGGTGCGGTTGGCGAGGAGGGTGGGTGAGGAGGATAGTCGGCGGTGCGGGGGTGGTTGGGGGAGGTTTGTAATGATGTATGAGGAGGTTTTTGCGCAGGTCGTGCGCGTGCCGGGGTACTTGGAGGAGGCGAGACGGGTGAGGTCGGAGAGTGCGGAGAGGGAGCTGGTGCGGCGGATGCGCGAGACGAGGGCCCAGTTGAGGGAGTTGGTGGCGGCCATGGATGGGTGGGCGGGGTCCCCGGGGAGGGACTCGGCGCCGTCGCTGCTGGTGCGGGGTGCGGGGAGTGCGGTGGCCCTGCTGGAGACCCTGCTGGGTCGGCTGCGGGTGCAGGCTGGTCCCTTGCGATTTCGGGTGGTGACGGAGTTGGGCAGGGGAGGGGAGTCGCTGACCTGGCTGGACCGGGTTGCTTCGTCTATGGGGATGCTGGGCACGGAGATTGTCTTTTGATCATCTGGTATGATTGCATATAGATGGTGGTTTGGATGGAGTTGTTGGTTTGATCAATGCATTATGTTCATCCAGTAATACTAGGGAGAGTATATTTCTACTGTAAGAAAGAGTATTGCTCAGCCATGTCCAACAGCATCACCGTGACTACTATATAAATATTAGTGATCAGCAAAAGTACGTGTTCGAGAGTGATTATGATTTGTCTGACCTCGGCTCAAACCACGCGAGTGAGGGTTCCAGTGCCAACCGCATCCATCAAGCACAAGCTGAGTCCAGAGAACAGTCTCTCATCAGTCAGTTCACATCAATGGCACTGTCGGCCGACAGTGCAGGCCATCCCTACCACACCCGAGTCTCCTGGGAAACTGATCGACCGTGCATAACTTGGTGACCAACAGATCGTCATGGAAGGAAGAATCCCTAATTATCTATGGAGCGCAGGGACAGATCAGCAGGAGCTACTGCGAGACGGGATCCTAGTGTGCACATCATTGTCCTTTCCAACGAGGATAGGATTGGTTGGAGGAATAAGTTGGACGCTATAGATAAACCTGCATGAAGCTAGAATAGTGCGATGAACTGGCGCTGGATCGGTTAGATCACAGGAGCAGTACTTGTGTCAGCTGAGTCGTGTCTCCTTTTCAACTCCTGCCCTAGTTCTTTTACTATAATAAGCTGACAATGAGGGGAATATAGGGGGCTTATTGGTTGAGTACGTGGTAGGATTCTATGAAACGAGTTCTAACGGATATCCAAAATTACGTCGGTGATATGACCCATGCAAAACTCCCTCCACATCTTGTTTCCCCGAACAATAACACCCCGAAGTGCATGGAAATAAAGTAGAATAAAATTGGGCGGGACGTGCTGTCTTTGGTGGGGTGGCTCGACATACGCAATTGTGGGTCCGGTCGCCACGGTTCTCCAGGAGACAAACCAGCACCGACACGGATAGGCAACAAGGATCTGTCGGGTCATGACTCGGGTGGGCAGGGGTTTCAAGCCAGCTGGCATTGAGCTGATGGAGGGTTGAAAATTGGAATATTTTAGAATATGGATGGTACAGCTAGTGGTGGTTGTGACGTTGGTAGCTCCAGATAGTGCATCCTATACTGTGCCAGGATGACCGGCGTCCGAAACAGGGTTCGCTAAATGGCGAAGACGGGCAGGATAGACTGGTGATCACTCACAGCTAGGAGATGGCGATGTAGACAGGGTGGAAGTTAGTGCTGCTGATCGTTTGGAGACCCAGGAGGTCGGGGACCCTGAGCATGTGAATTACCAACAACTCGACCAGGGCGCGACTGTATGTATCCCCGACGTCATCTCATGCTCAGTTCTACTACGGCCCAGCCAGACCACCCCGTCAGAAGTACAGACCCTATCCCCTCACCAGTTAGTCACCCCTATTCCTTGCTGTCTCGTGTGCCGCAGGATCCTGACTAGCCCCAAAAATAAAATAAACTTAATTTAGCAGCCAACCTAGCCCGACACCATTATTGCCGGGCGACTCCTGTAGCACCCTCCCTATTTCTCCGACCTAGCAGCAAATATACGGTCGCAATACATAACAACGCAAATACTATGCTCCATCCATATAATGCATCGGCAGAGGAGAACAACCAATTTACCGAGAGAAGTGGGGGTGGACCCCATTGGGGGGATTAACCAGCGGAGCTGTGAGACTGGGTCTACGTTCTCCCCCGGAGTGGGGCGGGGAAGTGGAGACCGGAAGTGGAGTCCGGGGGAGCGGAGTGTTTTAGTTGTTTTGGCGCGGAGATGGAGGGGTGGGATTCCGCTGTGCTGTACTGCTAACCACTAAGTATCTCGTCTCGTATTTCGTATGTAGTCTAGAATTAGTTTGTTGTATGGTGTCAGGATTTACTATCTAATATTTACGGAGTATGAAGCTACTTCCTTCCGGAGATTCGTTTCGTACTATGGCTGCTGATCTCCCCGTATTTATTTTTTATACCCAAGGTAGGAGTGGTATTATAACATGCGCTTATCTCAACCTAATCATAGACAGTCACTACATCTCCACCTCGCCTCCTCTAATGTACTCCCAGAAGGGTCCACCTGAGGCAATAGCTCTGAGTCTATGATGCACCGCAGCTGGGTACTCCACTTGGACACACCCTTGGCAGTTGGCAGGTTGGGTACTGAGTGCTACTGAGTACTGACACTGCTCGTTCTGGGGAACGTTGGGATCCCGACAGTAATAATGATAGTCTAGGGAGATTTCCCTTCTGGGTGAATGCAAGAAGATCAATATGGACGACAGGAGATGCATGCTGTATATAAAGCTGAATTTCGTCCAGCCATGCAAGACGCCCCCTCTGGTTTCAATCTCCGGTTCTTCCTTCTTCTTCTTCCATACTATATTGTTTAAGATACCCTTTCCTAGCCATTATACCCCCCATACCTACCTACCCACTTACACACCAGGTCCAACCCCCAAAATGGCCGACACAACAGAAAAATACGACCTCGCCAACACAACCACAAACGGCTCCTCCCCACTCCAACAAACACAAACCAAACCTGCCTCCGCGCCCTACGAAAACGGCCACTACGGACCTCTCGCGCACGTCAACACAGCCGAGTACCGTCTCCCAGCCTTCGGAGGCGAGTTCCAGCCGGGTCTGTACCGGTCGCCGAAGAACCGCAAGATCGGCAACCCCGCGCCGCTGGGTCTCTGCGCTTTCGCCCTGACGACTTTCATCCTGGGTTGTATACAGATGCAAGTGCGCGGCATTACCCAGCCGAATATTATTGTTGGGTCGGCGTTTGGGTATGGTGGGTTGGTGCAGTTGTTGGCTGGGATGTGGTATGTTTGATCTTACCCTGCTCATATAGAGAGAGGGAGTTTGGAAGGTGTGCTAATATGAAACAGGGAAATGGCCGTGGGAAACACCTTCGGCGCAACGGTTCTGTCCTCCTACGGTGGATTCTGGATCTCCGTCGGCATCACCTTCACACCGGGTGGCTTTGAGGTCATGTCATCGTTAGAGAAAGTCGACGGCGGCCAGACAAACATGTTCTACGACAGTTTCGGCCTGACCATTATGGTACCTCCCTCCCCTTTCCACCTCCCCCAATGTCCCCCACATCTAACATCAATGCTAACAATGATGTCTGCAGGGCTGGTTCATCTTCACAACGATCATGCTCTTCTGCACCTTCAAATCAACCGTCGCCTTCTTCACCCTCTTCCTCGTCGTCGACATCGCCCTCCTGCTGCTGGGTCTGGCCTACCTGCTGCGCACGCCGACGGGCATGCCGAACCCGAACCTGTCCCAAGCGGGCGGCTTCTTCGCGATCCTGGGCGCTTTCCTCGCGTGGTACAACGCCTTTGCGGGTATCGCAGACGACAGCAACAGCTTCATCCTGCCGCCTGTGGTGCACTTCCCGTGGTCGGAGAAGGGCCGCGAGGCGCGCTTGGAGAAGCAGAAGAGTGCTGTCAGTACGGGGGCTGTATGATCAATACATAACATAACTATAACATAGTAGACTGCTGGGGGAGGGGTACCTTTATTTAGGTAGTGATGCGATCCCCTACTTAATGACTGGGTTATAGAGGTGGTGGAGTGGGTGTTTGTTGGTATTTTACTGCGTTTCCTTTGTATATTTGTTTGGTTCCGTAATAGAATTACATGGTCCCGGCGGGGAGATAGGCCCCGGGAGGACCGTTGGATTTGAACGAGAATATACATCTAACTTCGATATATATGTTCATCTTCATCGACGTCGTAAACAGTGACACGGGCGAGCAAGTCACCCCCTGGAATAAATCCCCTAGTGCTTGCTATCCAGCAGCTCCATGATCCGATCCAGCTTGTCCAGCTGGTCCAACCGGCGACTGATGTTCCCCAGCTGTCGCTCGATGTTGTCCACCCGCGTTCGGAGATCTCCCTCCTGCTGACACTGGTCCGCCACCGTCCGCAGGAAGCCATCGATGTTCTCGCTGAGCAGGTACGGCCGGCGCGAGTCGCTGGACATCCGGCGTCGCGTCGCCTGCGGGGACCGCCCCGCTCGCTGCTCGTCCATGCCCACCCCGGCCGTCTTGGGCCCGGCTTTCGGGCCCGCTGTGTCCCCGCCCATCCCCGACGTCGAGTATGACCGTTTCGTCCCCTGGCTAGTCGGGGTGGCACTGGGCCCGACGGCGGACTGGTCCGCCCCGGGCTGGGCGACGTTCTGCAGGGCGCGCTCGTGCGCCTGCAGGTCGTCGAGAAACGCCGTCCACTCGTCCAGGGCGTCGCGCATGCCAGGGAGACCCGGGTATTGTGCGGGGGGGAGACGTTCGCGCAGCCAGGCGCGATGTTCCTCCGTGGAAGTAAGGACCTTCTTCTGGCCCGTTTGCCAGTTGAATTCGTCGCGCCCGGTCGCGGCGCGAAAGTCCTGTGCCACGGTGATCCAGAAACTCTTGTTGCCGCGCGAGCTGGTGCAGAAGCCTTTGTTTTGCAGGCAGATCTCGATCAACTGCGTGTATTCGTCCGGGTTCATGCGTTTGGCGCGCTTGCGTTTCGGCGTGGCTTCTGACTCCGCTCCGGCGGCGGCGGCGGCGGCCGTGATCGGCTCGGTGGGAGCCGTGGAGGATGGAGGAGCGGCGGCGTGGGAGAGCTGGCTGTGGGGCGTGTGGTTCGCGGCGGCGGCGGCATTGCTGTTGTTATTGGTAGTGGTCGAGGTGGTGGTCGCGGTGGGCGTGGCGGTGTTGGGGACAGGACTGGGTGTCGGTAAGCCCTGCTGGGGTTGGGAGTAGGGCGAGGATTTGGTGCGGGGCGTGGCGGTGGCCTCGTGCAGGGACCAGGTAAATTGGCGATAGGGCGAGGAGGTGTTGGCATTGGGATTATGATGGTGATGGTGGTGGTGGTGGTGGGCGTGGTTCGGATTGGGATTCGTGGGCAGCGACGCGGTAGGTGCCCGCCGCGTCGCTGACGGCGCGTGCATGATCGGAGAAGCCTGGTTGAGAGACAGCGGGGTGGGCTGCTGGGAGGGTGGTACCGGCAAGTCCGGTGTGGCCTGAGGAAGGGCATAATAGTCATCCATGATGAATAGCACAGCGGGATGAGAGAAGGGAGTAACCCGAATGGAGACGGCGAAGGGAAAGGAGAATGACAGAGAAGAGATGGATTGATCGAGATGATTGTTATTCCCAATCTGATCGGGCGATTTCTTGGGGCGTCTAGCGGTCCTAACCGGATGGGGCTAGCGGGCCCGCTGTCGATTGGTCGATCGGACGCGGAGATGGGACCCGCTAGCCTGATCAGGCTAGTCAGTGCTGACTAACAGTCAGATTTATGTCCACTATGTCCACTTATGATCTCCATGCTCATCTCTCCAGTATCACGTATGCTATTGCTTGTCTGAACCCGTGGAATATATGAATTTCGATACCCATATGTATACATTCATTTGTATATACATGTAGTGGGGCATCGCATGCTGCCTCGACAGCTCCGTCCCCCTTGCGGCGACGGCATGTATCACTATCAGGCTCTCAGGCATGGACCGACAATCGATGCCAATCCTCCCACGACTGACCAAATGGCCCGGTTGATTCTGTCTTGGGGATCAGTATCGGTCTAGCTTACATCCCTGCTCATGTCCCCAAAACAACTTAGGTCTACCAATCACCATATGGCCGTGTTTCACGCTCATCGCACAAATTACCGGAATCACCCGGCTGATGTAAGCGGTATGCTCGGAACAGATCCCGAGGCAGTGTGATCTTCCCTCTGTCAACAAATCAACAATGATATTCAACAAGGATCATATAGTCCAAGCACACATAACAGTCTGGGGGCAATTGCTGTCATGAGGTAGTGTTGGTGTGTGAGCTATGTCGGGGACGCGGGTCTCGCTGTGGTGGTGAAAAGCTAGTCTGTGCTGCCTGTATGCGCCGGGCTCTTCCAATTGACCGATGTATCTATAAGGTACAAGTCGCAACATAAGATTGGCTGTATAAGAGTATTCACAGAGCTGAGAAGTATCTAGATATCTCTTATCGCCGAGTGATATCCTTTGCCACAGTACAAAATGCAAGATTTCCAAGCCTCTTGCTCCCCACTGGTTACAAGCGCTCGCTCTACCATTTTTAGTCCGATTCTACCACTGTTATGACTCTTCCGAGCCCATGCCCCGGCCATGAACGAAGTGCAATATTCCTCTTCCACGGACTTTTCTGCATACAGCCTGGCGGACATGGTGAATCGGGAGTTCCCGCGGGAGGAATTGGTTCGAGTGTATTCGCTGGATGTTGAGGGCATAGTTGCCCGCTGCCCAAAGGCCCTCGAAGAGGTGATGAGCCAGCGGCATCATGAATTCTGCAAACGGGCCCCAAAACCCGGCCGGATTGGAAGCAGCTCCAGTAAAATCAGCCCTAACCCTCTCCGAAATGCAAATGTGCAGTAGGTAAAGTAGATAGTAGAGCACATCACCCGAATCGCGCCGGTAGTAACATCCAATCTCCGTCATTGGCCCCTGAGGTGAATCAGACATATCGATTTATCAGTCTGGCATTAACTCATACCAATTGGGCAAAAAAGCCAAACCCAAAAAAGGGTTCGACTTTTTCGACAGGCTGGATATGACTGATATCCCCAACGTATATATAGGACAGGTCATCTCAACCACACTTACTATGATGAGACAAGAACCTTCGAGAACTATTTATATGTTGCAATCTTTTTGTTCAAGTACTGAACACGCGCAAATATGTCGTCCATGTCAGATATTTTCCGAGTCATTCAACACACAGTACCATCGCATCGCCAAAACGATGCCCTGGTCTTGTCCTTCAAACAGTATATTCCGTTGGATAACCCTAACCCTCGTTCCGACGATGTCACCATTATCGGAGCCCCCGGAAATGGACACGTAAAGGTCAGCGCCTATCTATTCTTCCGCGATGTACCCTCATCGTACGCACACACAAAGGCTGAAGGATGTCCTGCAGGAGCTTTATGAACCCCTTTGGGAAGAACTGTACCATCGCTCAAAGACAGCCGGTTTCCGGATCCGCGGCATTTGGATCGCCGATGGGACACATCAGGGCAAAAGCGGCATCCTCAACAAAAGTCGTCTCCAGAACAACCGTAAGTCGCGACAGTCTACTAGCTGAAGCAGGCTCACTAATAGTATAACGCTCCATACCCAGTCGACTGGCTCGATCATTCCCACGATCTACTCCGCCTCATCGAGATCAAGCATGCCGACATGCCCGGTCCAATATTTGGGATTGGACATAGCATGGGAGGAACCCAGCTGTGCGTCTTGTCCATAACGACCAAACCAATATCGACCTTGCTGACCAAAGATTGCGCGACGGTAGTGCATACCTATCTCGTCTGCAGCCTCACATCCTGTACTCGCTTATCCTCATTGAGCCAGGCATCGATGAGCTCTCCCCCACCTCTGTTGTGCAACAGGGCATTGCCCGCTGCGCACAACTCTCGCTCAGCTCTCCTGATACATGGCCTTCCATCCAAGCCGCACAGGAGTTTACCGCGCGAAACCCCCTCTTCCAAACATGGGACGCCCGCGTCGTAAAGCGTTGGCTGCAATACGGCCTATGTGATGTATCATCAACCGAAACAGAAACTACACTTTCTTCCCAACAGCACAATGAAACCAGCACCACCGCTGTAACACTGACGACCCCACGACATCAAGAAATGCTCGCCTACAAGCGCCCAGCTGAACCCGCCAGCTCCGACGTTTCTTCTCCTGGCAACAAGCCCTCCCCGTACTACCGCCCCGAGCCACACCGCGTCTTTGCCCATTTGCCCCACCTCCGGCCAAGCACGCTCTACCTTATTGGTGGCAAGTCCCCCTTGCGTTCACCGCACCTCCGGGAGTTGAGATTGTGCTATACCGGGACCGGCGTCGGCGGCAGTGGGGGCGCTGTCTGCGGACGGGTTCGAGAGACACATGTTCCCGGGTGTGGACACTCACTAGGCTTGGAGGCTGTTGTGGAGTGTGCAGATGAATCTGCATCTTGGCTTGGGAGTGAGCTTGAGCGGTGGGGTCGGGAATCTCATGATAGGGGAAAAGGGAATGAGGGGAAAGAGGCTGGGTCGCAATACAGCCATGGGGTGGAGAATAAGGGGATAAGGTCTAGGTTGTAGACTGCTCAGTATATCCAAGCCTAGGGTCCAGTTAGTTCTCGGTGGGGTTGCGTTTTCTGGAGACTATATAGATATAGATTGATCGTATTCGGTCTCTATGTGAGTACAAAGGCCCAATTGAGCTTCTTATTTCATTATGTGAAACAAATAGAAAGCAAAACACTTGTTGATAAGTTCTCTCCATCTATAGGATCACGGTTTAGTATCTCTATATTGGGACCCGTATTCTCACCATCCCAACCCGCTAAATTCCACTAACGGAACTGTCTGTTCAAAGCTTAGTAGCACTATATGACCTTACAATAACAATAAAAGTAACATGTAGTGGTCTGATAGATTGCATAGATGCGACAAGTTATATCACTAGATAGCCCTAACACTGCAATTTCCGCCGCATTATCTTGCCAGCTGCATTCCGAGGAATCGCAGACACAAATCGGTCGCCCCCTCTCAATCGCTTATAACTAGCCACCTGCCCATCGACAAACTCGCGAATCGTCTCCGCCGTACACTCATGCGCAACATGTCCCGACTTCACCACCACAAACGCCGCCGGCGCCTCTGTCTCCGTTCCGTCGGGAGTAACCCAGTGAACACCCGTCACAGCCACATCCGCAACAGCACAATGACGCAGGGCAATGTTCTCCAACTGCGCCGGGGCAACCTGGAATCCATCGGACTTGATCATTTCCTTGATTCGGCCCGTGATTACGAGATTGCCATGCTCATCTTCGAATCCCACGTCACCCGTCTTGAAAAACCCATCCGCTGAGAAATTCTCCCTTGTCGCCTCTTCATCGCCCAGATATCCCAGAAAAACATTCGGACCTCTGAGCCATATTTCCTCGCAGGAATCGCCCGACTGGTCGGCATCATCAACCGGAACAAACCGTGCGGTCATGTTAGGCAAAAGACGGCCGACGGAGCCCGGATACAAGGGGCCATCTTCCCAGGTTTGGGTATGTGAAGCTGGCGAGCACTCGCTGAGCCCGTACCCCTGGCCTACTCGGAGACTAAGGTTTTCGTAGAGGGCGTGGACGAGGTCCGCTCCGAGAGGGGAACCGACGGAGCTCATCATCTGCAGGGATGAGAGATTGTATGGGGCTGTGATGTGGGGATATGATAGCAGTGCCTGGATTATGCCGGGCACGACGCCCGCGTGAGTAACCTGGTGTTGTTGCACGGCGGCGCAGAAGCTGTCCAGGCGGAATTGGGACATGATGAATGTGGGAACGCCCATGTAGAGGTTTAAATTTAGGATTGCTGTCAGTCCTGTTGTTCCAATATTATTAGTGGGGAAAGGAGTAGTCTCTCGTTGGCAGGATGGACGCACCATATATATGTAACAACGGCATAAGAGCCAAGTCTCGGTCTTCGATGTCCCGCCGGCCGCTATACCCACCGACGCCAGCACTCCGTCGCGATGCGAGCTGGCACAGGTTCGCGACGATGTTGCCATGCGAGAGCATCACGGGTTTCGGTAGACCTGACGTCCCAGACGAGTAGACTAGAAAGGCGAGGTCACGGGCGGGATCGCAGATCGGGGGAGTGTGCGCTCCCCATATCGGACGTTCGTGACCATTATTATTCCACAACTGCGTCGGAAGATCGTCAATCACGATCACTCGGGAGGGTGGGATCCCGGCGCGAGCGGTAGCCTCTAGTGCCACTAGCAATAGGTCTCTTTGCGTCGCGATCGCCGCGCCGAACTTCAAGGGACCCAATAGATCGTCTGCGCTGGATCCGACTTTCGCTGGGCTCACGACTACGCCGGCTGCCAGGGTGCCCCAGATCACAGGGGGAAGCCACAGCGAGTTGTTGGAGAGCAAGACGAGGGCGTCGCCCCTTTTCCAACCCCATTGTGTCTGGATATGGTAGGCAAAGTCCAGGGCATATTGACGGGTCTCCCCATATGTGAGGCTTTCTCCTGTGTCAAAGTCGGTGAGGAGGACACGGTCGGTCGGATATTCCCTGTCTGTCCGCTCGAAAAGGAAGCTTCAGAGGTCAATATAAGGGATGTCGATTTGAGGCCGAGGGGGAGGACATGGTCACGGATGATTTGGTCTGCGTGTTGGTGATGACTGGGCCATGGGCATCCAAAACGGGCAGCCAATTTTTATAGATATGGCACAATACTTCGACATCGGGCCAGCTCAAGACAGGTCTGCAATCGATCTATCTCTTTTGGCAATGCAGATCAGATCCAGCATCACATGCGATAGAGTTTGGCCGGCATGTAGCCCGCAGGCGTCACCAGCATATCGGTGAAGTACGTGTCATCTGCATGCGTCTAGTATCAGCTGGAATCTGTCCTGCTTTCTCTCTTTTCGGTCTGTAAATGGAGAGTAGGTCGATCACGTCCGCCAAATGCAAGGGGTGCTCGGAGCTAAGGTCACACATCAAGGATTTTGTGTTTGAATATAATAGGTATTAGGCAGTGATGATATCTGCCATTGTAGGTAGGTCTATGTAAGATATCCACATAAAAGCAGATCAGGTCGTTGGCATTTGTTTCCACTGAGAATAATGATTCTCACATCAGTCTGACAGATGACCTCCCAAATATTCTTAATATGCATACCTAAGGAGTGAGTCTCACTAGTGCTCTGTATCAAATCAGTATAGCCAGCCGGGATCATATCAGGCTTATATTCGATTCCAGGCGTGGTATATTCTCTACTGAAGTCGAATCATCTGGATGGAACATTTATTTCTTCTGTCGAGCATTATATAGTATGACCGATCATATTCCAGTATCATGGTTCTAATTGCATGTAGGAGAACCGGGTGTGTTCCGATAGCGCGATCTTACAAGCCGCGTGATATTGCACTTCTCCTAATGAACATGAGAAACCAATATGAATCCATGGAACTTACTGGGGGTATCCTAACCAGTATGTGAGGCAAGTCATTCATTCGAGCTGGCATCACAATCAGCACAGGAGGGATTGTCTCCTTGGTATCTCCGCGCACATGGACAACCGACGGGGAATACAGTACTGGGGTAATTTTTGTTTTGTCCATATAGCGGGGACCGTCCGCCGTATTCGGGACGATCCGGGCGGGGGTTTATATATTTGTTCAAACAACGACGGCACGGACTTTCTCACATAATAAACCGAGCGATTATCATGCGGCGCGCAAGTGTGGCAACAGCAGCACTGCTCGTCCTGCTTTACTTCGTCAACCTAGACATATTCAGCGCCATGAGTGACCATGCCCTAGACTGGCTCGCGGGGAAGGCCATCGGGTGGAACCACACCCCTCCGGTGAATAAGATCGACACTCACCATCACTTCGTGCCGTTCTTTTATGCCCAGGGTAAGCAAACCTTCATGGAAAGTCTGAACAATTGACTAAACGGATCCTACAAACAGCCGTCGAGGAACAAGGGGGCGATCCCAGCGGCTGGCCCACTCCGCACTGGAGCCCATTGCGGTCAAAGCTGCTCATGAAGCGCCTCGGGGTCCAGACAGCTGTCCTTTCCGTGACAGCCCCCGGGGCATGTATTCACCCGGACCGTCAAGCGCGGGCACGGCTTGCACGACAGTTGAATCAGTACGCGGCCGACCTCCGCAGTAAGGACCCCCAGTCTTTTGCGTTCTTCGTATCGTTGCCCAATATACTCGACACGGAGGATGCCCTCGAGGAGATCGCCTATGGGCTGGATACTCTCGGTGCGGACGGAGTAACGTTGTTCACTCGATATGGCGACTCGAACACCTACCTGGGCCATCCCGACGTGGAACCCATCTGGGCAGAATTAAATCGCCGCCGCTGCGTCGTCTTCGTGCACCCCACTCACCCGGCCGATACCAACCCGGTCAACCCAAAGCTCCCACAGCCAGCGATCGACTATCCTCACGAAACTACCCGCGCGGCAATGGACATGATCACCATGGGGACGCGAGCCAAGTATCCAGCCTGCAAGGTTATCCTATCGCATGCCGGCGGGACGCTCCCCTACCTAATCTCACGCGTTACGACGCCAATGCGCAAGGCGCCGGACTTCGCGGCTTCACACCGTATGGGTACCACACATGACAAAGTGGTGGAAGCATTTCGCAGCTTCCATTTTGATTTAGCTTTGAGTTCCTCGGCACAGGTGTTGGACTTGCTATTGAACATGGTGCCTCATGATCATATCCTGTATGGGAGCGACTTCCCGTATGCCCCGGTCACTGCCTATCCGGCTTTCCTGGAGGAACTGGAGGGATACGAAATGGACCAAAAACTCAGAGATATGGTCAATTTTGGAAATGCGGTGAAATTGTTTCCGAGGCTAGCCCAACGTGGTGATTCCCATCTGTAGGTACGTATGATTTGGGAATGCTAGAGTTGGTCTTAGTCCAGGAGGTGTGGTGAAGTGTTGGACACACGGCTGTTGTTATATGTGGCAGGGGCGATGGAAATTGTAGAAACATTAATCACTTGATGATTATTCTAGTTATGGAAAGTTGCGATTGTTGCAAAAGCATGATGAGTCAAAAACAATATGTGGAGGGAAACCTTTGCAAATCAGGAGACATGTTGTCGATTGCAAGTCTCGCTCTTCCACATCGCCCCCCCTCTATGATGAGCCCATGGATTTATGTATTAGACCCCAGAATCCACTAAACCAAGACCTTTGAAAGAAACCTAGTTCTCTACCTGTCGTTGTGTGAATTCCATGCAGTATAGCCTCACCTCACGAGAGCCCTTGCCCTGTAGAAGCCCAAAGAAGAGTTAAAGTCACTTACAGGGAATACACGAGTTACCCATCTTTCGGGAGCTATCTAGATGTCACATCATTTTAGGTCTGTCACTGTGATCAACCCCTACCGGTCATAGACCTGTCTCAGATCATATACAGATACACAGCTGCGGCGATGATCCGCTAGTTTCATTAATCCCATGCCAACCTTGTGTCAAACAGGACATTTTTACGATTGGTTTATAACTACAGACTCGCATGGAATATACCCGGATCATGAAGTGTTCCGACGGAGATGTTTATCCTCTGGGGCAGACTCTACCTTCGCAATGCCATTGCTAGATTTTCTTGACTCGGGTCTCGGAAAATAAAAATTATGTACGTAAACAGCTTCTTAAACAATCTCCAGTAATAATTTACGCACAAACTGTCATCTATACACTCGTCTGTCTGTGGCTCAATAGCAAGTGATATGCTGCAAGACGTGGGCTGTAGCTTCACCAACCTTTTGTTACCTTCCTTGTCTATGTTCCATGGCATTTATTATCAGATAAGGACTGGAACCAAGCACGATAGCTACAGCAATGTTATTTCCAAGGACAGGACTGTGGGTGCTTGTCACCATGTCGTTCGACTAGTACTGCCCACAACAGCCAGTCCGACTCAAGCATCATGGGCTCCATTGCCGACACCCTGTTCACCCCTGGACAGGAGGAGGCTGCCAACTGGAACCTCACCAAGGTTGACCGCATGCTACTGTAACAGACCAGCCAGGAGTATCAAACACCCATGGAATGAGCTCAAGTGGATGTTTGGTAAGTAACCTAGCCTCTTAACCCATGGCTGATCACTGACGCACCATGCTAGGGGATAAATTGTTTCAAGACTTTCATGCGTCTCCTATCTTACGTGATGTGTTATATTAAACAGTCTAAAGATATCAAAGAGCAAATATGGTGGTATTTTAGTCTATATGTGCTAGGAGTGCCTCCGCTGGGAGTAGGAAGACTTATCTGATTACTATATCTGCTTTACTGATTACCTGTACGAACTATATTTATTCGCTTAGAGGAATCCCTGGAAGAAGACATGCTTTTCTTTTTTTCTCTCTCTTGTATCTGCTTCATTTCTTGATGATAGGGCTATAGCTTGAGCTATGATGCTGCTTCACTCCGATTATTTGCAGCTTTGGAATGAGCATTAACGGGTCCGTCTGGTTATATGAATTCCCCTGGCCTTCGGCTACATGCGAACTTGTGGGTCCCGCATCAACGCTCTACTTTGTAGAAGGCGGGGCAACTTTGAAAAGAACTCCCAACAGGAAGATCCAGCTCCCCAGGAAATAAACCAAAGTTTTCTCTCTCTGTTCCTTTCTCCTCCAATATCTTCATCTAGTACACTGGTTAACCACCACAATGGCAGTCAAAGTATTTCTCACCGGAGCCACCGGCTACATCGGCGGTGATACCTTGTACCAACTGAACCAGCGATATCCCGATTTCGAGTACGCACTTCTCATCCGCTCCGAAGACAAGGCAAAAAAAGTTCTATCAGCTTATCCAAAAGCCCGGGCTGTCATCGGCGGCAATGATGATTCCGAATTACTGGAACGTGAAGCCGCCTGGGCGGATATTGTCATTCGTGCGTGTGCCGCTTACGCTTCCTACATATTATTATTATCTTTTTATCCATACGTTGGGCGTCAAGGGTGCTAACCTGGTCCAGATACGGCCGACTCGTCGGACCACGCCGGTGCGGCAACGGCCATAGCCAAGGGTCTCGTGCACGGCCATTCCGCCTCGCGACCTGGGTTCTGGCTGCACACCGGCGGGACCGGTATCTTGACGTACTTTGACTCGGAAGTTAGGAAGACATTCGGAGAGAAGGATGCCAAGGTCTTCAATGACTGGGAGGGCGTCGATGAGCTGGTCCACCTGCCCGCCGCGGCCTTCCACCGTAACGTGGACGAGATCGTTCTCAACACGGGCACCGAACACGCGGATGTGGTCAAGACGGCTGTCATCTGTCCCCCCACTATCTACGGCAAGGGCCGCGGTCCAGTCTCGGGTCGCGGACGACAGGTATACGAGCTTGCTTCGTTTATTCTGCAAGAGCGGTATTGTCCGAGGATCGGAAAGGGTCTTGGGCGGTGGAATAACGTGCATGTGCGTGATTTGAGCCGCGTGTTTGAGCTCCTTCTACAGGCTGCGTTGGATCCATCTCTAAAGGACGACCCGGAGATCTGGGGCGCGCACGGTTACTACTTCACGGAAAATGGGGAGCAAGTCTGGGGCGATCTGTCCGCTGCTGTTGGCGAAGAAGTCTTCAAGCAAGGCTACATCAAAGGCCGGGCCCCCGAGCTTCGTGAATGGTCGATCGATGAGGCTGTCAATTCGGCGGCTGGATTTGAGGCGGCAAGCTGGGGTATGAACTCGCGGGGTGTGGCGGTGCGAGCGAGGAAGCTCCTTGGCTGGAAGCCGCAGGAAAGGAGCTTGAGCGATGAGTTGCCAGATATTGTTCGATCCGAGGCGGTAAGGATGGGGCTTTGATTCTCGATGACCAGAGCGCGAATTACATGATCAGCCTATTATTGTTGACAGGATAGACTTTGCCCTGCAGAAAAATTCAGAACCATTTATCTGGAGGTCGAGTTTTCGTATCTAGACTCTACATTCCCCAGGGTGCTAACTGTCTTTCCACACTTGCAAGGGTTGATGTACTAAAATAGAGCGCTACTATGTGGTAATGGTTTCGTGGAAGGGCCTGCTGACCGAGGCCATACAGGTGTACTGATCTATTTCGCAAATACCCTCCTTCGTCCCAAACGCGCGAAGTGCCAATCAGAGCACTTAAACCAACGTGTCTTCTTTAGCAGAGTCTTTACGCTGATTCTACGTTGCGACATGCCTGTTATGTATCCGGGAGCAGGAATGCCGGAATTGGAACCCATCAGGTACACAGCTAGATGATCGGGCCTATTCAGGCAAAAACAGCTCCGACGGTAGATCGAACAGACTCTCCAGCATAGGATTTCCCTGCCACCGGTCGTCTCCCAGAAAAGCATTGAAAAGGCCCGCATCGTTCGTAGAGGGAGTAGCGCCGCCTACACCAGAATCCTCAGAAGCCCCTACGGCACGGTTATGTTGTCCGCTCTCAGCGGTCCACGACGGCTGCTCCAAGCAGCGACTCGACAGATTCTCGAAGAGCTGCATCATAAACGTCCCGCTGTCCCAAAATTCACTAATAGTTTGCAGGACCATCTGGCAGGAGTTGAGCGCCGACCGGCCAAGGCGCGCGACGAGTTTATTCGGGCTCCTCATCCGCTCGTAGAAGGCCGCCTGGGCGAGGAAGATACCGTGGTATAGCTCGTGGGGCACGGTTAGCAGGGCCGATTTTGTCACGAGCGTGCACACGACCGTGGGGATGTGATGCGCGGCGGAGTCGACGATTCCTTCGACTTCGTGCTCGTCGCGGCGACATGGATCTTCGCCACGCATGTGGCCGAGATAGATCAATATGAGGTGGTTATTGTATTGGACGGACAGAGACATGGAAAATGGGTTCGAGGGGTCCGGCACCTCGGGGTCCCAGGTTAACGTCGAAACTAGGCCTGCTTTCCACCGGGTCAGCTTTGCGTGGAGCTCTTCTGACATCACTGGCTGTCGTCCAGGGTAGAACCGGCTGCTGATGATCTCACGCATGATCTGTGAGAGATTCGCCGTCTCAATTTGATATTGTGCATATCGATGGGCGGAGGGGTTCTGTCGAAAGTCGGGGGCCATGGCATCGTGCGCGAAATCCTCAATTGTCAACATATCTGCATCGGCCTGGTCCAAGTCAATGCGGAACGGACGCCCGACCAAGGTGCTGCATATGCTGTCTCGGTTGACCAGGGCCCACCATAGCCTTCGCATTAAACTTTTGTCCCGTGCTTGCATGTTGGGTATTGCAATGGTCGACCGGTGGATTCCTATCGCCTCGGCAATCGTCACGGCTGTACTGATCCACGAATAAAAGTTCCAGTAGGTATTGGGGCCGCCGCCGTAGAACGAGAGGAAGAAAGTGCTCTGCAGGTTTGTGATTTTGTTTGTTGAATATCCCATATCGAAGAGCGCTTTGGCCTTCTTGTAGAACAACGAACGGGCCTCTTGACGGGAATGCAAGCCTAGAAGGCCCAGGACGGACTGGGGGGCGAACGTCACCGCAATAAAGCTAACGGCATAAATAAGAATCAATGATAGATGGCCATTTTGGTACTGCTGTATGAATTCTTGGCGATGGACAATGGGGTAGAGCGGGTAGACGTCGTCCAAGAAAACCGACACCAGGGCATCCAGATGTGTCTTCTCTGGCAGACTGAACACTCCCTTGGCTCGTAGATACTCGAGATCCTCGGGCAACATATGTGCGGGCTGGGGTTGAAACGGGGCAGTTGCTTGAGCGCCCGGGAAAGGAGGGCCTAGATGGTGTAGTTTTGGTGGGCTGCCGTCCTTGAGGCCACCCAGTACAATTGCCAGGGGAAAAGACTCTCCGAGGTAAGTGATGGAGCATTTGTCAATCCAGTCTTTTCTGTTCTCGCGGTTGTTCAGGAAATGGTCAAACATCGCGGACCATGAGATATCTTGGTAGGAGGAGGAGTCGCCTGGGGTCCCAGAGGATGTCTGGGTATGAGGAGACTCGCTCGCTGGAAGCGTTCCCTGAGCCTGTAAGCGGACGATTTCATCGCCCGCGCGAGCATAGACATAGCCTCTGCCTCTTGGGCTCCACGGAGTAGAATTTGAAACATATGACTCCGTCGATAAGGTTGCAGCAACGTTGGATCCAGCCGCAAGGGGTGCCCCGGAATCTTCAGTCCCCACCCGATCATTCACAGAATACGGGGGCAGATCTTCGGCAAGACCAGCCGGGGCTTTTCCGCGTGGATAACGCTTGCTTGTTTTTTGACGCAGGGCGTTCCGGGCATACGTTCCCCGTTTTGTCTCACGGAGAACACAATCCGTATGGCGATCCCGCACGCAATGGGTGCATGGCATGTGTTGGTTGGCGTCACACTTTATCCGTTTCTCATGGCAGTGCGTGCATGCTTTTCCCGCTCGCACGCGTGATCTGGTCAACGGTCTACTGGGGCCCTTTGCGTCCGCCATTACACAATCCTGTCGCAATATCAGAGTCTCGTCGGCCGATATCTCCCTGGATCTTGTAGCCATCATGATGATTAGGGCGAGAAGAGGAAAAGAACGACGGGAGATGTTAGTCAGCCATATAGCCTAGAGGGGCATATATCCAGTATACCCACGCACACTTTCATTGGCTATGGGCAACTACATGTCACCGAACACAAAATGAAAGAACAGTGCAGTAGTGGATGGAGGGTTTCTCCAGTCCGGACGAAATCAAGAATGAACGGGGCGGAACCAGCCCGGTGGATGTATTTTGGTTCTCACGCCATTTAGCCTATGTTTCTATCACTCCACCCGTAGAGGATATGGGTTGGGCCTTGCTGGGTGTTGGGATTACAGCTGTAGCAGAATTGGTTAGTATTTTACAAGAAGGTTCTGTGGGCCGGTTGATCAAAGCTCAGCAGCTATAAATACCGACGAGATGGACTATGCGAGTTCCTTTCAACGTTTGTCATTCACCTTTGACGAGCATGATTCCACCAATGGATGCTGTGGGCTGGCAGGGTAAGAATCCACGATCCCTTTTCTGTTGTTCACGCAACCCTGCTGAATGTTGTCCGCTAGAGAAAAGCCAAACTCATCATACTTGTGCTGTAAAGATGTCACCCATGGCAAATGGGGGGACAGACACCACCAGTGCACCAGAGGAGTGCGACCACGGCCACTCCCCGAAAAGCCGGAATCCAGAAGAACTGAGCCTCCAAGAAGCACTGAACCTCCAAAACATTCCTGCGTCCCATAGGGAAGATCCCGAAGGGCAGCCCCGTCGCCCACAGGGTGTACCCCCCGAGTTTCACGGGCTCCCAGCCGAGCTAGTATTCATACTCCTCTGCTCTATGGGCCTGTTCCTATTCGGCCTCTTCCTCGGAAACGTCGTTATCAACCAAGCCATATTCCCTCACAAATTAGGAGTCAGTGGAGGCAATACCCCATGGTTGATTGGCTCCTTTCTGCTGGCGAATGGCATCGCCGTCATTGTCTCCGGGCCGCTAGCCGACCTGTCGAACCCGAAGGCTCTCATGATCCTAGGTTTCGGGTGGCTCATCATTTGGGATATTGTCGGAATGTTTAGTATCCGCCCCTCACTGGCGGTGCTGTTCTTCGTGGTGAGGGCCATGCAGGGGCTGGCTATTGGTGTCCTACAGTCAACGTCAATGAGTCTCCTCGGGCGGGTGTACTCGCCTGGTATTCGGAAGACCCGGGTTTTCTCGGTCATGTCCGCACTGACGCCCGTGGGGTTCCTCATTGGGTGTCTGCAAGGCGGCGCTCTCACAAAACATCTGCCGTGGATCTTCGGAAGCAATGCTCTGGTGTGCTTCGTCTGCGCCGTGGCTTCGTTCCCGGGGATTCCTTCGTTTGCCCCGAAGCCCGGTGCCCTTTGCAGTCAGCTATCTCTGAAGGACTTTGATGCGCTCGGCGCCCTTCTAGCTGCGATAGGCTGTGGCCTGGTTATTCTTGGACTCACGCAAGGCGTCCCTAGTGGCTGGAGCCCGTATACGTACTCACTCATCATCGTCGGAGTGCTGTTTCTCGTACTGTTTTACCTGGCCGAACGACGAGCGCCTCGCCCATTGGTCGATAATCGGCTCTGGACCACTCCTGGCTTTCTCCCACTGGCAATCTCCTATTTTCTAAGCTACGGAGCATACGTCGGCGGATGGATGTTCTTCGCCGTGCGTTTTTTCCTCACGATACAGGCCCATGCCCCCATCACCGTTGCTTTGTACTTTATCCCCAACATGATCTGCGGGGTCCTAGCCACATACATCGTATCAAAAACCCTGCATCTATTCCCAGGACACTGGATTCTCATCGCTGGGACAGTCGCAAACACAATGGGTCCTGTCTTCTTCATCCCTCAATCACCGAACACAACATATTGGGCTCTTTCGATGCCAGGTATTGCCCTCGCCACTTTCGGACCGGATCTGACCTTCGCAGCCGCGTCGATCTTCATCACGTCCAACGTGCCCCGTTCTTTCCAGGGTTCGGCGGGGAGTCTACTCGTGACCATCCAGAATCTGTCCGCGGCCATTGTGACGGCCATCGGGGACACGATCGGGAAAGAAGTTACCAAAGCAGGTGGCGACGGGTACGATCTGGACTTGGAAGCGTTACGTGCGATTTGGTGGTTTAATTTGGCTATTTCTCTCGCGGCGGCGGTGATTTGTGCTGGCTTTGTTCGCATTCCGAGAAGCGAGGAGAAGGATCATATGGAGTGAATCCCGGACAGCTGGCAAACGCGGCGCATCAAGCGGCACAGGGTTTATGTATATAGACTGTTTTTTAAATGGTTGTTATTAGGGCTCCATGGTCTATATCATCATACAGTTCAACCGGTGTCGTCTTAAATCTTCCATCCCAACCCATCAGCCTCGGCTAGGAAACTCAGATATCTTAATATTGCAATAATAAGTGTTATCATACTGACTCCTAGTGAAGCATAGAGTGTCAATCACCAAACCAAAAAATTCTTATCAAATTGTACTACATCTCTAGTTAAGGTGTCATTCGGTGCTGTTCGGTGCGAACTTTGTGCTGCGGTTGTGCCATTCTAGTCGGGATGCGGAGAACTAGCCAACAGTTTTTCAAGTGACTGTACCCAGGTACTTGAGATATGATATGCTTCTAAATGCCTCAACGTGACAAACAAGCCTCTGCCTCTCCACCTTGTTGAATATATAATCAAGCACTGTATACGGCAGCGGGTAGTCAGGCAGAGGCTCGCAGTCTGGTTTACTACCTAACAGCACACCTTCAATCTTATTAATAGAAGATATCATCGACATTTTTGGATTCCAACAATGTATAGACACTGCATGATTGGAGATTTCAAGGTTCCAAGTTCCAGATTGGGTGACCGAGGCTAGCAGCTTATTTAAAAAGTCAGTCATATGTCTGGACTAGCATAGCCGAGGTTGCTTTACTGTTTAAATCCACTACATGACCTGTTTCGACATTTTCGAATCAATAATTCAACATACAATACTTAACCCCCATTGCTATATCCCATAAACAGACAAACCCCTGTACAGTACCTAAGGCAAAACTTTTGGAAGCTATGGTGACTACTGAGACCAGGCCAGTAGTCCGCGTCCCAAAATGCACTGTCCCGAAAGACCTCTCGGGACAACCGATACCTCATAGCAAGCGCTGGGGTTATTCAACCCACTCGTTTGCGAATGGGAACTTCGCCTCCAGTGGGGCTTATATAATTATAATCACTGCATTTTTATCTTTCAATGCATCATCTACCGGCCACAGGATCTATGATTATCTGGATCAAACCTATGGAGAATACAACATGAACGTATGGGGCACATTCATCATTACGTCTGTTTTCTTCTGGTTCTGGTCTGCGGTTTTTGCCATCCCTGATCTGACTGGATGGCCCGCATGGCTGTTCAAATATAAAACACAGCCTTTTGTTCGAGTCAATGGATCCGCATACGCGTATATTGCGGCTATTTCGTTTCGAAACCAGTTTCTCGTGGCTCTGCCCCTGATCATTTTCAGTGCAGCCGTGACTCCGTTGAAGTCTGTCTCCCCGGCCACATTACCATCGTCCCTCCAGACGCTGGGGACCGTGCTTTTTGACGTTCTCTGCACCGAGGTGGGCTTCTATTATATCCACCGGTGTTTTCATTCAAAGCTCTTATACTCTATTTTCCACAAACAACATCATGAACACACGGCACCGGTTGGCCTGGCCTCGACGTATTGTACCGTGACCGAGCACATATTTTCCAACCTTTTACCAAATGTTCTCGGCACCGTGCTTGTTCCTCATCATTGGTCCCAAGCTGTGTTCACCTTCGTTTTCCTAGAATTCGGCACGATTTGTACACACTCGGGATACAATATCCCGTGGATGCCATCGAATTTGCAACATGACTTTCATCACTTCGCTTTTGATGAGAATTTTGGACCCACGGGACTTTTAGATGGCATCCATCGAACCAACAAGAGGTTCCAGAACACGATGGAGGGGGCAAAACGTCGAGTGGGCGGGGATGAGGAGAGAGCCCGTCGTCTGGTTCTTGAGAATCTTGCTCAAATTGAAAGTAAAGAGGCAGCAAAATCCAAATAAGAGAGTATCCATAATAAACGCAACCAGATGTGGCCAGACCCCTACGCCCGTTCGGGGGGAGAGGGGGGGTGGGAGTGGGGCCGGGGGGGCAATGGTTCTCCAAGCAGGCTTGATTTGGGGTCATGAATTTGAATTAATAGTTCTAGAATTAGCAGATGCCAGAAACCCTTTAAGACATCGCATATGGGAAACTTTATAGCACAGTAAAATATTATATGAATAGGTAGATACAAGAATCATCAAAGCACAGCCAATGCTGAGTGGTTCGGCCGGCGCCCCTGGATACCGCATAACATAGGGTAGACCTTTAGCTCTAACCTACCTATACCGCGTTGGTTATCAGATTCTTTATACCCAACCTACCTGGCTGGCAATGGTCAGGTTATGGTAGGGTGTCATCACCAAAACCGCACAATCCGCACCGAACCGCAACGAGTGACACTCTAGCCTGGTGGACGGTGGGTTCCAGGATTCTTCACGTCTGTGACGCTTAATCCACCGTTCCCTTGCCTGGGTGCACTCCAACTGCGAAGTCGAACCTCTCTTTTCGGTCCAAGTATACCACCTTATTCTCAAGCCCAGCTCTTTCTACCTCCGTTTTGAACTCAGCCAGCGAACTGGCAAATACATCGTAATCATCATAATGGACTGGGATCGTGAGATCAGGCTGTATCAATTGAATCAGCCGTACCCCTTGCTCAGCATCCATCGTGACTAGTAACGCAAGTGGTGCTAAGGAGGGTGATGGTATTGTGGTCCCCCCTAGATGAGCCAGCATAACATCAATGCGCTCACCGGCGTAACGCTGTGCGATGTGTTTCAGATCATCAACTAACAGGGTGTCCCCTGTGATATAGATTCTGTAACCACAGACAAACCCTGTTTCATTCTCATTGCTGCCCTCTGTGCCGAGCTCCAGCATCCACCCGTTTGTAGGGGGAATCTGAGAATGTCAATTTCTTTAAACACAGCACGGGAAAATATACCTACTGCATGAGCCACTGAATTCAAGGATTCCACGACCGAAGATTCGGGTACATGCTTCCCTGGCATACCAGTAACACGAAGTCGAGAGGGTCTTGGGCCAAGAGAGTTCTTGATATTGATCATCTGAGACTCAAAGGGGTCCAAGGCAAAAACATTAGTGAATGAATCAGCTCCCTTATGAGTAAGGTGTGATTTTGCATGGGGTGTGGTAATTATAGGCAGGTCGCGCCGAAGCGAAGCTTCCACGATTTGGTCAAAGTGGCCCCTTGTACCATTAGAACTACCGAAGTTCTTAAGGGGGTTTCAATTGTCACCATAGACCCACCCATGATAATGAGATAATAAGACCAAGTCAATGCGAGGCAGTTCATGAAGACCAAGGGCTGGGTTTGTACGTCGCATGCTTGAGACTCCTGGACCGAGATGAACATGGTCGCCAGCGTGGAGGAAGTTAGGCTGCATACAATTACAGGTTAGCGAGATCCACGCCCCTAGCATTCAAGAGCAACATACATCTGTCATTATCCTAATGCCTGCCCACTCACTGGGGCTTGTCATTTCCTTTTGCTCCGTGTACAAGCAATGAATACCTACATTATAGTTGTCGCTGTCCCGACAAAGAACAGCGATGCGTTTTCTCCACCAGGCTTTGATGGATGGGTCGTAATCGCCTTTGGGGATGGCAAATGATCGGGCGCTATTACTCCAGAGGGTGCATCACGCGTGGGGGGGCGGACATTTTGCGGATCAAGGAGAATGGGGTGCATGCTGTCTGCTCTGTGTATTATAGATGGGCTATAGGTAATAATTTGGAGGGTCTAGCTATTCCTATTAAAATATACCCATAGTGTGAATATGACGTAAATAAGAAGTCATGATATAATGAAGTCTCTTGTTATCACGTGGGTTTGGTCAGACCGGTCCGATTTGCAATTCCCTAGGCACAAATACTGCTTGAATGCCCGCCTGAATTGATAGGGATCAAGAAGCTAAATATCATCAATTACACGTCTATATCAGCCATTCTCTCTCTATCAGCATGCTATGGTAGTGAGGCGCAGGCTGCAGCTGCAAGATGATAGCGGCTGCCTTTAGCCGCCAAGGATTATGCCCGACTATGACCCCCCGTACCCATCACAATGAACTTCAAATAGTTTAGGGAGCATGAGAAAGGACGGGACATCAACCGCATCAAACCTGACCAAAAGCTGCTGTGGTATTTTGGTGCAGTAACTGAGATAATTCGGGCCTTTTCTGATAGATCCATACTATCATCTATCAGCAGCCTAATAAGGTATATTTAACTCGCACAATCAATGGCGTGATTATTGATATCCATGCTTGCTTCTGGGGTTGAAAAGGGTAGGGTTTTGATAGCATAAACCCGTGTGGTATTCACCTCAATAGAGGCAGAAAGGGTTTGGATGTGCACGTGATCGACGGCTATCGATCCTGATGGTCCTTTGAGGTCATCCCGAGGTGGCAGATACGTGACATATGGGCACTACGCCTAATTCGTGCCACAATTGCATCCTTTTGCCGCTTGCTGTAAGATTAAAGGGTAGAATGAGCGACCCAACCACGGAATAGCCACAATAGGATCGGCAGGAGTGGAGCCGGCTACGCGTCTCTTTGGCAAACTTTGCCATTGTCGGGGGCTACAGCCTCCCCGCCTACTCTTTCAGGAATAGACTGCCCCGGTTTTGCCGGCATTAAAGGACCCCGCCTTGAGCCTTTGTATCCCCTGGTCGATTTTCATCATCTCCCCATCTATCCCTGTTCGATCATTGCACATAGTGATATCCTTCGCTTTTTTGGCTCTCTTGAAAGCATTCGCTCTTTCAATGATTCCATGGTTTAATTCTTTTTTGCCCTGATTTTTCTTTCTTTCTTGTTCTATACTTTCCCTTCTTTTGATATCCTATTTCCTGGTAGACGGTCACCCCCACCGTCATAATTCCTTCTGATCTTTGATCTGTTCGCTTTCTCTCTCTCCATTTTCCCCTAATCTTTTTACGTCTTCCTTTCTTGCTAGTAGACTTCTTCATTTCTTCCATCTGTACATACATGTTCTATTAACTACAATCACGATGTTTCGTTTCTCCGCCGCCAGTGCACTGCTGCTGGCCGCCGGCGCGGTCGCCGACACCTGGCCGTTCGCGACATACGATACCGGTCCCTGGACCCCTCCGCAAATGAAGGTTCACAAGAGCGGAACGACAGAGCCGGGATATATCTTCGTCGGGCCCCGGGGCAATCAGCCGAACGGAACCGCCGCCTTGATCTACGACGAAGAGGGCCACCTGGTCTACCAAGGGCCTACCCAGGTCACGGCCAACGTCAAGGTCCAAAAGGTGTTCAACGAGGATACCCTCACTTTCTGGGCTGGTGACATGACCAGCTGGGGGTATGGGTTTGGGACGGTGCATATCCTGGATGATACGTACCGCGAGATGTACACCGTGAAACTCCCGGACGACCCGGCGACGGGCCGTTTCTTTGCAACCCCAGACGGCAACAGCCGTCCCTCGTACATCGACCTGCACGAGAGCCATATCACCGACCGCAACACCCTGCTAGTAACCGCATACAACACCACTCAGTACGACCTGACTCCCGTGCGTGGCGCGCCGGATGGCTGGATGTTGGATGCCCTGTTCTACGAGATCGATATCGCTACCAACGAGATCGTGTTTGCGTGGAGCGCCCTGGAGCACATCGCCGAAATGCCGCTGGAGGAGTCCTTCCAGGCGATCGCGCCCGGATTCGGCACACGCAACCAGCCGTGGGACGCCTACCACATCAACTCCGTCGAGTTGATGAGTGACGGTTATATTCTCTCTCTGCGTCATTACTGGTCGGCGCTGTATGTCTACAACAATGGCACCATCGCCTGGCGGTTGAGCGTAAGTCGTTGGACCCCTCTTCTCTTAGATGCCCCGACCCAGGAAGCTAACCGGTCTAGGGTGCTCACGATGACGGCGACTTCGAGATCGACGACGCCGGGTTGTTCCAGTGGCAGCACGACATCCGCATCTTCGACGAGACGGAGGAGGGCTTCATCATGACTCTATTCAACAACGTCGACACCCCCTCCGACCCCAAGACGGGCCCCACCACGGGATTGAAATTCCAGGTGGATCTACTAAACCGCAAGGTCACCACCTTGCAGGTCATCACCAACACCAAGGACGAAGTGTTCAGTGTCAGTCAGGGCAGCTTACAGACGCTCAACCGGGAAACCGGCCACGTTTTCATGGGATATGGCTCGATTGCCACGGTCAAGGAGTTCGACGGCGATGGAGACGAAGTCTTCACGGCGTCGTTCGGGGATCCCGGCCTGGTGGCCTCATACCGGGGCTACAAGTGCCAGTGGAAGGCCACGCCCTTCTGGCCACCTGCCATGGCGGTGGTGCCGACGGGGCCGGGCATAGCGGAGATTTACATGAGCTGGAATGGCGCCACCGAGTACGACAACTGGGCAATCTACGTGATCGACGGGCCCGACGCGACGACCAGTCGCTTTGTCAAGTCGGTCAAGCGGGCTGGATATGAGACTCGGGCGGACGTGGGAAGCCTCAGGACGCGCTCCCTGCAGGTCGTTGCGCGCAAGGGCGAAATTCCGTTAGGGACGTCGCCGATTGTGGAATTTTAAATCGTCTGGGCCGCGCGGGTTTTGGTCCGATGTGTGAATTCTTGCATATGTATGTACATATATACCATCACCGTCTGCCATAAATATCGACGGTTACTATAAATACGATTCGATCGGGAAGCAGAAGTAGGCGGACGGTGCCAGGCTGTTTCTGTGCCACCCTCGATTTAGTATCCGCGCAAGGGCGACGCACACCAACCTGAGGTCGCATCACCGCATCGCCACTTGGTCGTATTGACCTCCTTCCACCATCATACATTACAACTCCTACTTGCTACTACTAAGTAGTGGCAGTAGGACCCCCAACCACCACCGAGCTCAAAAAAAAAGTAAGGTCCGTAACACCCGCCTAAACAATCCCACCACCCCTGCATCTCCACCTCGCATCCCACATTCCACACGCGCCGCACGGTACGATCTCGAATCGCGGATGTAACAGGAAAAGGGTTCCTCGGCCAGTCAGGCTGTCGTGCAGGTCTGGAACGCCGCCACAGGGCTGCGGGTGTGTTTCTGCGCTGATCCTGTAATCCCCGATTCGGGGCGTCCCTTGCAGATTGTCTTGGTGGATAGGGTGAGACGGCTGGGATAAAAGTTTTGACCTGGGTAGGATGGAGGACGGAGGTGGCGATTGGGGTATAAATATGGGTTGCTTCGCTGGAGAAGAAGAGAAGAGAGAAAGCAGACACTCACTCGTTTTCTACGTTATCAATTACATTCGTTCTCTGAATCCAAACAACAACACTCGTTCGTTCTATCCAAGCAGATCAAAGAATCCATCAAGAAAAATGAAGTTCAACCTCCTCCCCCTCTCCCTCCTAGCCACCCTGGCCGCCTCCCACCCCTCCACCACAAACAGCACGGCGGCCATCACCCACCCCGGCACCGACACCAACACCACCTCGACCGCCTCCCCCGCCGCAAACCCCGGCCACGCGATCGTGCAAAACAACTGCGCGGAGCCCATCTACCTCTGGTCCGTCGGCAGTGGCGTCAGCGTGGAGATTCCCATCCCGGGCGGCGCACACTACAGCGAGACATTCCGGCACGACCAGAAGACCGGAGGGGTCAGTCTGAAGGTGACGAGGGTGGCGCACGGGCTGTACAGCAGTGCGCCGCAGACGGTGTTTGCGTACAACGTGGTGGGCGACTCGGTGTGGTATGATCTGTCGGATGTATTTGGGGATCCATTCAGGGGGTCCTCGGTTACGCTGTTGCCCAGTGAGCCGGTTATTCGGTGGAGTGATGGGGTGCCGCCCGTTGGGAGTATGGTGAGGGTTGTGGCGGCTGACCAGGATTTGAGGTTGACATTCTGTTAGTGTGGATAATGGATTTGGATTGGGATCTTTGTTGTGGCGAGTGTTTGGGGAGTAGGAATGTGGAGACTGATTGATGTTGATGTTGATGTTGATGATATGATGAATAAGGTAGAATGAATAACCTCGGACTTCTGGCCGACCTTCCTGATGGGGAATCCCCGCACTTTGTCCCACCCCACACTTCTCTCTTCTCTCCGATCTCGTCTTCTCTCTCACTCTTTTCCTTTTTCCTATAACATCTTTCTTTCTTTCTTCTTCTTCTCTATCTTCTCTATCTTCCCTCTCGTACATCCTCTTTATACATATCCTTCTTTTTCTATCGTATCGTTGTTCCGACCTCCACTATGGTCTCCCCCGCAATTCGCGTCCCCCCTTCGGCCGCTAAGCGGGCCCTGAACCTCCTACGCACCGTTCAATACACCCACCCCCCATCATGTCCCTGCCATGGCAATCCCAGTCACCATCACCACCACCGCTCCCCAACCCTATCCGACCATGTCCGCCGTCACATGGCTACGCCGGTTGACCCCTCGCGCCAGAAGGAGTACGCCTTCGAAATGGCCGCCTCCAGTATCCGCTTCGGGCCCGGTGCCACCAAGGAAGTGGGCATGGACTTTGCCAACATGCGGGCGAAGCGGGTGTGCATCGTTACCGATAAGAATGTCGCCAAGTTGGACGCGATGAAGCAGGCCGTCGAGGGGTTGAGCCGTGAGGGGATCGAGTTTACCGTGTTTGACAAGGTTCGCGTGGAGCCGAAGGATTACTCGTATGTGTAGACTGAGACTGCGGATGGGGTGTATGGGCTAACGGAAATAGGATCAAGGAGGCCATTGCGTTTGCTCAACCGTATAAGCCGGATGCTTTCCTGGCTGTCGGTGCGTTGTCCACTCATCCCTAGCATACCTCGGCTGATTCGTAACAGGTGGTGGCTCGGTGATTGACACGGCCAAATTGATGAACCTCTACGACGCCTACCCCGAAGCTGACTTCCTCGATTTTGTCAACGCTCCCCTTGGCAAGGGCCGACCCGTAGATCGGGCGTTGAAGCCCTTGGTCGCCGTTCCCACTACCGCCGGCACCGGTTCAGAGACCACAGGCACGGCGATCTTTGACCTGGTGTCCAAGAAAGCCAAGACGGGCATCGCGCACCGCAACCTGAAGCCGACGCTGGGTATCTGCGATCCCATCAACACGCGCACCATGCCCTCGGCCGTGCACGCGTCGTCCGGCCTGGACGTGCTGTGCCACTCGCTCGAGTCGTGGACCGCCATCCCATACAACGAGCGCACACCGCGCCCCACTAACCCCATCAACCGCCCCGCGTACCAGGGCGCCAACCCCATCTCCGACATCTTCTCCCTGCAGGCGCTGCGCAGCACGGTCAAGTACCTCCCGCGCGCAGTGCGCGACCCGGGTGACTCGGAGGCTCAAGAGCAGATGCTACTGGCCGCGACGCTGGCCGGTGTGGGGTTCGGCAACGCCGGCGTGCACCTGTGCCACGGCATGAGCTATCCCATCTCCAGCCAGAACCCAGGCTACAAGCACGCGGGGTACGACGTCGACCACCCGATCATCCCGCACGGCGTGTCCGTGGCTGTCACCGCGCCTGCCGTCTTCCGCTTCACAGCCGCCTCCAACCCCGACCGCCACCTGGCAGCAGCCGAGGCATTCGGAGTGGACATCTCGACCGTCAAGCGCGAGAGCGCCGGCGAGGTGCTAGGCGAGGCGCTGGCCAGGTTCCTATCTGAACTGGGCGACCAGCCGCGGGGTCTCAAGGACCTCGGGTTCAAGGCGTCGGACGTGGACGGGTTAGTAGAGGGAACGATCCCGCAGAAGCGGGTGTTGATGCTGTCGCCGAACCTGAGCCAGGAGTTGGAGGCGGAGAAGGCGGAGTTGCGGGGGCTACTGGAGCAGTCGCTGCACTACTAGGATGACCCATTGGCTCATCCGACGGTGTCCGCCGTTATAACCACTGAGGACCATTTGGGGGATATTAAAATGACGTGTACTGTATACTCGAATATATCGAACCATGTAAATACGCATAGCAGCTCAATCAATCCACCACCATAGCATCGCAGCAACAGCATCCTAGGTATCTCATTATCACACGAGGCCCAACCAGCCCAGGTGCATTGAGCACCACAACTGACAGCCACAGCCGGGGTAGCATTGACGCCATCCGGGGGAAACCCGAGCTATCCCCATCAGCCCGGGGAGAAGGATGGAAGCAAGCCGGCTGCACAGCGGTGTAACCGAGTCAGGTCTGAGCGTTGGCGTTCCTCTGTTTCTTTGTTCAACGGGGCCGCAAGTACTTGTCGACACGTTAGGGTAATGGTTAAGCCAATTGTTCACACTTTCGTTGACCGCTTCCTTTTACAAACGGCGGGTTCATTCCTTGATTTGAGAGAGGATTCTTTCCCCCTCCCCCCCTCCGCCCCCCGCGGGCTACGTGCAGACTTGCTAGACCATACCATACCTGACAGAGGAACTGCGGTGCGTGCGTACCGTGCAGGATGCATCGTGGCACGGGCACAGACGGCTCCGCAGACTAGCCGAGAGACGGTTGTGCTCAATGCCCCACGGTTGTGCTCAATGCCCCACGGTTGTGCTCAATGCCCCACGGTTGTGCTCGCGCAGGACCGACTGCCGATGTCGTTGTTTTGACTTTGGTGTTGACATGGTGGAAAGGAACAGAGCTGGTGGGCTGGGTTGGGTTGGATTGTATAAATTGGTGGGTTTGGGCGTTGTACATGGGATGTTGTTTTGTACTGTGCTCTATACTTCTGTACTTCGAGGTTCTCTATACTTACTCTCTACTTTTCGTTATACCCGTCCATACTCTACCTCTATCTATCTCTCTCTATACTCTACCTCCTCATACTTCTCTTATACCTCAACCAACAGAATATCCAACCATCCCCAACCGATCGAACCAACCAATTCACTTCAAATAAAGAGACCGAGAAAATGCCAACTCCCCACTCCCTCCTCACTTCCCTCGTCCTCCTCTCAGCCAGCTACCTCAGCGCCGCCAGCTCCGCCCCTCCAAGCGTGTACAAAGCGCGAAAGCAATCCAACCTCTACACAGCCGACACATTCTACTTCGTCAACACAGTCGTGTCCACCATCAAAGCCACAACAACAGCGACAATGCTCTACCACGCGCTCATCGCCCTTCTCTACCCCCCATCCACGCACCCAACCCTCCTCGCCAACATCTGCCCCCACACCGACCAACTCACCCGCTCCCAATTCACCTGGTCCCCAACGCACCTCCTCGCGCTGACCGCAATCCTCATCGGCTCCTCCGTCCGTCTCTCCGCCTGCAGCGGCCTCGGCAAGGACTTCACCCTCCGTCTAGCCGTGCCAGACCGCCTCGTCACTCGCGGCTTGTACTCCTACGTCCAGCACCCGGGCTACACGGGATACTTGCTTGTTCTGGCGGGGTGTCTCGGGCTCGGTTGTCGGTGGGATGCGTCGGCTGGGGCGTGCTTCTTGCCTGGTGGGGTGCTGGGGGCGCTGAGTGGGTGGGGGGCGTGGGTCGCTGGGGCGATTGTGGGGGCTCAGGCGGTTGTGTTTTGGGTGAGGGTTGGTGAGGAGGAGGAGATGTTGAGGGGGCGGTTTGGAGACGATTGGGTTAGGTGGAACAAGGGGACGGCGCGGTTTGTGCCGTTCATTTGGTAGTCATATTCTTTCGGGGGGGGGGGGGTTGTTATTCTTGGGGGGGTGGGTGTTTTGAGGGGATGTGCTGGGTTGGTTAGATAGTAGGTATCTACTGAATGATACTCATGACATGTCTATCTGGATACTCCAGTAACTACATGGTATACCCAACTACCGGACAACTACCATCACCAAACAATACCAGGTGGAGGTAATCCCTGCAGCAGATCATCTGCACCCTCCATCCGGTCTAGTCAATCTCCACACTGGATGCACCTGTCTCTCAGTCTCCAGTTTCAACACGAAAAAAAAAAAACAACCCCAGCCCGTGAAAGTCCACCAAGACCTCCTCCATCCTACCAGTTCCCAATTTGAGCAAGTAGGCCAGATACGGAAGTAGACTAGAGACGAAGGAGAATAGCAGACTCAATACGCGAGAAAAGGAAAACATCATCCAATCCGACAGACCGATCTGCAACGAACTCCCGACGGACTTCCGACACACCAATCAGTCATTTAGGTTATTAGGTACTAACTATAATGCACCTCGGTAGTTGGGTGTACGTGGTTGGTAGACGGTCTTTTCGCTGTCGATCTTTACGTATTCTTCTTTTCTTCTTTCTTTCTCTTTTTTTTTTCCTTCTAATTTATTCTGTCGATTGTGCCAAAGTTGGGGATCTTCATTCGTACTTTTGTTACTATGCGTAGTAGGTACTTTCCCCTTCTCTCATTCTCTCCATCTTTGAAGTACAAATCCAACTACACAGATCCATCATATGACAGCAGTCAACGACCACAGTGGACTACATAAAGAGCACAGTGGGCATCTAGGAATAAAAAGTGGGTCACACCCAACTCTCCGGTCTTGGGATGGGGTTTCTCCACACGCACGCACACACACTGATCATCAACTACACCGACCTGCTGGCTATTACCTACTAACTCTCGGTATGGAGTCTATGGACTCGGTTGTCGGTGGGGATTACAGCTTGTTGTCGGTGACGGTTTCCTGTTGGTAGTGGGCTTTCTATACCGCTTTTTGGACGGAGGGGAATTAGTCGCGGTGGGTAGTTGGTTGGTTGGGAGGGGGGGTGAGGGAAGAAGGAAGTAGTGTAAAGTTTGTTCGTCAATGGTCATGGTGTTGCTGGTTTTAGGTAGGTTAAGCTGGGTAGGATTGCCTGGTTAGCGGTGTTTAGAGAGTAGGTACTAGGTAGTGTGGCCTTATCAAGCAACATGAGAGGACTGATAAAAACGGTCACAATATCGATGATATTGATGACTCTTGTGACTTAGATAGTCAGATTATTGCAAACCCATGGCCCGTCAAAAACAATCCGATGTAGGGACAACTCTGTAGATCAGCCGATGATGTGATTACACGTCTTGGTTTTCCTCAGACAATATGATGGTTGTTTATCCCAATGATACACAAATAGATGTATCACTGTAAGAAGCTGGGGGTGTTATTTTACATATCTCGTGGGAAGTTGATTTCACTTAACCATATAGTTCAGATGGTATCATTCTACGTTACAGATCATGGATACAGGTAGAGATCATATATCAGTTCAGGCCTTGTGGGCATATAAATCTGCAGGGAGAGCAAAGAAACTGATCGTGTTGGGTAAAGTACTCGATGCAGATACCAGACATTATTAGCATCCATGTCTATATCCGGAGATATGTGATAGACGATCTCGCGGAGAGAATTTAGAATAGCTGAAAGAACAATCTGTTCATAAACCATTCAAACTCAACTATAATACCATCATTAATAGTAAGGATTGTTGAACTTGACAGCAACTGACGTATCTTTCCTGCATCGACCCTGCGTAGACGGCTAGCAGCAGTCTGCTTCATGCCACGTGTACTGCGTGAAGAACATGCGTCATGCTCTCTGATCTGCCGTTAGAAGCCTATATTATTTACTTCTTCTGTGAATACTTTGATATTACCTAGATATCAGATGGTCTTAGCATCCTGGGTGACATTTGATAGAATGTTCGATTATTGAGTTCCAGGCTTGATGCATTCAAATATACAACCAACTGGTTTCTTTGATTCAGCCCTAAATTAGAGCGACAGAATGCTATTTATCTATCCTCGGTAATAGTGGTATTCACATGTAAATAATGCTTTGACTCGAGCCATCCTACTCTACCATCAATCATCAAAACCACCTATCACTACATAAACAAAGACAGAGTCAACCATTTCCCTTATGAGTTTCAGGTCCCTGCCCTGACCCATCAATAAGCTTACGTAGCTTTTATGGCTACACCATATTAATGGTAGAGCTATATCTTCGTTCTGTCACTTCAGAACGTGGGCATTCTTACTGGACCGGAAAGACAAATCCACCATCCAACCACGCCACAACCTTCTTTATCACCGTTGATCCGCAGGAATACCTCCGCATCAATGAAAGCTCTCATCCTAGGGAAATGACCAACACGGCAGGGTCGTACATGTGGAGGCGCCATTCAAAGACGAAGAAGTCCCTTGCAAGCAATAACGGACAATGGTCGATCCTCTTCGGCCGTTCTAGTCGATCGCCGCCAGACTACACAGCGAGATAGGACAGTAGAAAAGGGGAATATTGATTCCCCGAGATCATCAGCTGCTGTACGCACGGGGCGGGATCCGAAGGAGGTAGAATTCCCTTGGCGCTTCCATAGAAAGGATGATCAGTTTTCTGGTGGAAGGAATGACCGCTTTGATACCATTTTTAGATAGCGTAAGGGTCGAGGGTCTCGACGTGCCTCCAGGCCAAGTGTCTCTGTTTTGAGGGGCCTTGATCAGGAAGTTCGACGGATGATCCGGGCTACCAAGATGGTCATGCCCGTTTCTTTATTGAAGTTAGCTCTGATCCTGCTTCCCCTGGGCCAGTAGGATGGTCCGATAGCAAAGTGAAATCGTCCTTCGGTTATTTGGCATCCTTTCGGGGGTGCCAAGTGTGGAGATGGCACTCTGTACTGCCTCGTACCTAATTACATCTTGTCGTGTCGAACAACCAGAGTAATCTCTACCGAGTCGTGTTCAGAGTACATAGGGGTACATAGGGGGACTCCAGACTAGAGTGTGGGGATTTCCTATTTTGGCGCGACCAACGTGCCTTAGGCTTAGTCTAGTGTTGTGGTGGCCGCTGCCTGAGGCCCGAGTCATGAGTCCGTCGTTCATCCGGATTGACACGACAATCTTCCTCTCTCTCTCACGATCATCCCCAGATCCCTTGGGATTTAACCGAAACATCCAAGCGACTAGCCTAGACTCCATTCCCGCCACTCCATCTCACTGAACCCTTGTTCATTCGATGGTCCAGACCGGGATATTGCCTGTCCCTGGTCTGCTATACTCCCTCGTGTCATCCAAGGGACATATCGTTGGACCCGGCACAACGTGGCTCACAATCGTGCCATGTGGCTGTCCGAGCTTTCCTGGAGAAATCAAAGAATCCGGGGTGTGAGGTTGAATTCAGCGTCGACTGTTCCCTTCGTATCCGTGGGATCGAGCGAATGAAACTAAGACCAAGAATTTCCCCCGACTAGGAACGGAGCCATTGAGGCTCTGGATTGGCCATATCCCCGGCGCTATCGCCCACTTCAATATTAAATCGACAGGGAAGATTCTTAGATCGCCACTCATTCACTGCAACCTTCCCCCCCCCCCAGATGTTCCCCTCATTTGGCACTGACTGCGGCGCTCGTGCATTGGCCCACTTTTCAGGTCGGCTCTTTGTCTCCACGCTGGGTGTTTATATCACTGGTTTCGCTGTTATTATCTTGCGATTGCCTCCCCCCGTTCTTCCCCCATCCTTCCTCCACCATGCGTCCGCCCTCCCCGAATCCCTGAATCATCTTCCATTGGGATCGATAATGCGTTGCGCGCGGCTCGGGGTCTTCTAAACAGCGGGATGTCTCCCTCCGACCATGTCAGTCGGCCCACCGACCCGGATGCCCTCGTGCTGGAAGCATGGGGACAGGGATTGATGGTCGGGTCGTTGTTGGTGATGGCTGCCGTCACCTTTGCCAACATGAAAAAGCATATCCTCCTACACAAGCTCATTTTTGCCGAAGTATGCCTCCCAATAATGCTCCCAAACGATGTTACAAGAAAGGAATAGAAAATAAACAAAAGGAAGAAAAAAAGGATCGTCGACGCCGGAGCTGATGACTCGTATGCTGACGGTGCATGACCCCAGCTCATCCTCGCCATGCCACATGGAACCTTCATCTTCCCTGGAGAACCCGCCTACGGCTGGTACCTGTCCGTCAGCGCCATCGGATTGAACATCTCGTGGAGTCTACACAACGTCATCGCCTGGATGAAAAACCGCCCTTTCTTCTCGAAACGAGTGTCCATGTTCTACATCATAACGGTCCTGCTGGTCCAGCCGTACTGGGTCGTGGAAATCTACGCCAATTTCACCTATTTCAACAACATCAACAAGATCTTTGAAACTACGCGGCCGTTGGAGCCAATATTTCGGTATTTCTTGATCCACCCTTTCGCTAGCTATGTGCACCAACTGACACTACCTAGTGACCCATGGTGGGTATTCACCACCGTCTCTCTCTTCTACACCATCAAGCGCGAATACAACTTCGGCATCATCGAGCTCGTCACCGTCAGCCCGCGTTTCGGCATCATGCTGGCAAGTATGTGTCTCTCCATCGCTTTTATAGTCGTCGACACCTGCAGCGTCTTGAGGGTATTCGACGCATCCTCCTTACCCACCGGCGTGGAGCCATTCTGGAAGGTACATCCCTGTCTATCTATAAATAACAAACCAATAAAAAACGGAATATGCTGACTCCCCCCAGCTGAGCTTCATCTTCAAATGTCTCTGTGACACCGTCATTCTAGACGACTTCAAGACCGCCCTCGATCGCATGCGGGCCCATTGGTTCCAGAAACGGGCACAGTCCGGCGAGATCTTCCTACCGCAGTCATCCTCGCGGGGTGAGCAGTCACGTCCGCGTCGGACTCCCCAGCGCGCTGCATTCGATGACGATGCAGATGCTGATCTGGAGACGGGGATGGGGCTAGAGCCGACTAAGATGGACAGCGGGATCCCGCAGGTCCACACACGAGAGCGCCAACGCGTATGATGAACTTGAACCCTGATACCCAGAAATAATGCATGCAACTGTACATATGATAATCATCATGATCTTCATCTTCGTATAATGTACCATAACCACACCATACCCATACCCAAAAAGAAAAACATTCAAAAGGTTTAATGTCTAGCCCCCTCAACAGCATGCAAATCCGCCGCCTGCGCATTCGTAACAACCTCCTCCTGAAACTCCTCCGAATCAGGCAACTCAACCCTATAATCCTTAATAGCAGCCGCGCCCAACACCACCTCATCATCGACCTCAAACCCCGTAACATGACCGCCCTTCTCGCCCCCCTCCGCCACGAAATGCAAATGAAACCCCGCAACACTAAACCCATTCGCATACTCCGGCGACCAGAACCCAAACAGCGTCCCCCTCACATCGCGAAACTCAACCGGCGACACGCGCTGTCCCAGCTCCTTCAGCGACTGCCGCGGCCTCTCCTGCGCAGGGACAAACCGACACCGCACAACGCTGAACGCGCCCTCAACCTTCACCGAGATAAAATGATTCTGCTTAGTCGGAAGGAGCGGCGCAAGCGCTTTATCGAGGGTATTCATCGAGAGCGGGGCAGACAGCCGCTTCGTGAGGGTGGGTTCGAAGCGCGTGATCATCAGGAAGGGCATTTGCTCTGTTGGCGAGAGAGGCTGCAGGTTTGTGTAGTCTGGCGGGAAGTGGTAGGCCTTGCCGTTTATAATGACGATTTCGCCGTTGAGGTGGGTGATGGTGCCGAGGCCGTGGTCGCCGTGCTTGAGGACTTCCGAGAGGGTGGGGCCTGTGGTGCTGATGCCGTGCATGAGGGCGTTGAGGAGCGAGTATTGATAGAGGGTGTTGGGTTCTGCCATTCTTGCGGTTGGCCGTGTTGTTGGATTCGCTCGTGGTGTTGTTTCGGCGGCGGTGGTTGTGTCTGTCTGACTTGGACTCTCTGATTGCGCGGTTGGTAAGTTGCGAGCTGGACGCCTTGCCCCGCAGTGCTGGTCGAATAGCGGTAGTCAATGCTCACTCGCGCGTATATACAGTGATGTAAAGCGTGGTTGGTTGTTTTTGTGTCTTGAAGTGTAATAGCGGGGGATTTGACGGAATTTGGAGTCGAGTCAATCAATGATATCATCTACATGCCTAAGGCAAAGGTTTGTATCTGCCTTAAGGCGATCTATTCTGCCTGAGGCGCCTGTTGTACTCTCATGAACCGCACTAGCCTAATTAGGAGGATTCCTGCCTGAGGCAAATATGTTCTATATTGAAACAGCCATCGATGTCAGCTTGCCGCCTCTCTTGCACGCGCTTGATTCTTGCTACAGTACGAATTATATGTCATGGTTGCGCAGTATCCAACAGTCAGTCTCGTTAGACACGTGGCGAGAAGCCAGCTACCTACTACTCAGTCAACGAGCAAGAACACCAGATCGATGGCATTGGACGTAAAATCCAGAATCACACCTCACCATCCAACGCTCAAGCTGATATCGCACAAGTACAATATTACGAGCTGTTGTGATCCTCAAATATTCCTATCATCTCTCCTGATCTCTGGTGGTCATTCTCCAATTCTCCACATTCTCGACCTCAGGAGGAAGCCACCCGAAGCATGCTGACATCAGATTATACAAATTATCCTTCTAGGCTGCAACTGGTCTCCACTAACCTCCTGCTCATTTCACTACACTCTTGGAACCTATTTGTGGACATACTAATCTCAAACATGAGCGATCTAGACCTGCAGCCTTACTCCTCTCAGCCTAAAACTAGCCAGTCGCAAACAGTCTCGGACAGATAATCCCACCAATACGATCTTGCAAAATCACTCGGCCCGAGTATCTGAGATTGAGCCGGCTGTGCCACAGACTAGCGCTCGTTTCACTGTCTGGTGCACGGAGCCCATTATCTTGCTGCGCAGTGGTATGACTTGCCTACTCCGGAGTACGTGCTGAATCAGGGGTCGCGTCGACAGTGGAATGGGGAGGCAGATAGGTATCCGACTTGGTCTTCATAGCAGAGAAGAACCCATATCAATTCTACCTGGCCCGTTCACGCTAGGATGGATCTCATGCGGTAGAAGTAGTCCGATCTGTCGCCCTCGTTATCCGTCCCAGATGTAGAGCCACACGTTGTACATCTGGTCTGGCTCTACACACAGGTCCGGTCGGGAGTTTGGTGCAGGCATGGAGTTTGAGTTTGCAGCGCTGTTGATGCGATTGTCGGCTAGTATGGTTTATACTACATTTATCCGCATTCAATATCGGGGTTACATATCGGCAGCCATACCACTCCGCATTGAACCAAGCCATGATGAATGCTATAATCTATACCAACATGAATCCAACCATTCAATGAGAGTTTATACAAAAGTAGAAAAGGAATCAAATCAGACTATAATTAATATAAACAACTAATAATCATATAGATGTGGTATTGCGACTAGAGTATACCCACTACCGGCAACCCATTGACGTCATTCATCTGAGATCCAACATCTCATATATATAAACTAATGATACTGCATTCTCCATCTCGACTCCAATTCTCCATGTCGATCTCATCCAACTAATCAACTAGTGGACCTCTATTTTCAAACCGATTTAAAAACCAAACTCACCTCTAACCTCATCTCAACCTCGCCATCCATCATCCTCCCATCAAAGCAATCATCCAAAATGGACAGACCCCTCCCACCAGCCAGCACAGACGTAACCTCCCCTTCCCTCCAATCTCCAATGATAATCAAAACCTACTAACACCACCTCCAAAACCAAACAGCCCGTCGTCCTAACCGCCCAAGAATCCTCCCCGAGCGTCCTCTTCCCCTCTTTCACCGCCACAACAGCCTGGACCTTCGGCCTCAGTCTCCGCGAACGGATCCTGTCCCTCCCATCCTCCCAGCGTCGACCCGCCCTCATCTCCATCTCCCTGGGCGGCGCATACCCATCCCCCCACGTGGTCTTCCAGTGCGCGACGGAGCCGGGCACGGTCGCCGATAATGAGGAGTGGGTGAGACGGAAACGCGCGACTGTGTTACGGTGGGGGGTGTCCAGTTGGTTGATGAGGAGGAAGGTGCTTGCTGGGTTGGAGGCCCCGGGAGATGGGGCGAAGGAAAAGAGGGAGAAGGAGAAGGAGGTGGAGGGGGTGTTTGTGAGGAAGTTTGCGCTGAAGTCTGGTTCTGGGGGCGGGGGTCCTGCGGATGATTATGCGATTCATGGGGGTGGGTTTCCGGTTAGGGTTACGGGGGTGGATGGGGTTGTAGGTGTTATTGTTGTTAGTGGGTTGAGGCAGGAGGATGATCATCAGGTTGTCGTTGAGACTGTTAGGGAGTTTGTTGGGAAGTCTTGAGGTTCTTTGATCTTCTTGTTTTCTTTTTTTTTCTTTTTTTCTTTTTTGGTTTCTTAGTTGCTACAATTCTAATACGAGTGATGCGAGTGTATGTTGATACCATAGGTAGGATGTCTGATTAGACCGAAAAACATAACTCCAGAAACCCTCTAATTATTTTACAATTCATCATGCCCGCTGGGCTCGTCATCCTCTTCAGTAGGAGCCGATCCGTACAGCTTGCTGGTGATCGGGTACGCCACGTTGGACAGCTGCTCCTTCTGCTCCTCGAAGTCCTCGGTCGTGGCATCAGCCGCGTTGTCCTCGAGCCAGTCGGACACCTCCTTGACGGCGTCCAGGATCGTCTGCTTGTCGTCCTCGTCGATCTGGCCGCCCAGTCCGTTCTCGTCCTGGACCTGGTTCTTCAGGCTGAACGCGTAGTTCTCCAGCCCGTTGCGGGCCTCGATCTTGGCCTTGACCGCCTTGTCCTCCTCGGCGAACTGCTCCGCCTCGGCGACCATGCGGTCGATCTCCTCCTGCGAAAGACGGCCCTTGTCGTTGGTGATGGTGATCGACTCGGCCTTGCCAGTGCCCTTGTCATTGGCACCGACCTTCAAAATTCCGTTGGCGTCCAGGTCGAACGACACCTCAATCTGGGGAACGCCACGGGGGGCGGGCGGGATGCCGGTCAGCTCGAACTTGCCGAGCAGGTTGTTGTCCTTGGTCAGGGTACGTTCACCCTCGACTGTGCTTGTTAGCATGACTCCTTGGCAAAAGAGAAAGAGAAAATGAAGAAAGAAGTGACGTACAAACTTGGATCAGGACGGTGGGCTGGTTGTCAGCGGCCGTCGAGAAGATCTGCGACTTGCGCGTGGGAATAACGGTGTTGCGGTTGATAAGCTTGGTCATGACACCGCCGGTGGTCTCAATACCCAGGGTGAGCGGGTTGACATCCATGAGAACGATGCCGTCGGCGGCCGCCTCGCCGGTCAGAACGCCACCCTGGACGGCGGCACCAAAGGCAACGGCCTCATCGGGGTTGATACCCTTGCTGGCCTTCTTGCCGTTGAAGTACTCCTCGAGGAGGGCCTGGACCTTGGGGATACGGGTGGAACCACCGACCAGGACGATATCGTCAACGTCGGCCTTCTTGACCTTGGCGTCCTTGAGCACCTGCTCGACGGGCTTCAGGGTCTTCTTGAACAGATCCATGTTCAGCTCCTCAAACTTGGCGCGGGTCAGGGTCTCGGAGAAGTCGTTGCCCTGGTGGAAGGCCTCGATCTCGATGCGGGTCGACATCTGGGACGACAGCGTGCGCTTGGCCTTCTCAACCTCACGCTTCAGCTTACCCATGGTCTTGAGGTCCTTGGTGATGTCCACGTTGTTCTTCTTGTTGTAGAGCTTGACGAAGTAGTCCATGACGCGGTGGTCGAAATCCTCACCACCCAGGTGGGTGTCACCGGCGGTGGCCAGGACCTCGAACACGCCGTCGTCGATCGACAGAAGAGAGACATCGAAGGTACCACCACCCAGATCGTACACGATGACCTGGCGCTCGTCACCGGTCTTGTCCAGACCGTAGGCGATAGCCGCGGCGGTGGGTTCGTTCACAACACGGAGAACGTTGAGACCGGCGATGGTACCGGCGTCCTTGGTAGCCTGACGCTGGGCGTCGTTGAAGTAGGCGGGGACGGTGACGACGGCGTGGGTGACCGCCTTACCCAGGTAGCCCTCGGCGATCTCCTTCATCTTACCGAGGATCATGGCGGAGACCTCCTCGGGGGTCATGGTCTTGGGGGTCTTGTTCACGTCGACCTTGACCACGGGCTTGCCATCCTTGTTGGCAATGGTGAAGGGGAAGTGCTTGGCGTCCTTCTGGACATCCTTGTCGCTGAACTTGCGACCAACCAGACGCCTACAACACGTCAGTAACCGATTCCAGTACAGGTGACCCGAAGAGGGACTCACTTGATGTCGAAGATGGTGCGCGTAGGGTTCGCGGCGTATTGGTTCTTGGCGGCGTCACCAACGAGGCGCTCCTCATCGGTGAAGGCAACATAAGACGGGGTGATACGGTTTCCTTGGTCGTTCACGAGAATCTCGACCTTTCCATTTTGCATGACACCGACACAGCTGTAAGTGGTTCCCAAATCAATACCGACAACTAGACAACAATCGATTAGCTCCTATTCCCTTCGACAGATAGAGGGATCGGATGCCTACCGGTTCCATACTCCAGCGCCGAGTCGTCCTCGGCGTGTGCGGTCCCGAAAAACGCCAGAGGCGCAATGAAGACAAGTAGCAGGTAGAAGACAGTGGTCCAGGCCGTAAACGGCTTGGCCACGCCATTGTGACCCGACAAACGCGCCATGATGCACGTAGAATCAACCGTGACGAGAAACGCGTCGAGTCACACGTCCAGGTTACGAAGGTAAAAAGAAAGAGGATTAAACCCAAACAAGAGAAAGAACAGCTCAACCCAGTCGACAAGGGAAAAAGGGTGAGAAAGGTGGGTTGGGGATGGGTGTAAGAAGGAGAGACAGGAAGAGAAAGAGAGAAGAGGAAGAAGAAGAAGAAGCAGTCGGGGATGTTCTTGTATGGCGCGGACGGCGGCGAAGAAACACAGCGGCCATGCTGGCCTTTTCCTCAGGCTGCGGCCGCCCTGCATCGTCTGGTTTACTCCTCGCGTCCTGATTGGTGGGAGTTTCGGATGACTCATTCTGCATGACTGACCGCCTGCCACATAGGGAGGTTCTGCCGGGTGTTCGTCGGACGGCCTCAGGCGGCGAAACTGCTAGAAGATCGCCTTATCTAAGCAGGCACATCGCGACATAGCATAACTCCTGCATACTTGCCACTCTCTATCAAAACCTGGGGTCATCGTATAATGGATCCCTTGGGGGTCTATGGACAGACAGGCACCGACAAGTAAAGGACACTTGTCCACTTGCTTCGACGCCATTCTCGAACTATCCCTCCCCATCTGAACCACTGGAACCATCCCGTCCACAGCCACAACCGCCCGGTGGATCGAAGTAGGCTGGGTTCCTTGGCATGTCCACTAGATCGGCGAGGAATAAACCATAATCTACAAGCTAGAGGAAGATGGGGGATGTCATCTTTGTTCAATGGATCCACACGACTAGTCTAAAGGACACTATTCCAGTAACCCTGCGGCCACCGTGTCGCCGCCAGCCCGCAGCACAATCCGGGTCGGGGCCTCGAGGGGAACGGCTTGATCCATCTCCACCGCAATCCGCGCCACCGTGCCCGGGGCGATGATCTTGGGCTTCTTCTTCAGCACGGCGCCGGACCCTTTGTCCAGCGTGGCCACCAGCTTACTGATCCGCCCGGGCACGTGCAGCCGTCCGTGGTGGACGTCGACCATGCTCGGCATCAGGTGCTCGAACGCCAACACCTTGGTGGTGAACGAGGTGATGTTCTTGATTGGCGCGGACGCGCGGCAGATCACATCGCCTGTCCGCAGGTGGATGGGATCGATGTTCGCCAGGTTCAAGACCACGTTCTGACCGGCCACAGCCCAGTCCTGGGGCGTCCCGTCTACCTCCAGACTCCGGATGGTGGCCGTCTCCCCGCTGGGCATCGTGAGGATGACGTCGCCCACCTGCACACTGCCGGCGTCGAGGCGGCCCGAGATGGACAGCGGGTTCTGCACACTACCCCGGAAGACGTCGCCAATCGTCATGCGGAGGGGCTTGTCCACCGCGTGGGCGTGCGGCTCGGTGGCCTCCAGCTCCTCGATCACCGTGCGGCCCGTGTACCACGACACCTGGGGGTCCTCGCTCCGTCGGGTCACGTTGGCACCGCTGATCCCCGAGCAAGGCACAAAGGACAGGTTCTTGGCCTGGAACCCGGCGGTGGTCAGGAAGGACGACACTTGCTGTTCGATCTCTTCGAACCGGTCTTTGTTCCACTCCACCGAGTCCATCTTGTTCACCGCCACGATGACCCTCTGCACACCCATGCTGCGCACCAGTAACGCATGCTCCTTGGTCTGCCCCTTCAATCCCGCCTCGTAGTTGCCGGTTCCCGCATCGATCACGAGCACGGCAAAGTCGGCCTGACTGGCGCCGGCGATCATGTTCGGCACAAAGTCTCGGTGTCCGGGCGAATCGACAATGGTGAACACGGTGTTCTCCGTCTCGAAGTTGTTCGTCGCGATATCGATCGTCACACCGCGCGCGCGCTCCTCAGACCCCTGATCCAGCACCCAAGCCAAAGCAAACGACCCCTTTCCGATCTTCTCAGCTTCCCGGCGGTATTTATCAAGCGTGCGTTGGTCGACCGCCTTGAGGTCCGCTAGCAAGCGTCCCATCAGTGTACTCTTTCCTGCATCCACGTGACCTGGATGGACAACATCAGCAACAGGGTCATAATCGAGTTCCGGGGTATAGCACCCACCAATCACTGCAAAGTTCATAGCTCTCTTCCGTTTCGTCTTCTCAAATTCCGACAGAACGTCGAGGTTCTTGCTCTTGACGTTCACCTTTTCTACAACGCTCAGGTTGTCCATGCCGCTCGCCAGATCGGTCGATTTCTTATCGCCTGTCGACTTGGCAGCAGACTGTTTCGATTTGAAGCCTGCATGTCCATTAGGGAGGTCCTAGATCTTGCGCCGAATCGCCAAACCTTTAGCTGAGCTCTGTGCGTTCAAGACGACATCGTCGGGACTGGGGCCTGTAAAGTCAAACGGTTCAGTGAGGTCTTGCCCGTAAATCTTGATCAGATCCAACGTGTTTGAAGACAGGTGGCTGGGCTCGGCCTTTGGACGGATGGCGTCCCCGACGATCGTGCTAGCAAAGGTAGACGGCGGCGCCATCATGTTCACCTCCGGCTCTTCTTTGCTCGTCTCCGTCGGAGTATCTGCTGGTGGACTGGGATGGGGTTCGTCGACAGTGCTTGGCTTAGGAGGTTCGGGCGAAGGCTTCGGCGAAGGCTTTTTCGGAGACGCAGGACTCTCCAGGCGCGACCCTTTCGCCGGGCTCGGAGACTGTGAGCTATCTGAAGACTTGGGCAGCTTCCCGTTGCGTGCAAGCCTTTCACTCAGCGATAGTGGAGCCCCCTTGGACGGAGTGGCGGACCTCGAGGGCTCAGCGCTGTCTGTCTGAGGTGTGGGGGCAGGGCTGGGTGTCTTGTCGCCCTCCTTCTTTTTGCGCGCCGCAGCCAACGCCGCCAATTTCGACATCTTCCCCCCAGCCTCAGGTGCACCCCCGAGAAGTCCAAGCCCAGGATAAAGAGGTTCCACCAAGATCTCGGCCTTCCGATGCATCGGCACGTTAAGCCACGGCGAGTCGCGAAAGAAGTCCTTTGCCGAGAAGTGGGCGACAGGCGGCAACGACGGTGCGGGAAATCCAGGAAAAGTCGCCGAAACTGCAAGTCCCGTTAGAACATGTTCGATCTTGCCCAACGGAGTCAGTAAAATTGATCGACCGCAAGAAATCGAAGTTATACTCACTGCCATCGACGATCCGCCGGGGAGGGATAAGAAAACGCCCCGCCGGTAACCCGAGCCCAACCACACGGAAAATGCAAAATCAAGGGGACAACCAAGGGACGCGAGTCCAGCTTACCTGCACTACTGCCCTTTGCCTTTGCGACCGGAGCCGGCGCGCTCTGCTTCTTCTTGGTCTCCTTGGCCTTCTTGTCTACATGGAGCAAGCCACCAATTAGCACACTCCAAATCACTCGCCGAGCGGGTCGAGACAAAAGAATAATACCACTCACTTCGTATATAGTTCACGGTTTTTTCGACATCGTTATAGTAATGCCACAAGCTTTCTTGGACCTCTTCGCGCGTCGCAGTGACCGGAGAATCCCCCGTGCGGAGCTGTTTAAACACCTCCTCTGAACATTGTTGGGCAAATTCCTGTTCTTCCGAGTTATATCCGTCGTCATCGTAGTCGTCCAACTCTTCATCGTCGTAGCCAACGGCTTTAATGCGATGGCGCGACATAGTGGGTGATGCGGATCGGTAAGGAAGAAGGCGGGGCAAGCTGTGCGAGAGGGGCTCGATCGTAACAAGGTCTGCACAGCACGGTTCGTGAGGAGAGGGATATATATGATCGGATACCCCGTGGCTGTATTGTTATCTATGAGAAATATGTGCAATTCGAAAGGAGAAAGGGCGTCAACCTGTCGAGGAAAGGCGATCGAACAGGCGAGTATGTGGTCGTTGGAGGGGAAGAAAAGAACAAGACGAACTCCGGTCCCAGCTAGCGGGATGAGGCAGTCAGGCACTCAGTCATCCACCACGTCATTCCCCACTATGGTCTCCATGGACCACACCAACAAACCACAATCCAGGTGATTACGCAGGGTAAAGATATGGGGTATCCACGGCAGAATGCTGGAGTTATGGAATTTGAATTTACTGTGAATTTCAATTGGAGTCTCTAGCTTAACTACCTGGAATAAACTAACACTGACCGGGCTTTGAAGCCAGGTGTGTACATCGTAGCAACCAAAAGTCAAACTTCTATCGCCATGCCATCGATCAATCAATCATACCATGCACAAAAATATACTATCGTGAGAGGTCGTCAGGATTCGCCTGTTTCCACTACAGGAAAAGGTCGTTATTTCAGCGGACTCCCGCCGAAGAAATCCCCCGCTCCTGGGCCGGAGAATGTGCCATTGCTGGGGGTGAGGGCAATGGAGCGTCGGAAAGCCTGGCGAGGTGTTGTGGGGGCACTGGGAACGGTCGCGGCCGCTGCCGTCGTTCCAGGATCAGGCACGTTGGGGGTGTTTCGGCCGCTGGCGTTCTGCATACTCACTGCAGTGCCGGGCCGGGAGAGGACGGTCACGGTTCCATTGCGAGGGGGTGGCCGGAATCCAAGTTTGGATCCTTCGCGGAATATCTCCTCCAGAATCTGTGATACGATCCCTGCATCTTCGTATTCCCGGAACTTCTTCCACAGCCGCAAGGCCATGCGTGCATCCTCAATGGAATCGTGGCCCTGGGTGTTGTCCGCGGGTTCTTCTTGGATATACTCCTTGAAGACCGCCCAGGCGAGATACCGCAGACTAAGTCGACGATTCTTTCCTGGATGAAAGTAGAGGTATTGCGTATCCACCGTTTGATTTTTCGGGACCTGGATGTTGATCTTCCGGAAGTCGGAGGCCAAGCCGTGGCCGACAAAAATGCATCCCAGGTTGAGCAGCAACCATAGTTTCTTATATGCCACTTTGAGCGGGACCAGGTTGTGCTGACTGGTTCTGGGGTCTAGGTCGCCAGGGTTGATGCCGGAGTACTGCGTCACATAGTCGACAATCGGATCTTTGATAGTAATGTAGTCGTCAATGAAAGTAACGCCTTCGCGCAGTCCCGAGCCTCGCAAGACAGATACCCGGGCAAGACCACTCTTGTTGGGCCTCACCATCTCCTGGGAACCGTCGGCTTTCACGTCTATCTCGGCCTTTTCCAGGTCGACGAATTCTGTATCCAACGCAACGGGAGTACCGGGGGAGGGCTTTTCGTCTTCGGAAAGCGTCACCCGTGACTCGACCGGGCGACCACCGCTATGACAAGCCAAGTTAGCAGGTGAATAGGGTGTCTTGATGAATTAGGACTTACTTCAGGGACCAATCGCGGAACAGCAGAGTAGTGTCGAGGGTGTTTTTCCACGAATCTTCCACGGCGTGACGCGCATCCTTGATCTGATAAGCCAGGACAGAGGGGATCTTCCATGGTTGGTTGAACCGGAGCGCCTCGTCCTTATCCACTTCTGTGACGAGGAAGTCATTGAACAGGTGCCATCGGTTCTGGGGTTCGGGTTCGCGAGAAGACACGGAGACATTGATGAAAGACACAAGGTGGGCCTTCTGGTGCTCAGGGACATCAATCTCACACACCAGACCCACCAACTCGTACACCACAAGCCCCGGCATGTTGGCCTGAACGCGCACACGGAGGTCCTCGCCTTCGAAGCACATAATCTGCCCCCCTTCAACGAAAATTCCAACTTCTTCTGGTAGCCACCCAGGAACCGCCCAGAGTCGTCGGCAGAGTGGGTTGCTCAAAGCGGCGTTGAGCATCATCACGGGGGGCATGCGGTGCACAGTCTTGCGAATCGTCACTTGCTGATAGCGTCGGCAGTAGTTGCACCAGCCCCTGTTCTGCGTCTCACGTTCGATGCTTGCCCGCAAGATATTCGAGAATCGGAAAGCCGGGTTTCTACGCGCCTGCTTGATATCGATGGCCGGGTAGATCAACTCGTTGGCGAGCGAATTTCCGGGCCGAACGATCTCATTGTGGCAGAACATGCACCGAATTGACTCGGATGCTATCGTGGCGAGCCTGTGGTCCAGGTCATCCGATCCGGGAAGAATCATGCGGTAGTCATGGGCGATTTGTCCGAGGAAAAATCGGTGAACCGCCTGGATGGCTGAGGAAAGGGACTTATTCGTCAGATTTTCTTCCAGCAATCCCAAAGTCGATGCTTCGCGATAGCTGCTGAATGTTTTCAGTAAATTCGTAGCCTGGCAGTTCTGGCCATTCGCCTTTTCCAGCATATCGAAAAGATAGCCCATTTCACACAAGAGACAATTTTCGAAGATACAAGAGCTCGCGGCATGATGTAGGGCGACGTTTCGGACTAGTGGGATGAATTTGAAGAGTTGAAGAAGAGCATTGGTGAAAGAATTGGCGATGTGTGTTTCCAACCCCGAGAAATTGGTCCGATTATAGAACCTAGTTGTACAGGTTAGCTCGTCACGAGACCGACTCAAGACCCCCGACCACTCTCATACCTGAAATCAAAATCATCCACACCGAATCGACTGTACTTGATCTCGACGTTGCTATACTTGAGCAATGGATCATCTTCGCCCTCTCCGTTGATCTTGGAGCCCGCCAGGGCCTCAGCAGTGTCACTAACCGAACCATCGGATTTCGCCTTGCTTTGCTCCCTCGCTTTCTCGCTCAGGAACTTCGGGGCAATGAGGGCGGGCTCCGAGGTCGTCAATGCACGGGTGTTTTCGACCTGGTTGCGTCGGATTTTCTTCGGATTCGGCGCGTAGTGACCGACCTCGGCCGGGCGAAGGTACGGGAGCAGTGCCTGGTCGACTGCGTTCGGGGGGCTTCCCACTTCGAAGACAAGGTGACTAGGCCAGGCCGACAACAAACGTTCATGATAGTAGGGCATGCCGACCATGTTAAGGGGGGTATCCGTGGCCCAGTCCAACGGCGGCGGTCGAGGGACCACGTCGGCGAACTCCGCTTCTTTGCTCATTTCATTAAAATGTATCTTTGCCGGCGAGCCCCACAGGTGGATAGAACACTCTGCATCATTGATGGCCAGGGCCTCTCCAGACGGGGAGATATCAATGCCCAGCATGAAGGACACATTGGCCTGGCGCAGATTGATGGCGTTGGGATTCATGAGGTCTACCACCTGCAGCTGTCCGGTCTGCGAGGCAACAAAGCTCGTGGTGTGGAGCTTGGGATGCATGCGCACATATGCGGCACCGGCATGAAAAGGGATGGGGGGAAGCGGGTTAAGTGTCTTGAGGTCGTAAACATTGGCTAACGGATCCACGATGGGCGACCCGAGATGCCTCATCGAGAAGCCACAGGTAACCAAGAGATCATTTCGAGCATCCATATCGTTGACCGCCGTTCCATGTGCCTTCCACGACTTGACCACGCGAAAATCAGCCAGGCTGAGTGCGTTCACCGACCCCGTGTCCGTCGCAGCACAGAGATACCGGCTCTTCTTCATCATCGTATAGTGGTGCTCCGTCGGCAGTTTATCCACTATCGTCCCCTTGTCGATGTCAATGGTAAACATCGCCTTTTGGCACCCCGCCACGATGATTCGGTTCAACTGCGCGGTAAAACTCATGCAGCGAAGATCGACCATGTCGTCGTGAGTGATGTGCCATTGTGTCAACCCGCGCCGCGTGATCATGTGGATACTCTTTGACGATAGTGATATGACGCCTCGGTCATGGAAGAGAATCTGCCGTACCATGCCCTCCGAGACCGGATGGGCTCTAATGGAGGTATACCGTTGCAGCTCAGGACCGTAGAAAGACGTGATTCGGCCCTATGCACGAAGGAAACACATTAGAATGCATCGATGATTACCATCCTCACAAGAAGACTCACATATTCATTTCCGACCCACAATAGCTCCGACACATCGTCAAAAGCTATCGTTGTTGCAATCGTCGGCAAAGCGTGCGAGCTTGGCGCCGGCACGGGGATGCGCGACAGCTCATCCCAGTCGGCCTCCATGGGGAGGAAGGAAGAATTCCAACTAGATGGATCTCAATATAATCGATAGATATCCCGTCTTTCAAAGAATGAACTGGAACTGCCCATCCGGAACCAGAGCGAGAGTGGGCATCGTTCAGCCACGCGATTGCGGGGAGCCGTTGGATCGATCGGGCACGATGATAATGGGTGGGAGGTATTCAGAGCCAGCGGCTAATTGTGCTTACGAGGAAGCAAGATTGTGGAGACTGAAAGCCGAACGAAGGAAAGGCTGTACAGAGAGACAGAAAGAAAAGGGCCCCAGGCCAGGTTTGGCATTCCTGATCGATGGACGGCGATGACCAGACGGGCAGCGGTGATGTGGGACACGTCGTCACGTGTTGTGTTTGCGGCCTCAGGCGATGATTTCCCAAACAGGCAACGCATACTCTTATACTCTGCAGCAGTGGCATTAGATCACTGGCTTGGCATGATTATCACTATCTTATAAGGCTATACATTTCATGATCAAGACCCGGGATAATGAGTTGGTCATGCATTCTGACCATATTGCATGCCATGTGCCTAATTATGAGGGACCTGACGTACACTTGTAACCTGAGGCATCCAGTGATCCTCCGCGTTTTCTATACAGACTGACTTCGATCTTCATCTTTGTTTCCATCGTCTGATCACCCGTCTCAATAACTCCGATAGTATCAGTTGCTCTTCCTGGTGTCCCGATTCCCTGTACCTTCCTCGATAATCCCCGGCTATATAGCTCCCTCCCCACCCGAACACTTGAATTCAAACCCCTATAGCCATGCTATGGGTTCGGAACGAGAGCTCTCTACAAAGCAGGGCTAGCACATGCCGACCCCTTTGCAAAACAAGTTCAGGTCTTGACATTTCCTTCGGGTTTCGATTATGCACGCGTTCCCTAAACAGGCACGGTCTGAGGCGTCTCTGCCCCCAAGATAGTAGCAACTCTCTGGAGGTAGGCTAAGCTCAAGTCGTGGTTATGAAACATCCATGCTGATCATTGTCAGTTGCTTCTGATCCTTCCATCAGAGACCTATGCATAGTCTGATGCTATCGACCTCTGCTAAACGCCAGTAGTATGGCTCTCGCTCTTGGTGCAACTCGAAGTCCGACCAATAGACCCTCCAAGGCGGAAAGAAAGAAACCAGACAGCCGTCCATGCTACTTCGACATGACAATGCGGTCAGAAGTTCTTAGGCTGGGGACCAGCCAGTCTGGGCGCTCTCCAAAACGCTTATGTGTGGGTAGATGCACGCCATTGAAGTCGCCGCTGTGTCAGAATACGCGTACTCCGAGTTGACAGCGCGGATAGAACACAATGTACTGTTCTATCGGCTTCGCGCGAGCCAAATCAGACTAATCTATTCTTTCACTGCAACGGTAGGCAACGGCACATTTCAATAAAGTGTGTCTTACATTATCAACCGCTTGGCTATCTGATGGCATACATGCATCCACGCGCAGGGTGAGAGACCCAACTGCTGAGATGAGGTGGCAGAATTACCTGCTGTTATAACGAGGAATTCCGAGGTTCTGGACTAATCAGCATATAGGAATGTCCCACCCTCGGGTGATTAGGGTATGTGTGTATTGGATAGATACATAGAGAACACAGTGCCCCCCACTATCAAGCATTGTAACGCGGAATGGAGGTATGCTAGGGCTGCGAAGAGCGGTCTAAATGGAGAAGCTGCGGGACGCTGAGGGAGGCGTGGCATTGCGCATATCAGTACACATTATAGCATTGCTATTCTCGCATAGTTTACCCGTATACAATTACAAGATAAGTGTGTCTTTGCTAGTTCGCAAAAATATGGTGATATAATATCAATCTGATATATTTTCTGTCATATGTACTTTCATCGTCGGTACTCTGATGAGACGTGGATCATTTGACCTGTGTCCCTAATCAGCCAGTGATAATGGTATAGAAAGGCAACCGGGAATAAACCTTAGACTTATCTACTCGAACTTCTCTTCTCTCTTCGCATCGAGTAGCATCGAGTAATATCTCTAAATTGGCTTTTCAAGCTTGCGTAAGTTCCTCAGACTCATTTATTATGTCGTTGCGAATGTGCCCAACAATATGGTCAGACAGACTCATATTATACGTGAGTATATGTATTATCATGGTACCAGGTTATGTATTTCGAGACGCATCTGATGAATATTTGATCAAAATAACTTATCTAGAGTGAAATATAGATCAGTTTAGGAAAAGTGAACGGCAGACATAACCTGAACCGATTATCTACAGAGAAAGTATGAGTAGCATGAAAGGCACGATGAATCAATTTAATCAAGGTCAAAGACAATCCTAACAACCAAATGTTTTAAATTGATTCGAACTAAAACATAAGTAGTTGATTTCAATCAAAAAACAAGTACTGTAGATATAGAGACCCAGGACAGTAACCAACTACCAGGGTTGGAAAGATTCACCGTCACCCCTGTTTACTCCGCATATGATAGAAGCATATCGATACCCTACTACATGTAATCTGTACTTGATAGGGCGATAATCACTCACTCTCAATCATTATGCATTCTCAAAGTCCTACTGAGGTAAGACTATCCAAGCTTTTGTTCGCTGAATTACTACTTCTCAACAATACACCCCCTACAAACCATCTTCCAAGGCTATTTCAACCACCCCCATATCTAAACCGGTGGGTGTAGTGATATTCACAACCTTCAGCCTGGGATCTGCCATGCGCACCAGATGTTGGAACTGGGCTGCGCTGCGCTCCTGACCATTGGTGGCAGAAAGCATATTCATATCAAGGCCACTGGACCGGTCAGCTCGAGCCATCCACGTACAGTGAAGCGCAAAAGGGAAAAAGGTAGTAAGGATATTCAAACACACCGCAGGACTTGTTCCACAAACAGCGATCCCGTCCCAGGGTCTGGCACTATATGCTCCTGGACTATGATGCGGTCTCCCCGTTTCAGTCCAGGGAGGACAGCCCGTAGAATCCGACAGCATTCTTGATCGCTCCAGTCATGCAGGATCATGCGGAGAAAGTACACAATCTTCTTGTCTGGTATCCCCTGCTGCGCATCGAACATGTTGTGCGGCTGAAAGCGAATGCGACCCCGCAGCTCGGCCGGCAAGATGGCCTCCCCTTGGCGGCAGACGGCTTCATAGTCCTGCACGATAAACTCGAGTTGCGGAAAGTGCCCGGCAAGTTTCCGGCTGATATGCCCTATGGAGCCCGCCACCTGTGCGCTGGTCAGTGTGGATACTCCGCGAAGCGTACAGTTAAGTTCGACCCTACTCACGTCAACGACGACGGCGTCCCCCAGGCCGGCCCAATCGTACCCACTTATCAGACCATCAATGACCCCGAACACATCAGACGTGAAGTTCATGAACTTCCCGAACATCTTCTGGGCCTCGAGATCCTGCTCCAAGAGCTCCCACATCGTCTTGTCCGTGTTCTTGGCAACGTTAAACCCAGTCTCATTGGGCTTCTGGCTTGACCCCCATTTTGTCAACGCATCCGCCACGTGCATGATTGCCGGGGTCGCCCAGCCGAATACCATGCTGAACAGGGCATCCGGCCATTGCTCGGTGGCCAGTGTGGCGGATAGACGAGAGTGAGAGACATGGTCTGGGTCCGGTTGGTGGAACATGCCTCGCGTCATGAGAGTCCTCATCACTCTTTCGATCACACCCTGGTCCAGTCCGACTTTTGCAGCGAGGTTCTCGTAGCTAATGCAGTCGTTGAGAGGCACCGCCTGGGGCAGTTTGAACCGCCAGGAGATCTGCAGGGCGGACGAGATAACAAGCTGCGGGTTCTCAGTGATTTGGTTGACTAACTTATTGACTAATTGCGTTCTTCTTAGATCCAACATACGTTATACTGAATCCCCTGGAGGGTCTCCTGGGTCCCGGACAGTAGATCGACCAGGTGCAACGCCGCATCGCGGAGCTGTGTGCGGGCAGCGTGGAAGGCCTCCGCGTTGGGGAGTGCAAAATGGCTAGGATCAGGACACTGGGGATCAAGCGAGAGCTTCAGTTTGTTCTCCTCCAGAATGCCCGACATCACACGGGCTGATTTCGACACGGTGTTTGAGAGCTCGATGAGATCCATTTTGACAATATCGCACAAAGTCAATCAACCAAGTTCCTGTCAATGATCATATCCGCTCGAGACGGTGGCCCTTTAATACCTGTTGGACACCTGTTAGACTCTCCGCTGTGTAACCAATCTGCAAACCGATGACCCGTGCCTGTAACCCCTTCCCTGTCAGAACCTTGTCATGGTTGAAGTGCCCACATATGCGTGACATGACACGCTCAGAGCCATTGCAGCTGCTACCTCCTGACCGTCTGGATCAGGTCCTGTCACACGGTAGAGCGTATGCCGGACATCCCCTTGTCCGAGTTCCGTCTGCCCAGGAACCTCCTCGACACTGGAATCGAGCAGTCAAGATTCGACAGCACCGCACCAGTATCCTGAAGCGGTATCTGACCAGAGGTGATATAACTGATACCCGGCAATATCCATGGTTACCACGTACACGCTTTCGACAGCTGAATCAACCCCGCAGAGAAAAGCAATCATGGCAGAGCATGACATGATCCAAGCCCGCCGCGACCATCCTCGCTCACTACACAACCCACCATCGGCCAAACCACATCACACCCTAAGGAAATAGAGCCAGCGCCCACTGACGCTAGCTTATCCAACATGCATTCCACTCCCGTTGTGGAACCCGACTCATCGACAGGAATCCACCAACCGGATGTGCAGGTTACCAGATGGAAGACCGGCAGGTTCTTAAATGGGCAATCTTCAGCTGTTGTCCTACATCTAAAGGGGGGTCACGTCTGCAGTGACCCCGACGGAACGCCACAAACTCCTCTCCCGGGTTTGAGAGGGCGAAAGACTGGATGGGTAGTGGATTGGTGTAACTGTGCTGGTGATATTCAGTGCATGACTGCACGTGGATGGCGCATGTGAAAAGGGTGGTAGGAGGTGGCATTGACTTATAGTGTTCTATTGAGATATTCTTAGTATAAATTTACTTTGTTCTGTGTTTGATTATGGACTCCATATAACGATGCATTGAGCCTAGTTAGCCAGCTGTTGAAAACCATCCACAGTCTTAGTGTCACGTACTAAGAATAACTCCAATAAAGACCGCCACTACCGCCACGACCCCTCTGGTGAAAAAGCAAAACAAGTAATGAGGAGTTGCAATTGGAAGACTGGCTAATAGCTACTCTTCAATCTAAATCTGATCTATTAAAGAATTCCTTGCAAGCTGAATATAAGACCTAGGGCAGTTCGTTCAAGGAGACAGATTGGCTGCGATTGGATGGGATATGAATAGTGGGTGGGTGATCAGCCCTATATTCAGATGTGGCTATCAGCAAACAGCTAGCTGCGATGGGATATGAATAGTGAGTAAGTAATCCGCTCTATATCCAGAGATGGCTGCTAGAAAATAACTGACTGGAATGGGCTGTGGATAGCCTGTGAGTGATCTGCTGGAGGTAGTCACCAGAAGACCAGTATGGCTTACGAACTTCTACAGTAATTTCACCAAACACGCACAACAATCTAGATATCAAGTTTCTTCACAAGAGTTGCAGGTACGGGCTGAGATGTGTATTGAAAATTTCGAGCTCTACTCATATTTCCACGCAGGTGCTTGACACTGTCTAATGTCTATTCCCGTGCTTCTAGATATCCAGGCTTGCAACAAGTGGTTTTGCTGCCTTGGTATAGGTTTGTTTCTATGACATAGACTTCCCTGTACTGTTATTGTACTGTTATTTGAATACAAAGGCTTACTACAGACACTCCTATGGGCTTAGATTGTGGAGGGTAGTGATACTGTAGGAAGGATAGCGGTTATATCCAGCCTAACCAATATCATTCTATAACTTGATATAGTTGATAAAGAATGTAAATAAAGTTCTTCACGAAACCTTCTCCTACCTATAGAGTAACCCTTCTATTATATTATACACTCTGTACCATGAACACAGTCATCTCAGACCATGAGATTGAACCAACCCTTCATATCTCAACCTCAATCTACACATCGTCGTATAGCAATACAATCCATCTCCATAATACAAGAATATCATAGGTCCTCCATCCATCCTCAAACTCAAAGGTCTCAACTTCCCACTCTAATCAACGGCCACCTGCATCTCTCAAACGGGATTCCTCCTGCTACTCCTACTATAAGACAGGATATACCCGGTAAACTATCTCCTGCTTCAGGTTTTGCAATGTTTCCTGGGATGCTTCTACATGATAGGTGTACTTGCTATTTTCTTGCGGTCTGGGACTGATGCTGGTTACAGTATTGTGGTCTGATTGGGCTGTAGATGAACTGGGTTTCGGTGGGTATTTTGTTTGCATTTGTTTTGTTGTTCACTTGTTGGGTAATTGGTGGGTTATTTACTCTCTTGCGGGATTCGCATATCGCTCCGCAGTAGAAAGAAACGAGAATAAACAGAATAAAGGAAGAAAAGGAGAAAAGGAGAAAAGGAAAACTCCGGAAAGAACATTGACTAACTAGTAGCTAAGTAAGTAGGTAGTAGCAAAGTCAGGCTAATTGAGATGGTGACAGTAATGGTAATACTTAGTGAAACTCATTTCGATTCAATCAATTCAACCCATCAACTCGGTATGCAATCGATTCAATCGATCCAGCTAATTGAGTAATTCAATCGGTCAATCAATCCACACCATCCATTCATCATCCATAATCCGAAAACAAGTAGTGTATCCACATTATCGATAATAAGAAGCCGGATTCGACCCGGCCATCCCCCCTGGCTTATAAGCCTGATACCCTGGATAAGGCGCCGGCGTGGAAGCCGTCCCGGGGACAGGTGGAGGTTGGCTAGCAGGCGGGGCAGGGTAGGGTGCCTGTCCCGGGGTCGCCGGGTCGTCGGGCGCGTAGCCACCAGGCTGCTGCTGGAACGGTGGCGGGCCGCCCGGGTACGGCGCTCGTTGGGCGGTGGTAGTGGTGGTTGCGGGCGGGTGGTGGTCTACCGGGGAGTCGTAGACCGATGTGCCGAGTTCTTGGGGGTGGTCGTAGGTGGATTCGGGGCGGTGGTAGACGGGTTGGTAGGGTTCCGTTGGGGCTTGTTGTTGTTGGTACGGGGTGGCGGCGGGGGGTGTGTGCATGCGGGGATCCGGGGAGTGCGAGGTTGTGGGCTGGAGCTGGGGCTGGTCGGGGTTGTAGTATGGGTTGCCGGTTGGTTGGGACGGGGAGTCTGAGCTGTTAGACTGCATTCTATAGGTAGAGAGAATAGGAAGACAAACCTTGTGGACGGGGACTGAAGTAGCGCTGGGAATCGTGCGGCGGCTGCCCTTGAGGATATCCCATTGCGGCTTGTGGTGGGTATCCATACGGCGATTGGCCGGGTCTTCCGTATTGGGGCTGCGTGGGATGCGACATGGATGCCTCCAGCAGGGATTCATAGTCCCGGCGGGCCTTGATGAATTTCTCGTTGAGCTGGGTGAATTCGTCTGGTTTTGTGAGTAAGCGCACATTTTATATGTATAGCATATAGCTAGAGATAGACATACCCTTCTTCTGCGAATACTTCCCAATCAGCTCTATTAACTTCGGCCGGATCGCCAGCGTCGAGTGATACAACGAGGTGATCTCCTCGTTATCCTGCGCATTGGGATCGGGGCTCCGCGTGCTGAGCAGGGTCAACAGCTTCTCGACGTTCTTGATCTGGCCGAACACATCTGCCTCCATATGCGCCTCCCGCTGCAGCTCCTCCACCGTCGGGTCCGGCAGCTTCTCCACGTAGTTGAGGGGGAAGATGCCCGTCTGCCCGCGCAGCGAGCCCTTCCACCAGTCCTTGTACACGGATTCGAGAACGGCGATAATATCCCCCTTGCGAAATTGGAGTTCGCCGGGCTCGGACGGCAGGAAATCGAACAGCGCTCTCACCCGGGAGACTGTGGCGGCTGACGTTCCTGGCGGGACGGGTTGCGATGGCGGAGCTTCCGCTGCGGCAGGACCCGCGGCAGCACCGGCGGTGGCGGCAGCGGAGGAAGAAGCTGCAGCACTAGACTGGGCCTGCGGTGCGCCGGACGGGGTCGGTTTCTCCCGGATCGAAAGCGCAAGCGCCATCTGGAGTTCCTCCTCTTCCTTCTGGCGATCGACGTCGGTGATCTCCCTCTTTCCCGGTTTAGACGGAGGCTGTAGGTTAGGGTCTGCGCGATCAGCTTCCCCTCTAGGTCTTAATCTCTCTTCCAGTGTGGCTTACTCTGTGTCTTGAGCTGCATGTAGGCTTGCTCCATAATCCCGAAATCAGGGTTATTGGCGAAAATCTCCGTCCATTCCTGCATGCGCTCGAGGATTTTCGACTTGACTTGTTGATGGGTGTTCTAAACCGGTCAGTATGGTTTAAGCCAGCGCAGACATTATACTCACACGGTCATTCGCCAGACGAAGGAGAGCGTCGGTGAAACTTCTCGAAGCGAGTTCGCGGTGGATTTTGGGGCCGCAGTTCTGCGCGAGCGCGTTGCCCAGCTGTGACGTCGTCAGTATTGACCTCGCCCGCATACGAGCATCTGCGACCAACCTCGAGTGTGTATAATTGCACGTTTGCGTTCCGGTGCGCCAGTCTTTTGATCAGGGCGGCGACGGCATCTTTCGGCCTATTCCAGATTATCAACTGTGTCCGGTTTCCGTTGGTGGAAGGTCAAACTTACCCCGACTCGTCCCCAGCGACCTTGTCACAGACGTCCTACCAACAGTACGTCAGCGCCTTCAAATCCCACCATCCAACCCAAAGAGGGGTCATACCAAGATATATTCCCAATTCTCCGACGTAAGATTCTCATCCGTCGCCTTGGCTATTGATGCACTCAATCAGCAATCAACAATCTACCCATAGCCTCCACCGAACCAATTCGCAAACAAGTTCAGAAGTATATGAGAATCCATACCGACAGCGTCGTCAAAAGCGTTCTGCTGAGCACGAAACATCACGGTTGCCTAGAGTTTTATCTATCTCACTGCCGGGCGGGAACGAAAGGAGTAGGTAAAGAAGCGTGTCGAGAGAATCCACTTGGTTTTGTTCCGCTGTCAGGTAGTGTAGGGAGTGACTCCGGAATTTGGTACGATGGGTGAATTGGAATTTTCGTGGATGAGTCCTTAATCAGGTAGGTAGGTGGTACGTAGATAGGTGGTGGTGGTAGTGGTGGTGGTGGTGGTGGTGGTTGACTGCGGGGGAAGACGGAGAGCGAGAGAGGGGAGATAGCTTGATGCCCCAGGCGACAGACTCAGTCACTAGCAGTCGGGTGACGAGGTCGGTCGACGATAGAGAAAGTATGTGGTAGGGATGACCACCAGCGATGATGTGTATGTATTAGTAGATTAATGGGTATCCCAGGAAGTGAACAAAGGAGGAAGAGAAGAGTAAGACAAGGCAGCCGAACAAGATGACCAGGTTGAAGAGAGAGGTGACGATTTAGTTGACTAGTTAGTTGGGTTGGAGAACTAGTTCGTTCCCTTAGTTAGTCAGTGAATGAGTGACTGCGCCTCTGACGCGGATGCTCGGCCCGCGCTAGACCGGATTAAGCGAGACTGTGACTTCACTGGTCTCTTATGGGTCATCTTGACTCCGTACTATGGAGTATAAGTGTATATGGTGAAGATACAAGTAAGATACTTTTATTCCATAGCCCGGAATATCCCCCAGACAAGTCATTAATCATAAAATCACAGAGCTGGCCAGACGCCCACTGCAGACCGAGCCCAAATCAAACATGATGGCGCGTTCATTAGGAAGGGAAGAGGATCCGTCCAGCGTATGATCACAAACACTAGAGCATCACTCTGTAGATTAAAAGAACAGTAACGGCAGCAAAAGCAACCGCCCAGGTTTACAGGCATCGTCCACCGCACCACAACCCCGCACGACGGCAGACACAGAGCGATACAATCGAGATCATCAATATAGAAGGATATATCGGTCGTCGAAACAAAAAAATCATAATCGGTAGGGAAACAAGTCGAAAGAACAAACAAGGAAATGGGTCATCATCAAGTCATCGCTATCTATGGGTGGAATGGGGGGGGGGGGAGAGGGGACGGAAACACTGCAGAGGGATGGAGACAGGGTCCGCCATGATGCAGAACCGACAGATCACACGTCCAGCAGCATCGGAATATCAAGAGGCATGGGTATCTGGGACAAAGACAAAAAACACAAGGGGGAATATATAAACGAAACCGGGGGCCCGGACGCTCAGTGTCCACCCTTCTGGGCTTTTTCCTGGGCCCGGCTGACCCGGGCGGCTTTCACGAGCGGGGACAGATGCGACAGTGGCGCACACAGGGACATGAACGGGTGCTAAACGGGTCAGTCAGGTCCACGTCACCTTTGACCAGGAAGAAGAGCGAAGGGGGAGGGAAATACCTTAAGCAAATCATGGGCCGACGCGCGCTTCTCCGGATCGACCTTGAGCGCCAGGTGCAGGAAATCGCGGAAGACCGGCGACAGCTGGTGCTCATCCTTGATGGTCGGGGTGCCGTTGGTGGCGATCAGGTACAGCGCCCGCAGCGGCGACTCGGTGAGATACGGCGGCTCGCCCTCGATCATCTCGATCGCCATGATCCCCAGACTCCAGATGTCCACCTTGCGGCCGTACTCCTTGCGCGTGACGACCTCGGGGGCCATCCAGTACGGGGTGCCGACCATGGTGTTGCGCTTGTTCTGCGAGTCGTTGATCTGGGCGCAGAAGCCAAAGTCGGCTGGTAGTTGTTAGACAAGAAACAAGAGGGGACAGAGAGAAGGGAAACGGACTCAGCTTAATATTGCCATCCATCGAAAGGAGAATGTTATCGGATTTGATGTCGCGGTGGATGACACCTTTTGAATGCAGGTGTTGCAAGCCATTGAGGGTCTAAAAACAGTCAGTCAACTGGAACTTCCGGTCAAATTGCGCAGGGGAACGTACTTCTCGACAGACCACGGCGATCTGGGCTTCACTCATGATGTTAAAGGTGACGACATCCGTCAGACTGCCGCCCTCCATGTACTCCATCACGACCCAGAGATCCAACCCGTGGAGATAGCTGTCCAGGAAGTTGACAATGTTCTTGTGCTTGCTATCCTTCATGACGAGGATCTCGTTGATGATGAGCTCCTTCTTCGGTTGCAGGTCGAGGTTCATCTGCTTGATGGCCACGCAGTCGTGGGCGCCGTGGGTGTAAGCGGTGTAGACGCCGCCCGAGGCGCCCTGGCCGATCTTGTTCAGGTTGCGGTACAGCTTGGTCGGGTCGCCCGGGGTACAGATGGAGTTGAGGCGGGCGCGCACGTCCATGGCGGTGCTCTGGCGGGGCCGTTGCCGAGGCCGGGCGGCGGGCGCGCGCTGCGCGGCCTGCACGGCGGGGTCTTCGGCGACCGCCGGCTTCTGATCCGGCCGCGCGGGCGCCTGTTGGCGCTGGCTGCGACTCCGATCGAGCTGCTTGCTGGCCAGCGCCTGCTGAGCCGCGGCCATGGCATGCTCCTGCTGCTGCTGGTATTGGGTCGGAGTGGCCACCACGGGCGGCGGCCCGTACGGCGCACCGGTGGCGGTGGGGGTGGTCGTCGGGGGCGGCGACCGGGCGCGCGGCGGCTCGGACGTCAGGGGCTCCGTCTCGGGGATCATGGGGATGGCCGGGGCGTTGAAGGGAGCGGGATACGCGTCGGGCGGTCGGGTCATCGTGGCCGACATCTGCGGCGCAGCGGTGGGCGGCTGCGGGGCCGCTCGGGCAGGCGTCATGGTGGTCGCCGTCGGGGGTTTGGGGGGCGCCCGGTTGGGGACTAAGCCCCCGACCGGAGGGGACATCGCGGGCACGGTGGGCGGAGAGCCGCCGCCGCCGCCGCGGGGGATCGGTGGCGGGGCCCGGGGGTTCTCGAAGCTGCCCTCGTGATTCTGGGGGAACCGGGGGCTCGTGGGCGGCGAGGTCCGCTGCTGGCCCGCGGTGGCGGCGGCGTAGGCGGCGGCGCCGACGGTGTCGGACTGGGCGGGGCTCGTGACGACCTGATGCTGAGGGTAGGCGTGGTCGAACTTGTGCCAGACCTCGTCATCGCCCCGGGCATTCTTCTCGTAGAAGCGCATGATGTCGACCATGGTCTGGGGATGTTCCTCCTGCTCCTTCTTGGAGATGCCGCTCTCCTGCAGCAGACGCTGCCACTCCTTGGGCAAGCCCGTGAACTGGCCGGTCCGATTGTCATAGCCGACGTGGGTGACATGGACGGGATTCTCGGGGGCGGAGATCTTAATGCCTCTGGGCGAGCCGAGCATGCTGTTGACGAAGCTGGAGAAGCTGGCCTTCTTGCTCCGCCCGGTCCTGGGCCCCCCGGCCTCATCGGAGTACCGGTTAGTGGGGGGGGTGGAACGGTCCTGATCGTTGCGGTGGACGAAGGCGTCCATCCGGTTGTGTAGGGCGGTAAAGCTGGCAGATTGACGGAGCCCCCGGGTGTCGGTAGTGGTCAGGGAGGGGGGGAGCGGCGGACGGGTGGACGAGGCGGGACGATCGAATTCGGTGCTGTTCTCATCCAACGCGGTGAGCATGCCACGGGAGTCGAAGGGGGAACTGGTCAATTCATCGGAACTGGGGGTCTGCAGGGAGAAGCGACCGGAGTGGAGAGGACGGGATGGTTGTTGTTGGGAGGCGGCGGCGTGATGGGTGGGCGCGTGGGCCAAGTCGTTGCTGGAGGGGACCGGCGAGGGACCGGCGCTGTGCTGGTCGAGGGAGGAAGACGAGGAGGACCCGTAGGCGTTGGAGCGGGTGCGAGTGTGGTGGTCTCGACCGGGGCTGCTATTGGAACGAGGATAGACGGGGGCGGAGGGGTGTCGTTTCAAGGACGTGGTATTGGACTGCTGGCTCTTGAGGATGCGAGAGGTAAAGCTGGGGGAATCTTTGTGAAGCTTGCTTGAAGTCCGCCGAAATTTCAGGGAGGAGAAAGTATCGTGATTCATGACGTGTGGGGGGGGGGAAGAGAAGAATGGGGAGAGTGACTAGATGTAAAGGAGAGAGGTCTGATGGTGGTTGATGGTGGTGTGGGTGGGGGGAGAGATGACTGGTAACTTGGTCAGGGTCAGTAAAACTGCATGAATATTATTATTATTATTATTTTTAACGTGTCGTTTCTTCCGATTTGGTGGTTGTAATTTTCACCATTGTTTCTTTTTCTTGCAGTGAATGAATGAAAAGGGGAAAGACAGACCGGTCAGACTCAATCACACCAATCAAACCAGGCACGAATGTTTGTCCTTTTTCCTCAAGGATGGAAGAGCGGAGAGAAAGACAAGAGAGAGAGACAAGAAAGAAGAGAGGAAGAGAGAGAGAAAGAGAGAGGAAGAAGAAGGTTGGGAGAGAAGGAGTTGGAGCCACCTGAGGCGGTGCTTCTATCGTCAAGTTGTCTAGTTGGATGGTTAGTATTGTATGGGACAATACGGTAAGGAGGGAAATATGATACGGAAGGACCAGGATGGTAAGGACACCCGATCAAGAGACAAGAAGAATACCATCCATCGAATTCAAATGGGAAATGGAATCGTACTCCGTCTAATGGGGAAAGCAAAGAAGAAAGAAAAGGAAAGAAAGATGAAAAGGTGGAAATAATCCAGTGGAGTGTGGATCGGGGGGATGCAGGAAAGGTTTCCAAGCGGAGAGAGAACGTAAGGGAGAAAGAAAAAAAAAAAAAAAAAAAAAAAGTCGAACAAATGGTTGGCACGTGGAGAGCCCGCTCTGGATGGATCCGCCTGAGGTTCCAGACTGACTGACTGGGTGGAGGCAAAAGATTCCAGAATTATCTGATGCAGCCATCCAGTGATTTATTTGATTGATCCCACCTGTTAGTAATATCATCATTTCATATTTCGATTCTAATATACTATTTATATTAGATGATTATCTTATTATACTATGATATTATTATATTATAAGTATTGGATATCATTATTGTATAACACCGCAGATGCCAGGTTGACTGCACTAGGTACTCTGTGGAGGGTTAGGCCACCAGACGGGCGGCTGGACCAACCAGATCAATCCAGAATACAGTCCTTTATATTAACTTACCTTACCACGGTCTGTACGTGTATATACCGTATTTTGCATAGTATCATACAATATAATAATCCACATCAACGTTGAGGAATATCTCCCATGGATTATTGATTTGAATGAGTCTCCTGCATCTGATCTTCTTGTGATATCCTCCTAGTCATATTCAAGACCATACCCTACCTCCCAGGTTGATCGGTCAACGTACTTTTGATCCATCGCACAATACACGTCGTACACGATTAATGTGACTGATACTACTACTAAGGAAGAGGTAATCTCGAACCTCTCTCTTTAATTGATATGATTCGTACTATTCCATAAAGATACTACTTCCCCCCTTGGTCCATGTCTTCCGTCTTTCTGGAATCTAACCCGAGGCTTCCTCCTTGTTAGCGCCTGTCCGGCTGTTTACTTGTCAACGCGGGAAAAGCGGGGCCATCCAGTACCATATTCCATTCTCCGTAATACCGTCTTCTCCGAGAGCTCAACGGCCAAAGACTGTAGTCCTGAGTAAGTATTTCGTCTCGAATCCCTCGCATCAGTCGTCAGTCAATACCAGTTCGATCCCAAAGTTTCAGGTTAGCTTCAGGAGTACCGAGCGGGGACACGACTCAACCCGGCATTTCTCGTCACACAACGCCAGGTGAGACACCAACAAGTCAACGGGAAGATCATTTCAGATAGGAGAATCATAACCAAGTGGATCATCCGAGTTCAGGCCTTCCCTCAGACAAAGAATCCCCCCAGCCACATCCGTCTTTGGAGACACACCTCCAGCCGTTCTTGATCCTGCAGGTACCAAAAGACGGGTGGTCGTCCTCGTCTTGTCTCGGTCAAACCGGCTGTGTTTTCTCTTCCCCGTATCCCTGCCTGCTGCTGCACCTGCAGACCGATGGATCCAGTGCAAGGCGGTCACACCTCTTTGCTCTCTCTCGTCTCGTCGGCTTTCAATCTTCCAGCGCACCACAGGCTCCCAAGTCCCAACAGACCAATAATATCGTAGATTCCATCCAACCGTTGACTGGTACATCCCATCCTTGACGATCGGTCGAGAAACGGGCGGATTGGATTAGCGCGTTCGAACAGGCTAAAACGGTCCGGATGGTCTGATGAGTGCAGTGCTGTCATGGGGCGGAGGACACTTTTCCCCTACCCAATAGGGGACTGTTTCAGCTTGATTTGACGCTATTCGGGAATTGTCGTAGTTGGTGACGGGGTTGTAGCATGGACATCTCTCTTATTGAAAATCATATCTTATTAGTTGGTTTTTTTTAGTCGAGATCCTGATCCATTGGATGGGAGGTGTCTATCCCGACTGATCAGTCGATAGTATTCTAGAGTAGAATTGGAGTCCTGGCATGGTGGATCTATTGGTGGGCTGTATGTAGTTACTCGGAACGACCGTTTTGAAATTATCCTCTCGAACTCTGGGGTGAAACCGCAGTGAGCTTGCATACCGATACTTACCATGGATACAAAAGATGGTGGCTATGACCCTTAATGTCTCTCCTCCTTTCTCATGTAGGACTTCAGGTGCTGCTAAATATAGATGAAGGCTCGATGTCAATCTCCTTTATATAGTGTAATTGACACCATGCAGTGAATATATATATTCTATCCCATCACAGTGTATGTTCTACCGGCACTGATTCACTTGTTGATCTAGGAGACAATATAGGTGATACTTAATTAAATATTGACTGTCTGTGAACAGTGTCCAGTGAGGTCATAATTTCTGTATTGTGGTTGGAATATCAAGTAACAGTGGGTTCTTTATTATGGTGTCTGAATAGCTTCAACATCAGTCCAGTTAACCAATCTAGATATCTATATGTTATGGATATTTTGTGACAATGACTTTGTTCTTTGATCATGATGGAATCATTATAGTCTCAAGTAATTTATCCCATACAACATTATCTATATTTTTGGTTGTGATCTGACTTCTAGAAAACTCTAGCTTGGTCACTCTAACTCGGATGGCTTCACAGCTTCAACCAACCTTACATCACTGTTGAATAGTCAATCCTCATCATATATACGATGTCTAACTATACATCTATTGAATATATCATCAATTGAGACACTTCAGATGCTTTCAATCAGCTGATTAGGTTGAAGCTGTCTAACATTGATCTGGTAACCTGTTGATCACCATGTTTCCCCAGTGGACAGTCATTGACAGGTACCATGACAAGAATCAGATCATTATCAGAATTATCAAGAAAGACAATGATTCCATAAGACGGTCAGAATACAGGTTGTAATGTTCATCCACAACGGTTCTCCATCAGACCGCCAAAAGAGGAATGGACTCCTTAGCTTCTCTCTCCGCCTGTCTGTCCTCTTCTCTTCTTCTTCTTCTCTCCACGCTCGACTTTCTTCCTCCCCCACTCATCTCCGTCACTTCTCCGACCTCATTCTTCTCCTTCTCCTTCTTTCCTTTCTCCCTCTTCCCCCGGTCAATCTCTCCTCAATTGACCTTCTTCCCCACCAATTCATCTCTCCAGACCTCCTTCTCCCTACAGTTCTCCCCACGCTCTCTCCGCTTTCCCTCTCCCACTCCCGAACCAATTGATCGACACCCAATTGTTTTTCTGCCTGTCGAAAATCCTCGCCTGTGGTGATCGGTCAGCCTCATCAGCTGCCGACTCTTCTCCTCTCGTCGATTTTTATCCTCTGTGGTTTCGCTGCCATTGGTCGTGGTCTGATTGCCCGACTCCCCGGTCGATTTCCCACTCGGCAATATTTCCGTTGCTTCCAGCTGTCTCCTCCACTGACGGCCAGCCGGTACGTTAGGCAAATCTCCCCGGTCCTTCCCTCCTGCTAACCAGAAGATCCGACAGTGCTCCATCCATCCTGACCTACATCCTCCGCTCCGAAAGTGATCGATTCGAACTTGCGTCATGGCGTCCGAAGTTCCCGCTACCGACCTGACAGGTGCGCCCAAGTCCCGGGCTGCCATGCTCGAGGAACAGCATGCCCGCCATGAACCCCACAACGTGACCGTCGAGGATGCCGTGGATGAATATGATGCCCAATTCCCGGCCCCCTCCGGTGCCTCCAAGCCCGTTCAGGCCGCGACTCCTGACCCGACCCCCGCACCAGCGCCCGCGGCCCCCGTCGCCAAACCGGCCCCGAAGAAATCGCCCGCCTTGGATGTGCGCTCCGAGGAATTGTTCCCCGCCCTGGGCAGTGGTCCGAAACCGAAGACCCCCGCCGCCTCTGCTTGGGGATCGAAAGGTCTGTCCGGTGCCGCCGCCGTCGCCAACGGTGCCCCGGCCCCCTCGCAAGCCAGTACGTCTCTCCCCACTGACCCGCGTGCCTGGGATCCTCTAGCTGACAGTCATAGCCGATGTGCCCCGTATCATCAGCCTGCCCGGCAAGCACATGGAACAGCTCCGTCTGGCGCCGTCGCAGATGCTCCCCCGGGGTCAGCTCAAGAAGCCCCTGCGCGATATCCTGCGCGACATCTCTCGCCGGTCCAAGGCGAACGTGGATATGCGAGGTGGCCCCGGTGGATCCATCATCTTTGAAGGCAAAGGATCCGTCGATGCCGTGCGACAAGCCCTCAAAGAGGTCGCTCAGCAGGTTGGCTCCAAGGTATGTCACTGACCCCCGTTCAACCGCCGGGATATACCGAATCTGACACCCATCCCAGCAATCTGTCCGCGTTCCCATTCCGGCCTCCGCCCGTCCCCACATCATCGGTCGACAAGGCGCGGTGGTTCAGGATCTGCAGCAGCGAACCGGAGCCCGCGTGCAGGTTCCTCGTGCGGAGGACTCGGCCCCCGGGGTCGATGAGGATGACAGCGACACCATTGATGTGCTGATCGAAGGCGATGCCGTCGCCGCCGAGATGGCCCGTCGGGAGATCGAGGCCATCATCAAGGAGCGAGCCTCGAACATGAGCCTGCGCCTCAAGTCCATCCCCCCCGAGTTCTTCCCCTTCATCGCCGGCGCCCACAATGCCAACCTGAAGGAGATTCAGGATCGCACGCAGGCCCAGGTCCACGTGCCTCGGTATGACACCTGGCTGAGCCAGCCCCCGCCGCAGGAGGCCGAGCCCGGTCAGGTCCAGTTCGCCCCCGTGCCCGAGAAGAACATCCACATCTCGGGCGAGCGCACGGCCGCCCAGGAGGCCCGCGCGGAGGTCGAGCGGCTCGCGGCCGATCTGCAACGCCAGCTGACCCTGCGTCAGCTCGCCATCAACCGTGGCCAGCACCAGTTCATCCTGGGCGACAACGCGGATGCGCTGCACGAATTCCTGGCGGACACCGGCTGTTCCATCGTGCTCCCCCCGGCCTCCGACGAGAGTGAATTCCTCACCATCACCGGCCCCGTGAATCGCATCGAGGACGGCATCAACCGCGCCATGGACCTGGCGACCAGCATGCAGATGGCGAGCATCGACCTGTCGCGGCAGCACCCCAACGCCCCCAGTGGGCCCCACGCCCACGCGCGTGCGCTCACCCGCTATCTCACCCAGCGCCAGATCATCAAGGAGCTGGAGAAGATGTACGACTCCCGCATTGCCCTGCCGCCGAGCGTGGATGGCCCGGTCACGTGGGAGGTGTACTCGCGGGACGGCAAGAATACCATCCGCGCCCGCTCCGACATCATGAATCTCGTCCAGGCCCACCCGCCCTCCCGCCTCCGTCACCTGTCCGTCGATCCCTACTTCCACCCGTTCCTGCGCTCGCGGAGCATCTCGAAGCTGCGGTCCGACTACGGGGTCCACCTCCTGACCCCCGACGATGTGGAGAGCTCCGACGTCGTGCTGGTCTACGAAGGCCCCTCGGCCAACGCCTCCGGGTTGGAGGTGCCGCGGCAGCGACCCTCGCCGGCCGAGCTCGCCGCCTTCGAGGATGCACTCCGGCAGGCCAATGACTATCTCCAGAGCACCCTGGGCGACCAGAGCGACGTGGTGGCCCGGACCGTCGCCATCCCCGGCAAGTACCAGGAGAAGGCGCGCAAATTCATTCTCCGGGAGCAGCAGGCCAAGGGCGAGGACCAGATCCCCGTCCGTGCGCTCGTGGGTGAGGTGCAGGGCCGTAACGGCGTCTGCGAGGTCGCGCTGCGCGGTCCCTCCGGCCTGGTCAATGATCTGGTGTCGAAGCTGGAGGCCTTCGTCGTGGAGCAGGAACGCGATGACCTGGAGCGTGGGTACACGACGACCTTTGACTTCCCGCAAAAGTACGCCAACTTCCTCATCGGCCGTCGCGGCGAGAACATCAACAAGCTGCGCGACGAGTTCGACGTGGACATCAAGGTCGAAAACGGCAAGGTCGAAGTCAAGGGCCCCAAGGCCAAGGCCGACGCCGCCCGCATGCGCATCATTAACATGGGCAAGAAGCTCGAAGACGAGACCACCCACGTCCTGAAGGTGCCGGCGCAGTATCACCGCGAGCTGATCGGCCAGAAGGGCAGCCAGGTCAACCGGCTGCAGGACCGCTATGCGGTCCGCGTACAGTTCCCGCGGGCTACCGGTGCCACCGACGACGTGGCCGAGAACTCCAGCGACGCCGGCGCCGCTCGCCCGGGTCGGTCGCAGGGTGTGGACGAGGTGGTGGTCAAGGGCCCTAGCAAGGGTGCGGATTCCGCCCGGGATGAGATCCTCAGTCTCCTGCAGTGGGTCATCGAGCATTCATTCTCCGCGACCGTATCGGTGGCGCAGTCTCAGGTCCCCTCCTTGATCGGTCAGCGGGGTCGCGAGATGGACAAGCTCCGCGCGGACACGGGCGCGCAGATCGACGTCCCGGGCGTTAATGATGACGCGACGGACGCCTCGGGCCGTGTGCAGATCAAAATCAGGGGTACCAAACCCCAGGTCGCTGAGGCGAAAAAGATCCTGGAGCAACGGTCCCGAGAGTTTGATGCTATTGTTACTAAGACGCTTGATGTGGATAAGAAGTTCCACAAGTCTCTGATCGGTGGTGGTGGTACGTTCGCTCTCTCTCTTTGTCTCTCACACCCATTCCTTGAACTGGACTAATGAAAACAGGTGCCAACATCCGCAAGATCATCGCCGATGCCGGCGGTCCCACCGATGGCAGTGCCTCGCGCATGGTCAAATTCCCCCGTCCTGAGAGCAGCGAGTCGACGATCAAGCTGGAAGGAAACGGCCAGATCGTGGATAAGATCGTCGCCGCCGTGGAAGAGTTCGTCAAGGAGCGCCAGGATCAGGTGACGGAGACCGTCGATGTGCCTCAGCTGCAACACCGCCTGCTCATCGGCCGTGGCGGCGAGACACGTCGCGGCATCGAGTCCCAGTTCAACGTCACCCTGGACATTCCCAAGATCGGCTCCGGCCGTCCCGACATCAAGCTCAAGGGACCCAGCAAGGGCGTGGCCGAAGCCAAGGAGCACATCCTCTCCCTGCTGAAGGACCAGCAGGGCGAGCAGGTGGACGTTCCGCGTCACCTGCACCACGCGGTCTCCGACAACGGGGCCTTCTTCCGCCGCCTCCGCAACGACTACCAAGTCACAGTGGACCACGCCGGACAGCCCATCCCCGCGAAGCCCGAATCCGAGGATTCGCGCGGCGCCGCCAACGGATCGTCATCTCTGCCCCTAATCACCGACGACCCCAACGCCAGCGCAGACGCCCACTCCTGGAAGGTCGTCGACCACAGCGCCCCCGCAGGCGAGTCCGGCACCATCCCGTGGGTGCTGGCCGGCAGCGGCGACAACGTCACCAAGGCCAAGGCAGCTCTGCAAAAGGCCCTGGCAGCCGCCTCGCAGCAGTCCGCAACGGGGTACCTCATCCTGCCGGACCCCCGGACCTACCGCTTCGTGGTCGGCCAAGGCGGCAGCCAGATCAACGCTATCCGCAAGCAGACAGGCTGCCGGATCAACGTGCCCAAGAACCAGGCCGGCGGCGAGGCCATCGAGGTGAAGGGCAGCAAGGACGGTCTCGAGGAAGCGAAGGATATGATTCTGGAGGCGGTTCGTGCGGGCCAGGAGGGATCTCGCTAATTTCATCTACTCCATTCTTGTCTTGAATATTTAAAAAATTTCTTTCCTTTTTTTTTACTATTGTTTATTTTTCTTGCATAATTTGAGCCGTTGAGCCGTTGAGCTTTTGAGCTTTTGAGCCTATTGGCGATGAGCCTATCTATCTACCTATCTATATGAAGACGAAAATGAAAACAGACAAACGACAACGAGAATATCCCAATTTTGACTTTTCTTTCTCACTCTTCTTTGATATACTGTTTTAAAAATATTTTGTGTTTGAAATGAGTGTGTTATGTACATGAGTGATTCTATTTATTTATTCTACCCTGCTCCGAAGCCTTCAGGTAGATTCCGACATGGACCGTAACGGCACTACTTGGGGTCGAGAGAATCAGCAGAGACTACCAGTTCAACACTGCGGTAGACCAGTGAGTATTATCAGTCAAAGTCCGTGATATATAGGGTTTCCATGCAAATTTTGTCTTTGGGAGTGCGTGGTTTACACTATTAGTTACTCTAGCTAAAATTAAATTGCAAGCTTTTTTTTTTTCAGTGAATCAAGATATCATTCAGATGGCATATCTAGATCCAATCTGGAGGCTTCATATAGCTAGACGAATAGGCACTGCGAAAGATGATTACTTCGATGAGGATGCTGCACCTGTCCATAGGTCTCCGTATTCGGATTTCAGTTGGATAGCATCCAGCCATACACACAAATCGACTACCCAGACTTGACTGGGATAGAAGTCAACATGAATCCGACAAGAAAGCCAGGAGTCAACAGAGAAGCTCAGCTGGTCAAGGTTTGGCCGGTCAAAATCAAGTCATGAGGGAGCGCAAGCCCTCTGTCCGTACTCTTCGAAGAAGGATCATCCGCCTTGAAGACGTGCTTGCCCGGATAGAGCAAGTTCGTCGTCAAGAAATAGTCGAGCGTCTTCATCTCTAGCTTCACATCAGGGCTGGGGACCTGCAGTTTCTTATACGGCTCTGGAAGCTCGGTGCCGAAGCCGAAAAGCGCTTCCCACCAGGGGTGGTCTTCCTTGGGTACCTCGATCTTCCAGCTGTCATCGCCGACCCAGTCGAAACCGAGCAAATTAGGATGGTCAGGATTGCTCTTGTCTTTCCACGAGCCTTTGGCGGTCCAGGAAAACTCGAGGTTGGTCTTGCCTCTGGTCGGGGCTCCGTGCCCGTCCGATATGAGATTCTCAAACCGATTGACTCGCTGCTTGTCACTGGTGTATTTGACTTCGTTTGATTTGGTGTTGATGGCACCGTCGAACGTGATTTTGGTTTTGGGTTGGGAGGGGCTGAATTGCATGGCTTCCACATCCACGATCTTTCTGCCCAAGCCCCCCATTAGCTCTTCGTCCTTGTGCATTGCCGGAATTTTAACGTCGCTGGCTTTCATGGCTCCAGCGAGGATAAATCCACCTGCAAACCAGACAATTCAAAGTCAGTCTTTACGCACCCCCGATGCGTGGTTGGACGGTAGCTTACCCGTCTGAGGAGGCGTCCTGTCTTCTATGCCATCGAACCCGTTGGGTAGACTGGGCTGGGGTGCAGTTAGTAGTGTTGGCATGGAGGTAAGAACGGGATTCGGTGATAGGAAGCCCTACCAGGATGAATTTTGTTATAAGCAAATCACCTTGGATGATGATGCTGCAGGTGGATCCGCGGGGAATCGGACACAGCCCATTGGCATTGAACAGACTCCACGGGTTATCCCCCAAGGAAGCAGCCTTTCGGTCTGCGTCCTGCGCGACCTTGATCTGCATACACAACACGGATGTGTCGTCATTCGTCTTGCCCGAATATGTGGCAAAGGAAAAGGAGTGAGGCCGTAAGACATGGGATCCAGCTTCTGATTGGTACTGGTTAGACACGCCAGCGACATAATATTTGAGCTCGGCATTATCCTGGAAATACTCCTGCAGACCGGCCTTCAACATGGCGAGCCCCGTCGTTTTCTGCCCCGTGGTGGATACGATATCGAGCGAGGCCTTCTCGAACGTAATGCAGACGCCCTGGGCCACGTCCTTCTCGGCCGGGTTGAGGGTGACCGTGCGATTGACCGGCGTGATCTTGACACCTGGCTGCGCAAAGCCACTCTCCACGGTACCCGTGACGTTGGTGAGGGTGGTTTTGAAGCTGAGTTCGAGATCCTTGGGCAGATCTTTCGTCCGCTTTGTATCCACATCTTCGAAATGTCCTTCCTTGACGCCGAAGGTGAGGATGATGTTTCCGTGGTCGTCCTGGAACTGAAGCCGAGGATGGTCGAGCTTCATGCTCAGGGAAAGGGTGAACGGGTCCCCGAACGGCCATTCGCCGGTTATCGTCAGCGGTCCAATGTCCAGGATTGAAGCCAGGTCTCGGGAGCGTGCTTCGAGCAGTTGATTGATTTTATCCTCGGAGTACGACACCAGAACGTCGTATCCATTGGTTGTGCGTTGGCCCTTCATCTTCTCCACGAGCGGTGGGAAATCCAGTTGGGAAACCATTTTGCAACGACGCTTTCCGATATGAACTAGATTAAAACAGAACAGAGACGGTAAAATGAGAAGAAAGGGAGGGGGGGGAGAAAGGCGGGCGAGAGAATGGATGCTGGGTATTTCTTCCTATGGAGAATCAAAGCATGATATAAAGGGCCATGTCAGTCCTGCAGTTCGCTTGTCTTCTGTGAATGACCGGTACAAGATGAATGACGTGGCTTTTGGCAGACGTGTCAAAGCTGCATCATGTTGGTCATGCAGTCAACTACTCCGTCCTGTATGGATGGAAGGCTCGGGATCTCGATGCTGCAGCAATGCAGCAGATTCTGGCCTGCAGTATGTGTATGACGTGTTATTAATTCTCTGCACAGCGGCGGGGACCAGATGTAATCTGTCACATCAACATTCCTGAGTTGCTTTCAGCTTAAAAACGGAAGATATCCCGGTCAGTCAAAGTGTCTGGGTTCAAGGTCCTGGAAAGATCTCGTCAAATCGGGATTCCTCGTGCTCATTACCCAAGTCGGCATCTGCACTTGCATTTCCATCCACCATGGCGTCTGTCCTACCGAATAACAGCTATGCCTACTACAGTACTGAACAGGCTACGATTATCCTGAGTACGGAGAAGTACACTATCGATGACAAGTTCAACTTCCCCACGGATGTTTGTTTGGTCTACGCGGAGGAACTCGAGATCGCCTCCAGCATCACCGCTCGCGGCAAGAAGATCGGCCTGTTTTGCCGTGAACTGACAATCCCGAATGCTGTCACTGTCGATGTCTCCGGCGACAAAGGCACGGCGGGCGTCAGCCATGTCGAGCAAGATGGCGGGCCGGGAGGAAATGGTAAAGATGCCGGGAATGTGTGGATCTGCGCTCGGTTCCTTCCTGGAAAAGATCCTTTCCACAATCTGACGATCGAGGCGTATGGGGGGCCCGGTGGTGTCGGCGGCGACAGCACTATCTCTGCAAAACAGGATGAAGACAAGCCAAAAGAGACCAAGGGCGGGGATGGCGGTAACGGTGGAAATGGAGGTAGGCTGACGTCACTATGCTCTATTCCCCCGGGGTCTACATAATGACATGGTCTAGGTGACATTGAACTGTTGTTTGGAACAGCAGTGATGGATGCTGCGTTTGCTCTGCGGAAGATTCACGGGCGATCGTGGCCAGAGCAGGTTGTATGTCTGACAGAGCCGGTGCTATCAGAGAGTCTTCCGGGCTATCTCTCAGCAGGGGATAAAGAGGTCCTTCGACGACTGAAGGACCTCGGTGACGTCCTCCAAATTCTCGCCAGCCAGCTTGAGGTCTTGTCTAAAGCAGATTTCAACAAGGAGATTCAAGACGCTGCTTCGTCTCTCATGCGGGAGGTGCACGCCAACCTTGCGACAACGGACCAGGCACCAGCAGATGTCACTACTGAAATAGTCACTCTCATCCAAGAAACCCTGGCATCAGTTCGCTCGATCAGCCAAGAGACGTTAAGCCACGATGCGACTCGAATCTTCGAGGCCGCTCGAAAGTCCATCAGAGCTGCCGCCCCTGAAAAGAAGTCTCCGCTGGTCCCTCTCATTGATAGCCTGGAAGAGACTCTTCAAGCAAGCATAGTGGACATGGAGCTCACGGCCTACGACTTCACAAAGAATAACTCTCGAGGTGGGTGTCTCAACAGCCGAGCGTGTCCTTTAGCTAACAGAAACAGGTGCTGGGGGGTTTAGTGGTTTCGGCACCGAAAAAGGTGGCTTCAGATCCCAAAACGGTGCCAACGGCAAAGCGGGATCGAACAGCGGCCGGAGCCGTGCCAAACTGCTGTCTTTCTCAGGCATCAAGAAGGATCTGGCCGTTTTTCAAGCCTACGTATTCCCCGAGCAATGCCAGATGCTGCTGAACAAAGCGGACGACTTCTTCTTCAGCAGCAATACCGACGACTGGAAAAGAGCATACGCACTCTATAACATTTTGGCTGACCGTCTCCAAGTGCTCAATGCATTCCAGGGCGAGCGCTCTGGCTTGTTGGATGCCCTGGAAGGCCTGGAAACCAAGCTCAATGTGACGAGCAACCCCGTCCTGCAACTCAAGTCCGTCTATGAGCAAGCTATCAGTCGTCGCAATCGGTTGCTGCTGGGTCAAGATATGTTCGGGCACGTCGACAGCTGGGTACCTCGTCTGTCGTTCGGTTTCTATGCCCAGTCCGTTGAGGAACGGTTCCTGGTCCTCAAGTCGACGGAGGACCTGACGGCAGCCTACGAAGACGCCGTGCAGAAAGACAACGACGTTCGTGGCCTCGTTGACCAGGGCATCAGCAAAATGGCCGATGCCCAGAAGGAAGCCGAGGCCAAGATCGATCTTCTCACCTCCCCTAACGGCCCCCTCGTCAGTGGTGTCGGTAAGATCGCCTTTCTGACCAAGGATGTCAGACTGAAGCGCCAGTTGCTTAGTGACAAACTGAGCAAGATTCGTTTCCTTCGTCCTTTCGACTGGGGTATGCTCCTCAAAGGCGTGGGTGCCCTTGTCTCGGTGGTCCGTGACCCTGCATCTATTGTCGATGGGCTCAAAACGGGCTATGATATATACCAAGAAGCAAGTGGCGAGCTAGTAAAAAATGCACAGGGCAACGGGGTGAAGAAAGAGTATATCATCGACCAGCTGGAACATTGTGGTGACACCCTCGACTCGCTGGAAAAGGCCCTCAAAACCAAGAAAAACAACGAGATCGACATGGACGATCCGGGGGCGTTGAAGATCCTCAGCACAGCGGATGATATCCGCAAGATTCTTCGCGAGTTCAAAAACGCAGTGGTGCCGTCGGACCTGAAAAGTGTAGAAAGCGCCTTGGATAGTTTCGTTGATGTGACCCTAGGTCGCAACAGCGCCATTCTGGACTACAACGCCTCCATCCAGCTCTTATTCGAAGCGATCAACAATCGAGAATATAGCAAGAGCCAAGGCGAAACCCTGGGTCAGAAGAGAAACTCCCTCAATCCGAAATCGCCGGCCATTCTATTCTGGCTCCGCAAGACGCGCGATACCATGCGACTGGAGCTCATGCAGCGTCTGAACTACGAGAGCCGTGCGATCAGGTTCTGGGGACTGCAAAAGCAGCTTGACTTTTCCCGCCCGGGGCCCCTCAACTCCGTCACTCAGTTACAAGTCAGCCAGTTGAACTTGAAGAAGGCCTTTGAGAACTGTCTCCAAGGTTATGCAAACAACATTCGCGTCACGTGGCCCCGCCATGAGAGCGACAAGGGCCTGATATATGCGCTGAGCAAGGAGGAGTTGGAGGCCTTCAAGCGCCGAGAGGTCCTCGTCACGTCCAAGGGCGACGATGGGGTCTATACTACGTCGGTTCGGCTGGAGCCCGGTGCCCCCCCGTTTGGCTCTGGCCGTGCAGATGTCCGGATCAACCAGGTCCGCCTGTGGCTGCTGGGGGTCCAGGTGAATCCCGACAGTGCGCATCGCAAGCGACTGCTGGTGAAAATCAGCCATGTGGGAAATGAAACGCTGGAAAACACGGAGCGAGAACGGTTCGAGTTCGCCCACGATGCTGTCAACATTCAGTTTGAATACGACACCGCCAAAGTCCAGGGGGTCGATGATTTTAGCTCCAAGTTCGTCTTTGGCAAGCAGGGGTTGGAGGATAACTGGAGTGGCGGTGACAGCAGGCCGACTGCATCGACAATTGCTGCGGCGGGGCCCTTTACTGAGTGGCGCTTCGCTATTCGCGAGTCGGAGAACCTGGGTTTGGATATGGGGTCGGTGACCGCTGCGTATGTGGAGTTCCGGGGGGCAAACCGGCCATTTTCGGTGGATTACCATGCGCCGTAAGGACTGTATATCTTGTGGTATCTAGAAGGTAATCGAAGTCTTCGAGGTTGCATCAGACCAAGGACATACTGTTGAGGATACCAGAACAACACAATTCAACGGACGTTTGGCCAATTGCATATACAAGTCTAGTACACGTGGAAGCGCCAGCCCTAACTAACCCATTATAAGAAAATCATCGATTATCATGGGTCTGCCTCGCTGCAAGCTTGACAATCACAATTACAATGTCTTACTCTTGGCCAATTCAGCCTGACACGAGCAGGCATGAGCATTCCCATGTCCAGTACAAGTACTCCGTAGGATCGTATAACCGAGTTATCCGTGCTAACAACCTGAACGGCTTTCCACGTCTGGTCACTCCGTCTCCAGCCCTCCAAAGTGACCGGCCCGGGGTCTTCTCAAGTGACTATGAACCAATAAACCTTGGCCATTCCATTGGCCAGTGGAGCTGCATGTCTCTTGGCCAGATCGAAGGATCCATCCCCTTGAGCTGACGACCTATACAACACGAGCATGCGACTATGACTAAAGGGATGGATCTCTCATGTCAGCACTACAAAGCGCCTCCCCACTCCACACCAACCTTGTCTGGTCCTCCGTTCTGTGACGTGGGTGCGTTGTTGAATGCTGGCATGATGTTTTTTATCCCGTCGTTTAACTTTGGCCTCTTCTGATCGGCGTTGTGTGTATAGACTTCTAGTAGACACAGCCCACTGTCTCAACCGCATTTGGCAAATGGTCTTGGTCCGTTTGTAGATGGGAGGCAGAAGAAGAGGCAGAAGAAGAGGCAGACGGTCGACAATGATGAGGTCGATTTGGTGACGATGTTCAACATATAAAAGGCGACAAGTATCCCGCCGACAGATTCTTCTCCATCATCATCATCATCATCATCATCCTCTCCCATCCGATCAATTGACCTCATAACCCTTGAGTTGAGAGCTCCTTCCCATTCTGCCTGGCCTCGCTTTATATACGACACTTCGGTATGCATGCACACGCCACAGCGATCCATACCCCAATTACTCACTAACTCAGTCCAGTACAACCCAACCGAGAATGCACATCTCCAAGGTCCTCCTCGCCCTCGCCGTCAACGCGAGCCTCGGGTCAGCCTGCACCTTTGGCTTCTCAGGCAGCCGTAATTTCAACACCGGCGACTTGAGCGGCGGTCTCTCCTGTAGGATTAAGATCCTGAGGTCCGACGAGAATAAAGAATCCAAAGAAGACAAAGTCGACCTGCATGAGAATATCGACTGTGGGAAGGGATGCAAGACAGTGAAGTATTACGGCGAGGAGTATGAGTTTTGCCATAATGGAGTGGGCGGCGACGTCGGGAGTATGGCGGACGGCGCCACTGTCCAGAGAAAAGGGGGTGGTAACAAAGTCAACATCATCCCCGACGGAGAAGACAAAAAAGACCGTCGTCAGGACCCATTCTCCTCTACGCTTTCCCATTACTATTGGAGAAGCAACATCCGCTGTTAACTAGGACGGGCTGGATTGGCGCGTCGATGGATGAACCCGGGTTGTTTGGTCGCTTGTTCTTGGTATACATGCTGTATTTCCTGTCTTTCTGTCATTTTCAACAAATGAATTGATATTCTGTGCTTCACGGCCATGTTCCGCTGTTTTCGATCCCCATCCAATCCAAAGCATGTACCTCAGTGGAGAAAGCAGTGAACCCCGCGAGCCCAGTCATGAGTATCCAAGTCTGAGTATCCACATTCCTATTTAAGTAAGCAGGTCATCCACAAGTCTTCACAATAGACCAACTAGTTCCACAACAGGCTTATGGTATTTCTCTTCCTTCCTCCAACCATGCCATGGGCCTGAGTCAGGCACGAAGCCCTAGCTCCTTAGCCTCGTAAACATGATTCAGTACACGGTTTCCCCCGTGAGGACTGATGAAACAGTTACCTGTGTATACATCCCTGCTACTATAGCGACTTGGCGAAGAGGGGAATCCTTGGCGGTGCAATCTATCACAAATCTAACAAAGAATAGCGGTGGGAGGTACCACGGCGGTCTAGATGATCAATCTTGTGTCTCTAGGTTGACCGAAGAAGGGGTGGGATTGAGATAGATAGATCATGGACGGGAGATCTCCATCTTGAAGGCCTCCTCTCATCTGCAGGGATACTCACGCCTCTTTCCGAGATACGTTATCTGATAGATCCCTCCACTCTCAGCCCTTGCATGAGCCTTACTTTCCAACCACGGAGTGCGGCGTGGTTGGGTGAGGCAAGTTGATCTGTGAGGGATCGGAAAAGCGGTGGGCTAGAGGTAACTAACTATATCTTAGCCGCTACGCCACAACGTTGACTGTTGACCAGCGTTTGGTAGAGGGCTTAACCTCTGATATCCCCAACGGTATATAATTCGCAGTATCTCGCTCTTCTTCCTAGTGTGCAGGTTAAGACGGTTCCGTCCGGCGTCGTCATCATGGTTAACGAATCAGGATGTTGTGATTGTCAGGGGATGCAGCGCTCATTATTGAACGAGGCGGCCATGGTATCTAGTCTAAAAGAGCTAGTCCATCCGCGGACATCGTCCCCAGTGGTGTTAGATGGACAGTCTCTCGACGTGAGTGCCGTCGTCGCTGTTGCGAGGTATACCTTGTCTTTGTCGTGACCTCCTAGATAGTATTATGGCAACTAACAAAATACCACAGACACGACTGCACAGCAACAATAACAGCCAACCCCACAGTCCACCAATCCATACAAGCCAGCGTCAACCAACTAAACACCCGCCTAGCAAATGGCGCCACAGTCTACGGCGTCAACACCGGCTTCGGCGGCAGCGCAGACACCCGCACTGCTGACCACCGCGCCTTACAGAAGGCACTAATCCAGCACCATAATGCGGCGGTCGTCCTACCCCATGATGATGGCCTGAACGGCTACAGCCACAACCACCGCATGCCCGTACCTATTGTGCGGGCTGCAATGCTAACAAGGTGTAACTCGCTGCTCCGGGGGCATTCAGCCGTGCGTCTTGAGGTCGTCGAGGCTATACTTACTTTCCTTCGGAATTCAATGACGCCTGTCGTTCCGCTGCGAGGGAGTATTTCTGCCTCCGGGGACCTGACTCCGCTGGCGTATATCGCGGGTGCGCTGGAGGGGAACCCCGATATTGCTGTTTACTGTGGGAAAGACGCGCGGGTGATCCCGGCCGATGAGGCGCTGCGCGAGCTCGGTCTGCAGCCGCTGGATTTTGGGCCGAAGGAGGGACTGGGACTGTTGAATGGGACGGCCTTTAGTGGCGGTGCGGCCAGCTTGGTGGTGTTTGACGCTACGCGTCTGCTATCGCTGTCGCAGATGATGACTGCTATGGCTACGGAGGCGCTGGGCGGCATGGCGTCTAACTACCATCCGTTCATCTCGCTAGCAAGACCCCATCAAGGCCAGGCGGAGGCCGCGGCGAACATATTCCGGTTCCTGGCCGACTCGCGCCTCGCGACTGTTTCCACAGGGCCCGAACACACTGGGCTAGCTCAAGACCGGTACGCCCTGCGGACTTCTCCCCAGTGGATCGGGCCCCAGATAGAGTCCATGGCGCTAGCGCTCCGGCAGGTCCGCGCAGAGCTCAACTCCACGACGGACAACCCGCTCGTTGACCCCGAGAACGGCACTGTACACCACGGGGGCAATTTCCAAGCTGCGTCGATTACATCGGCGATGGAGAAGACGACGAGCGCGGTGCAGATGATCGGGAGGATGATCTTCGCGCAGTGCTCGGAGCTGATCAACCCTGTGTTGAGCAACGGGCTGCCGCCGAACCTGAGCGTGGATGACCCGAGTTTGTCGTTTGCGTTCAAGGGCGTCGATATCAATATGGCGTCGTATGTCTCTGAGCTGGGGTACTTGAACCACCCCGTTAGCAACCACGTTCAGTCGGCTGAGATGCATAACCAGGGACTGAACTCGCTTGCCTTGATTGGATGTCGATACGCCGCTGAGGCTGTCGACGTGCTGTCGCTCATGACAGCAACGTATCTGTATGTGCTGTGCCAGGCGCTGGACCTCCGTGCGTTGCACGCAGAGTTCGTCCGCGACGTCCGCGGCAAGATTGATTCCGTAACGAGTGAGCTCTGCCATCTGGACAGCTCCCAGCGCCTGAGGGATGAATTGCTCGACCACTGGCGCCGGCACAGCACCAGCGATTTGGAAGACCGCGCGGTTCAGACGGCGAATAGCTCTGTGGGAGTGTTCCTGGATCTAATGACTGCTGACAGCAGCGGTATCGCTGGGGACGAGGTGGCTCGAGAATGGAAGACGCGAGTAGCGAGAACTCTGGCTGATAGTTATACCGCCACGCGGACTGGATTCCTTGAGAATCCTACGACGAAGAACTATCTGTGCAGTGCGTCGCGGAGTCTTTACGGCATTGTCCGGGGTGAGCTCGATGTGCCGCTGCATCGCGGCCTTGAAGACCACCCTGCCTATGATAGGGCGCACATGGAGGGAAAGAAATGTATCGGGTCGCGTATCACCACCATTTATACTGCCGTCCGAGATGGGCGTTTTGATGATGTATTGGCCACATTCTTTTGAGATGGCTGGATGGGGACTTTTTCTTTCTTTTATTTTCTTCAGCAACCCGTTATAGCGTCTAGGCTTCTCGGTCAATATGAAATCATACCAATTATATCATCCTGAAGATTTCAATGCCGGACCACAGTTGAGCTGTAGAATACTGGCTGGGAAGTGCGAAAGTCCCGGATTAGTAGGTTAGCAAGACCTATGTTTAACCAATGTTTAGAGCCAGTGGGTTAAATACGAATGTCGCATACTCCTTACAGGAAATCATAGTAAAAAAAAGATTCAAGATGGGTCTGTCTTTCATGGTCTAAGCATGGGCTGATGGGTCCAAAAATTATATAAACGAAATAAAGAAAAGAAAACGACCCGGGAAATTACAAAACACGTGGTAGGTAGTAGTGGTGGTAGTCGAAACACGAAAAGAACAAGAAAACGGTCTGGTACTGGGATATCGATAACGATCAATCAGCCAATCAATCAACCCATCCATCAATAATCAATAATCAATCAGTCGGCCCTTCACAACCCAGTCGTCTATCGGTCGGGAGGTTTGTAGGCAAAAATCGGATGCTCTCGTCAGTGTCATTTGATTGTCTTCTTCCCCCCTTATTTTTTTGTTGAAAAATCTTTCTTGCAGAGGATCCACGCTTACTGCGCGGCGACCTGCTGCTGCTGGATGTAGTTGTAGGCGACGTAGCTGATGACACCGCCGATCAGGAAGAAGGCGTACAGACCGACGCCGATGCCGGCGGTTCCGGAGCCGGAGGAGGCAGAGGGAGCGGGGGCGTGCGCGCGGGGCTCGGGGTCACCGGGCTAGAGAGGTTAGTTTAATGCGACAGAGATAAGATAGAGACGGTGTTGGGAAAATCCATACCAAGCGCTTGACGTTACCGACGAACATGCCGTCGAGGATCTCACGGGCCTCGTCGCTGTGGCCAACATCCTCAAAGGCCTCGGTGGCATCCTGGCCAGCCACGTCGAGGAGGACTTCCTCACCACCGCTATTCGCAATGTCAGTTTGTTTCGTTTCCGGTTGTTTGTTTATTTATTTGTTGTCTGTTTGTTTGTTGACATTTTGGGGAGATGGTGTCAAACGTACGGGTGCTCGTCAACAAAGGCGGAGACGTCGTAAACCTTGTCGTGGACGGTCATGTAGAGATCCTTCTTGGTGTTGTGGCCGGCGATCTCGGCGAGGGTGAGTTCCTTGGTGTCAGACATGATGGATGTGATTTGGAGACTGGAGCGCGATGGTGTCAGCAGAGGTTGAGAGTGGTCAAAGTGAACAGGTAGAAGTAGCAGTGTAGAGGTGAGCAGGAACAAGTGATCAGCGAGGGGGGTTACACCAGGGACCGGTGAGGGTGAGTGTGCGGTGCAAGGGAAGAGAATTAGTCCGGGGGTGATCGGATGAAGTCGAGCAACTGGAAGTGGAATCCCCTGAGATTTCCAGACTCCTACAATGACCACGAACTTCCGATCGGGACTATCTGGTCTTGAGTGATGGTATGGAGGGGGTTTGAGGGAGCATGGGCAACTCCTGAGCGCGTGGAGGGCAATGCGAAAAGGACAACATGCGGGACGTACCGAATCAGGTGGACTGAGGGAGAGATAAGCGGTGAGACTGAGTGGGAGTCACAGAGGGGAGTGGACTAGAGGAAGGATATGAAGAGGAGAGAGAGATCTAAGGTGAAAAATAAGAGGGGTTTGTAAGAGAGAGAAAGGAAGAGGAAGAAGAAGAAGAAGAAGAAGGGAAGAGGAGAAGAAAGAGGAGAGAAACGGGCTAAAAGACTAGGGCGGGCCTCACCAATACTATAGAGAGAGAGACGTCTCGACCGTTGACCAGTCTACCACTCAACCAAATCTGTTCAGTGTTCTTCAAGATTAATTTTCCCTGCCGACAATCCCTTCCGAGACAGGAACTGGATCTTCCCCACGGTTAGACCTGGAGTCAAAATTCGGTATTTCTTTCTCAGAGAGAGAAGCAGAATCTCCATTCCATTTGGTGGATCGACGAATAAGAACCTGCTTATTCGGTCTGAGTCAGCTGTATAACAGCCAACTAATACTGCATAACTGACCATTACACCATTATTGATACATATACTATTATACTGTTATACTATGATACTGTTATACTACTATACTATATACTACTATACTATACTATATACTACTATACTATGAGTATACTACTATACCATATACTATTATACTATCCTTACTAAATACTATGATAGAGATAACCTCGGGGAAGTCCCTCTCCGCCCGTCGGATCGCTGCCTCGGGATTGTCCGAGCTTATCAGTAAGACAATCCCATGATTCCCATCAGAGACGATTATATAATACTGCACTATTAGTTGTTCATTAATATTCATTATCTAATTTGATTACTAACTTTGTGCTCATGAAATCATGAAATAATGTCGATACTCACCGCCTATTTATTCTGCCTGACTTATTCAAGCGGTGAGTGATGTACCTCCTCAGGCATCTCCACCAATCCCCATCCAACCACTTCAAACGCTCATCGATGGATCTGCCTGGAGCCTCCATCAGCCTCATCTTCCTCCCATTCCCCTCTTCGCTGTCATTTTCCTGATCAGACAGTTTCATCGCTCTACTAATCCAATCCCGATAACCCTCTAATCACATCGTCGGATCTATCTCACGCCCCATCCGCTACTCCAGTCCTCCCGCTGAACACTCAATACCCAACGTCATAACCTCCGACTCCCTCCTCTCCTTCTACTCCCCACCCCCCTCCTCCCATCCCCCTCCCCCCCATTCCCCCATTTCCCCATCCTACTGTCGCCGTCATCATGGCGGGCTGGTTCTCCTCCACCTCCCCGCTCGACGAGCAAGTCGAACGGGCCACTGCCTCTTCCCTGTACGGTTTGATCCCCTCTTGCACGGTCCCCTCGTGATAACCATGACACGCGACTGATAAGAGTCGTACCAGGGAGGATATCGCCCTGAACCTAGAGATCTCCGATATGATCCGATCCAAGAGCGTCCAGCCCAAAGAGGCCATGAGGTCGCTGAAACGCCGATTGGAGAATCGAAACCCCAACATCCAACTAGCCACGTTGAAGGTGCGTCGATCCAACATCCAGCTCGTCACGATCTTCGAAGCTGACCACATCCAACCGTATAGCTGACAGATACATGCGTGAAAAACGGCGGAACCCACTTCTTGGCCGAGATCGCCTCCCGCGAGTTCATGGACAACCTCGTCTCCCTGCTCAAGGCGGAAGGCGCCCTGCTCAACGCCAATGTAAAGGACAAGATGCTGGAACTGATCCAGGATTGGGCCATGGCCGCCCAAGGTCGCATGGACTTGAGCTATCTGGGGGAGACCTATCGCCGACTGCAAGACGAGGGCTTTCGATTCCCCCCGCGGACGCAGATCAGCGGCAGCATGCTGGAAAGCAGTGCGGTACGTTCCTCTCCTCCTTCCCCGTGGATCGCGCTGATCCTCTGTAATTGGTAGCCCCCCGAGTGGATTGATTCCGACGTGTGCATGCGATGCCGCACCGCCTTCAGCTTCATGAACCGCAAACACCACTGCCGCAACTGCGGTAACGTCTTCGACGCCCAGTGCTCCAGCAAGACCCTCCCGCTCCCTCACCTCGGGATCTTCCAGCCCGTCCGCGTCGACGACGGCTGCCACGCCAAGTTGACCGCGAAACCGTTCCCGCCGGCGGGTCTGTCGGACCGGTCCGCGTTCAAGAACCACTCCATCTCCAAGTCGAATGCCATGGAGCCCCGGACGGCCCGCGCCGACACCGGCTTCGACGACGACCTGCGTCGCGCCTTGCAGATGAGCCTGGAGGAGGCGGAAAACCGCGGCACCGGTGGCTACGTTCCGCAGGCTCAGGCTCCAGCCGCCCCGGAACCGAGTCGGATGAAGACGGCCGAGGAAGAGGACGCCGACCTGAAGGCCGCCATCGAGGCCTCCCTGCGCGACATGGAACAGCACAAGCAGCAACACGCCGCCGCCCTGAAGAACACGACCCCCGACTTCCCCGCCCACGAGACCCCGGGGGCCACCCCCATGCCCCGAAACCCGTACGAACTCAGCCCGGTCGAGGTGGAGAACATCCACCTGTTCTCCACCCTCGTCGAGCGACTGCAGCATCAACCCCCGGGGACCATCCTCCGTGAACCGCAGATCCAGGAACTATACGAGAGTATTGGCGCGCTGCGGCCGAAGCTGGCCCGGAGCTATGGCGAGACGATGAGCAAGCATGGTGCGTCCCCCCCCTCCCACCCCGGGACTTTCTCCATCTGCTTCCTCACCGGTCGACGTGACTAACAACGAACCAGATACGCTGCTCGATCTGCACGCCAAGTTATCGACGGTGGTGCGGTACTATGACCGCATGCTGGAAGAACGACTGTCCAGCGCCTATTCCCAGCACTCGCTGGGGTACGGGTCCGTCCCGGCCAATTCCCCGTACCCCAACGTCTACCCGTCCATGCCCCCACCCCCGCCCGCGCCGGAAGCCCGCACGGGAGCCGAGAGCTTCTACTACGGAACCGCGGGGGAGCAACCCCCCGCGGATACCAGTGGTCACCGAGGTGGTGCGATGAGCCCGGGCGCATACGCGCCCCCACCGGGACAGCCGATGCCGCCAAGCGCGCCCTGGACGGGTCGGCCCCCGTCAGTGGCATCCCCACCGGGTCCCAGTGCCGCCCCGGGCTACCCGGGACCGTCCGTCGGATACCCACCCCCCGCGCCGCAGGGATACACGTCTCCGACCGCAACCGACCCATCCGCCCAGGCCTACTACTCCCACCCCGGGGAGCCGGGCACTCCGTCTCACGCAGCGCCGGGGGTCCGGCGAGACTCCTACTACCAGTCGGCCGAGCCAAGCGCCCCGGAGCCGTCCGCGCCGGCCGCCGATGGATATCCCCCGCCCGCGGGGTCCGGGCATCAGCGTCAGCCGTCCTATTATTACCAGCAGCCCCCGCAGGGTATGCCCCAAGCCCCGACCCATGCGCCGGGAGTCCCTCCAGGATCGCATGCGGTCGGCGACGTGTCCCCGCTGGGGCCATCGGCCGCTCCGGTGCCGGGTGCGCAACCGGCGCCCGCACGGCCCGCCGTGGAAGAGAGTCTCATTGAGCTGTAGACGGAGAGCGGGGTGGCGTTTTGTTCGTGTCATCTGTTTCCGCACCCTTATGATACCAGTTTTCTTTGTTTGGAGTGGGAATGAAATTGTATGATTCATGTATCGATATATACGTAGTCTTCCAGAGAATAGGCGCTCCCGTCAGAAAGGAATTGATCTTGATCTTCCAACCCTCTGGTGTTTACAATGATAGGAAGTGCTATAATCCCACGCAATCCATGGCCGGATTGGGGGATCATGGGGATGATATAGAGGGTAAACACGTGACGGTACGGTACCGAACATACGAAACTTACGGGCTTCACTCCTCTCATTTCACTTCACCTTCTCATCTTCTCTTCTTCTCTCCAACTTCATCTTCATCTTTCCCTCCTCCATCTTCCTCTCTCTCACTCCTCCTTCTCTTCCTCTTCCTCTTCTCCTCCATCAATTGGGTCTTAGTCTCTCCAAGCCAACCGCTCCGGCCAATTGTCGGATCGTTGCTTTTTCCAGCTGCGGTGACACCCGACCTGCAGCTGCTCAGAATTGGCAACCCACTTCCCCCTCCCCCCAACCTCGTCAAACGGAAACAGGCAAACAGGGGAAGAGAATCATGCCGAACAGCACTGCCTCCCCCATGAAGCGTCCCGGCTTAGGGCGCCGCGCTATCTCCTCCCACGCCGTCGTCACCCGCTCTTCTTCCTCCATCGCTCCTCACGCCGATCTGTCCGGCTCGCACTCGTCCTCCTCCCAGAAACTCGCCCTGCGTCCTCACCATCACTATCCCCGAAACCATGTGGTCGGTGGCCATCGTCATCATAACCGGAATCCCTCCTTCGGCAAGAATCTAGCCAAACTTCAGCGCCATCTCTCCGCCCACCAGATCGCTCAAGAACCCCACACGGGCGCCCGGCAACATCAGCGCAAGAAGTCCGCCCCCGTCACCCCCGCCGCCAGTCCCCGCGCGCATAATAATAATCACCACGTCCGCTGGGAGGGCGTGTTGGATGATTCGCCTGATCCCGTTCACACCCCCATCAAGAAGAACAACTCCAGTCCCGTCTTGCGACGACGGCATTCCTCCCACGCGAAGGCGACCGTCGTTACCACCTCCGACCGCCCTCAGACCGACAAGAAGAAGTCCGTCGGCTTCGAATTGGGCGACGACTCCGATAACGAGGACGGCGAGTGGGAAGACACCACCCAGTCGCCGGAAAGCACCCGTCGCAGCTCCGTCGTAGCTCAGTCCAAGGACAGCGTCGAGAATAACCAACCCGTCATCGTCGACCCGCTCACCTTCGTCAAGCGGCCTGTCCCGCAGTTCGCCCGCGCCGCCAGCCTTCCTGAATCCGTCAACAAGAGCTTCGACCAGCGGACCCACGACGGTGAGCAGCCGACCCCGTCGCGCGAAGAACACGATCACGACGACGGCGACGACGACCACCACCACGGCGACGACGAAGCAGAGCACCCGCCGGACCACCCCGCCATCACCTCCCGTCTACTAACCCCCTCGCTCGCCGCCAAAGCTCCGCCCGCCATGTCGTCCATCTCCGCGACCGCCAAGCCGGCCGTCGTCGACGCCCTGGCGCGGAAAACATCAATGTCGACTCTCAACGCCGGCGCCGACGGCCGCCGGCCCACCTCGTCCTCCCATGCCACCACACCCGCCGGCCACGCCTCCGGTCCCACCCAGGCCACCTCCTCGTCCATTGAAGGCGGCGTGTCTCGCTTTATCATGGACGGCAAGGCCGTCGCCCCAGGCTCGTTCCGTACCGACTCCGAACCCAACACCCCGTCGTCTTTCCTCCCACATTACCACCCGCAGACGCCGCCTTCTCCCCACCAGAGCAGCTCGGCCGCCGCCCGGCGACGCGCGTCCCCGCCGCCCCGGTCGCGTGGCGTGGAGCCGCCATCGCGCACGCAGCAAAAGCTCTGGCTACAGCGGACGGCCACCCTCAACACCTCGCCCCCAGACAGCCACGGCACCTCTGCCACCGCATCCCCGGCCGCCCTCGATCCCAGCCACAGCCGGCCCGGCACCGCACCGTTCGAGGCAAGTCGGGGGATTGTCAACGGCGCGCCTCGCCCCGGCACGGGGTCCATCCCAGACAGCGAGGCGAAACACATCCGCAAGGCATACGAGAAGACAGCCATGGAGCTAACCGTGGTGCGGCGATTCCAGTCTCCGACAGCCGACAGCTTCCAGCGGCTCGCCGTCCTCCTCACCGACCTCCAACTGCCGCGGTCTCCTGCTTTGGGTCCATCAGTCCAGTCCGCCCCGACCCTACCGCAGGACGGGCAAGCGCCTCGGGGGCGTCCCGGCGCGCGACCAGAATCGCGTCAGTTTCTGGGTAAGCGGGCGAACGACGTCTCGCAGGCTTATCTGGACGAAGCCGCCAGTGACACGGCCCCGTTGCGCAAATCGACCTCCTTGCATCCATCGCACCGTCTGTCGACCTCCGCCGAGGGAGAACCCAGTATAGGACAGGACGAGGACGCGGAATCTTCTCTCCTCCCAAGCGAATCGGAGATGCTAATGCGACGAATGTGGGAGAGTCGCGAGGTAGCAACGTCTGGATAATTTTTCCTTTTTCCCCGTCCCCAACTCTCTTTACTGCTTAACTGTCCTTTTGCCTCCTCGTTTTCTTTCTTTCTTTCTTTTTTTTCTTCTATTCGCTCCATACGTGTGGCGCAGGCATAGTTGCATTTCTTAGCGTATGCGGGAGTTCAACGTTGAATAGGGTCCGAGGTTTGCATGTCACCATCACACCGGTCCGAGCTTGATTGATTTGTTTTGCTTTGCTATTTCGGTTGTTTCTGGTGGTAGGTGGGTGGGTGGATATTCCTCGGGTATAGTAATATGGAGTAGCTAAGGCTAATGTGAATACTTAATTTATCTAGTTCATTTCACTGTTTGGGTATAGGGATGTATATAGTAGTATTTATGTAGTGTATCGAGTATGGATGGTATGCTATAGATCGTGTATCAGACAGTACTTCATATAAAAATAGAAGGTAGTATAATATATATAGTATAATATATATAGTATAATAATATAAATATGATATAGTAATTTGACACAAGAAGACAATGCGCAAACCCAACCAAGACCAAAATATATATCACAATTCATACAAAGAGAAAGAAAGAGATGGGGCTATCGACCTCGTCCCCTGTGAGCGCCTCCTCGCCCTCTTTCTCCTCCTCCTCCACCACCGCGTGGGGCCGCACCACCTCCTCCGCTGCCACTCACGGGAACAGACTCCCTATGGTTAACATTTGCTTTCTTGGTTTGATGCTGGTGTTGTTGGCGGTGGTGAGGGGCGTGTTCTGTCCGCTGAGGAGGGGCTTTCTGTGTATGCACATTTGCAGTCGCGTTCGCACTGGCACTGGAATCCTTCTTCGGAAGACTGCTACTACCACCAGGAGCAGGGCCATCATGGCCATTCTTCTGTCTCGAGGGTAGATGCCTACCCCGACCCGCTGTGTTTGTGTTTGTGTTTGTGGCTGCATCTGCGCTTCCAGCAGCTTTCCCAGCTCCTCCTCCCCCACCAGCACCACCAGCACCACCGCGCCCTCTCTTGCGATTCGCGTTCTGTCCAGAGCCAGAGCTGGAGGCATTCCCCTGCGCCTGACCCTTCCTCCCACCCCTCCCATCATTCTTATGACTCTTATCCTTCTTTCCACCCTTCCCGATATCATCACCCGTCTGCTCCTCCTCCGGCTCCTCCTCATCGGGAAGTCCCTGGATACGCCTACTCTCCTTGTTCCACCACTCCTGGAACTGCTGCTCGAGCTGGATATCGTGGAGATTGTGCTTGGCGGTGGCTGCTTCGCGGATTTCGTCCTTTTCGGTTTGTTGTTGGAGGAGGATTGTTGAGAGGGAGGTTCGTTTGGATCTTTTGGCTGGTTTGGATTTTGAGGTGGATGTTGGGGTTGGGTTTGAGGTTGGGGGGTGGGTCGAGGCGGCGTTGTGCCGGATAGAGTGGGTTGGTTTTTGCTGGGTTTGTTGTTGAAGAGGTTGTTGGGTGGGAGGGTGAGTGGGAGTAAGATTGAGTTGAGATGATGGTAACGATGGCTGGGATGGAGGAGTCCGCTGCGCACCCCCAGCAACACCATCCCCCGATTTAACTGGCACAGACCCCATGGACTGCCCCTTCAACGGCGGCGTCCCCGCCACCGTCTGCCGCATCGTCATAGAAGGTTTCCTAGTCGGTTTACCCATTTCGGCTGGCGTAGGCTCTGATCCATTAACAGGAGCCACCACCTTGCTCGAAGCAGCAGCAGCAGCAGAAGAAGAAGAAGAAGTAGGAGGAGGAGGAGGAGGCACCCCCCAAGGATTAGCCCTCGCCTCCTTCGACCTCTCCTCCGCAGCGAGCATCTCCTGCATCTGCAGCATCTGCATCTTCTTGCGCTCTTTCTGCGACATTTTAGGCGCAGTAGCAGACTGACTGTTCTCGCGTTTGGCAGACATGCCCAGGCTGAGGTTCGATACCTGTCCCTGGGAGGAGGTCGCTTCCTGCATTATGTCCTTGAGGGGCTTCTTCGAGCCGGTTACCACGGAGGTTGCGGAGGAGGGGTTCGTCCATGGGACGGCCGAGTTGTTGATCCTGTTTTGGGCGCGGCTGTAGCTGGGGGATTCGGGCTCGTGGGAGGATGTCATCAGGTCGTCGAGGTAGCTTCTTCCACCGTGTGGTGAGTCGTCTGCGAGGCTGGATGCCAGAGCGGGCGAGTCGTAGTGTGCGTCTACACCTCTGGACCCACGGACGACGCTCTTCCCTTTCAGGCCATCCCCCGGGGACAGGAACTGGTCATCGTCCATCGCGAACATCAGTTCACCTGCAGACTGTCTCGGTCTCAGCGAGGGACTTTTCGAGGGCGTCGTGAAGACATCCTTCGTTTTGGTCCTCTGCGCCGACGAAGGCGTTTTGTCGCCGTTTGGCATGCGCTTCCCTTCGTTAGTGTTGTTAATCCGCGTCCGCAACTTCATGGAGTCTATCCTTTGCTGTCTGTCGCTCTCGATGAAAGAGACCAGCTCGGGATACATCTCGAGGATGTACTCGTCTGTATTACGTCCTCTGGAGACGGGAAAGCTGGAGAGTTGATTGTCGTGGCAGACTTGGTCTAGCGCGGTGAGGAGGTTCTCGTTGAGATCTTCCAGACCCCTGGACAGGATTAATATACATTTGATAATAGGGGGGGGGATAAGTACCTATTGGTGAGAAGCCCCTCCAGATTCAAACAGATGTACTCCAGCGCGGCGTCGCGGAATTCGGTAACGTAGCATGGCGCGATGGAGTTGAGGAGAGTGCAGACGTTGCGCGCGTTTACTGCATTACATCACATTAGTACCGCCATCACTCATCCCAAGTGTAGAGATGAACATACCAAACTGCCCAATCACCCTCTGACAAACCTGCGCCAATCGATCAATCATCAACTCATTCGCCACAAACGCGACCTCAAACACCAGGTCCATGAAACTGTCTAGATCTTTTGAGCGGACCTCATCGAAGAGCTGCTCGTCTGTATCGGCGTACAAGTACCGCAGTACGAAGTCAAACACGGGTCTATCGATATGCCGCAGGTCGACGCGGATGCTACTGTCCGACGAGTTTGAATTTTCCCGGCGGGAGAGAAGCCATCTACCACCAGAGCGGCCGTTAAATAGCACATCGAAGAAGAGACTTCTCTGGCAGATGACCTGGCTATGAACTCTGACTTCGTCGTGATTGAGCTCGATGACGACGTCGCCGCTTTCGAAGAAGGCGGGGTCTGTGAGTGCCAGCGCCATGTCGAATTTGAGTGACTTGTGGGGATCGATCATGAGGCGCGCGGCGCGCTCGATGGATGGGATGTTGAGATGTGTACCTAGACGCATTACTTCTGTGCGAACTTGGCGGTAGCGGAGTGCGCTTTCGGGTGTGTGCCGGGCGAGATGCCATACGTCAAATATGTTGTCTGTGTAGATGAAGAAGGCGAAGTTGAGGAGTGTGTAGATGTCGAGGTTGTGAAAGAGGACGCGTGTGCGGTTGTCTTGATCGTGCGAGATGGAGAGGATGTCTGGGAGGGTGTATGTGGTTGATTTGCGGAATGTGTGGAATGCTTTTCGTAGGACGGGGCTGCGGCCGGAGAGGACGAACTCGTGCACTGGGATCTGTACGTCTGATAGCGTGGTCGTTATGAGGACTACTCCCTGGGGTAGATTGATCGGCGGCGGTGGAAAGAAGGACTCGATGTCCGAGGCGGACATCACTGCCTGTTTGATGGCCAGGGTGGGCTCAACCAGCAGCGCATCCCCATCTCCAGCTTCTGAATCTCCGCTAGCCATAGAAGCAAAGACGCCGAACGGAGACAACGGCAGCAGATCCTTCCAGAGCGTACTCGGCCCAACCTCAATCTGCTCCCTCGTAACATCACAATCCCTTTGCGCAGCCGCAAACGCCCCAAACGAATTACTGCACACGCCCACAACCCTCGACAAGCCCGGCACACGAGCAAACTTGTACTCCTTCGCAACGCCATCCTTGCTCTTCCCCCGCTTTTCCTTCCGCCACGCCGACCCAGACGCCGTGCAGATGATGATTGAGCCGTCCTGGCCGACGTCGACATCCTTAACAGCCATGTGGGCCTTCTTGAGCGCCCACACGCGCGCAGGCGGCGCGACGGCGTTGCGGATTTTCGACGGGTTGGTGGTGGAGGTTGCGGACGGGGTGTCGGTTTTGGTGTTCACCTGCACGGTAAAGACCTCGCCGAAGCTAGAGAGGGCGCAGATGGTGTTGCCGCCGGAGCGGATCTTGATGATTCTGTTGACGGCGGTGTCGTAGCGGGTGGTCATGAAGCTGTCGCGGATGAATTTCGAGCTGATGTCTAGGGGGAAAGATAGTTTGAGGTAGCCGTATTGCGCGAAGACCCACACTTCGTGGTTGTGGAGGAGGATGGCGGTGGCTTGGTCGATGGCGGATACGGTGTGGATTGGAGCGTTGAAGAGGGAGGCTCCGACGCGTCGGGGGGTTGTTTGCGCCTCGAGGGACCGCGCGTCGGAGTCAACTAGGCCGAGCTGGCCTTCGTTTTTGCCGAATGTGTAGAGGCCTGCGTGGCTGAAGACGACTGAGTGGATGGCTGACGCCGCGGCGCCGAGGATCATCTCTTTCTTGAAGGGGTTGAAGATCTGGCGGGGGGTGGTCTGGATGGGCACGTCGTCTCGGTTGGTGGCTCGTGGTAGGCTGTAGCCTAGTTGGCCGTACTTGTTGCTACCCCAGCTGAAGATCTCGCCTTGCTCGGAGATGGCGAGCGTGTGGTCCTGGCCGAGAGCCACGGAGACGACCTTTCGGTTTGCGAGGCCTCCGCCCTCGATGCAGACGAAGCTGAATCGCGTGGACTCGTCGCCTGTGCCTAGCCGACCTCCCGGGCCAAATCCGCATGTAAAGAGGTTGGCTTCCGGGTCGGTCGTCAGAATGGCTGTGTGCAGCTTGGACATGACGATGTCCTGGTATTTCATCGGCTTGTTCCTGATCAGCGCGGGGAGATCTTCCGCGTCATCAGAGCCCGGGGGGTGATCGTCATCCCGCTGTTCCTGGGACTCGCGGAAGAATCGGCGCAGCAGGTGTTCCGGGCGTTTCAGCGTCATTCGCTCTGGAAACTGCCGATCATCCTGATCCCCCACGCCTAGATTCAAATTTTTATTGCTCCCAAAGGTGTATACTTCATCGGCCAAGAGGTTGACGCGGGGTCGCAATACACCCCGCGGCGCATGGCCGTCCTCGTCCATGTCCTCCCCAAAGGACGACGCACTCGACTCATCGTCCTTATTCTCGATATCGGCGAGCAGAGGATCGTGCTCCATCGCCGGGAGCACCATGCGCTTGATCTCGCGCGAGGAGATGGTGGCCCCGTACACGTCAAACGGGCTGTACCCCTCGCGATCCTTCACCTTGATCAGACCTCCACCGGGATGACCCGGTGACCCCGCCTTGCTGAAGTCGGTCGCGTCCCGGATGTCTCGCGCCATCAGCGCCTGAGCGATGGCCGCGTTCCCGGCATACAGCGCGCGGTGCAGGGCTGTCCACCCACTCTCCCAGTCCTGTGCGTATATATCGATGAACGGAGTCTCGAGCAGCATGATGGCGAAGTCGATGGCGGTCGGCTTGGGCGATGAGGCCACGTGGTGCAGGAGCGTGCGGCCATGGTGATCGCGGGCGTTCAATTCCTCGCGCGAGATGGTCCGACCGGGTCGCGACGTCGTGCTGCGATCAGGCAGCGAGGTTCCAGGAGAAGCCTCTCCGAGCTTTTTACTGCGGTGGAAGAGGCCCGGCGACGAGGCGATCACCGACCCGGAGCCTCCAGCTTTGGAATTGGGGGTTCCGCCGGAGGTCTTGTAGCTGGCGGAGGCCAGGACACCCCGGAAGGTCTCGACGTCATCGCGCAGAAAGGATTCCCAAAGCTTGCCACTCATGTGCCCAGCGTGAATGTGATCTTGTCAGAATCTCTTGTCGACCGAGGACCAGGACGTCGTTGTCGCCTGACGGGGTCAACGGCGCACCGGGGAGGGCTCTCGGGAAGAGCTCAGCGGGGCGACAAGAATTCCGACCGGAGGAAAGGAAACGGGAGGAGGGAGCGAGGGTGTGGCTCAATGTGACGGTTCGGATTCGCAGGAGACGGGTGGGTAAGATGCAAGGGTTGAAATGAGCAGGGAGGTTGTTGTCTGGGGAAGGCAACGTGTCGTGAGGATGAGACTGATCGTTGTGGCGGCGATTGACGATTGTGGGTGGGGATTCTTATCTCCGAGAGTCGAGTGGGGTCGGTTCGGGTGGTTTGTAGTAGATCTGGAGGGATCGCACAGGCGATGCGACAGTAATGTAGAGGAGATGAAGAAAGGAGGAGTGAAGGGATGGAGGGGAGAGAGAAGTGTCCAGGAGAATAATCTGTGCTGGAGAGAGAGAGAGAGAGAGAGAGAGCCATGGATAAGGGCATTATTGGGTGGGCCAATCAGGAGGGGCTGTCCCCTCCATGTTCCGACGCGAGTCTCTTATTTGATTATATATTTTATTATATGCCTATATATATTCTATTGTATGATGTATATCGATATTCATGAGTCAACTGTCGGATTCTTTGAAAGTAATGTGTCTATATCACTGCTGGCAGTGTTCTCCGGAAGTGCCAATCATCCCGCCAACTGGCAAGACGATGGTATATAAGATGATGGTATCTATCATCCACAGAGGTCACCTAGCCAAGTCGAGAGCCTCTTGCTCAAAAGTACTAAGAGTACTCCGTACAGGGAGACAAAGTACCCCTACCTCGACTCACTCATCACTCTCCTGCAGACGCATACCAACTGGCGCCAAACAACCAACCCGACGTGTCAAGCCTCCATTTCCTTCTGAAAGGGAGTCGAGACAATACATCAGAGATGATTCTGTACACAACACAGCAAATCTATTTTGTACGACCAAGCAGGGGTTCTGCAGGAGAGAATCCGATGTGTCTGGAATCTAGACGATGAGCTCTCCACCGGGCGTCGTCCCAGCAAACGATTGCAGGTGAGGCGGCCAGTCTGATCTTAGGGGTTGGCGGTCTAAGCTTAATTACTTGATCATCTAGTCATCTAGTATCGTACTTGGTATCATCTCTAGCGTCTGACAAGAGTCAGGACGGGTGAGTCACTCGATTCCAGGGTAGATCTCCTAGATAGATGATCAAACTCCGAGATCTAGATGACATGAGTCAATAAATTCAAACATTAGAACAAGAAATAAAATAAAACAAAAATCAGAAAGAAAGAAGACAAGGAATCGATGATTACATGGATGAAAGGATGACAGTCATGAATTAGGGTCATGCGTGATTGACGGTGGATCGCCTAGCGTCAGTTGGAGCTGTCAATCATTGAGGATTGTCATGGACCAGACACCAGAACTGCCATGGTATCGAGAATATCATCAATCCAGTCTCAGAGAATCAAACCATTCCTCCAAAGAAGAATCAATAGATCAATAGATCAATAGATGGATAGATGGATAAATCGATAATACCTGATGGAATCGAGAGAGGTACCTTACCTCCCCCGTACATGACGCTAAGCCGATTTGGGACGGGTAGCCGCTGGACTGGTTGACCGCCTTGCCACAGTCTCGGTATCGTACAGTATTATCATGAATATTATCGAATCTCTAGACGATATTTCTCGATATTTTGGTTGTATCATATTATGAAGAAATATAGGATATCACATAGAAGATAATTTCAAATACAATATAATATAGAATTGTAGATGGATAGATCGTCCACAAGGTCGAGTCACCGGGTGTGCGTCACTCTCCACTTATCAGTACCTGAGGTATCTCCACCTCCCGTTATCTGCTTGCGTCTTCCCTCCTCTCTCTCTCTCTCTCTCTCTCTCTCTCTCCTCTATTCTCTCCCCGTTGATTATTCTTCCTCCTCTTCTTATCCCTTTCTCCCTCTCTCCCAAC